CACAAGATGTATAATATCACCAATACAACAGAGTTTAGTAGAAAGCACTTTAGTTTGGTGAAGTTTGAGCACCATTTTTGAAGCAAATGTTTGTATAAATGTTTATGACACAAAGAAGTTGTACATAAGTTACAAAAGTCAGATAGCCTCATACACTACTTGAGTCCTTTGATAATTCAAAGAACTAAAAATTACTGGTCAAATTGTTGCCATTGCTGCACTTTTAAAGGAAACATGACAAGCCTGGTGCTGACAGTCAGCCATCTGGGACACGTGTTGTGGAATGTGTATTGCAAAGGATGATGGGATAGTATCATTCCCCCCCCCCCTGATGCGTTACTGTAACTTCAATTGCAAAATAGAAATCATGCATAAACCATGATTATTTCTCCACTCTTGTAACGATTTGAAGAATATGCATTCGATCTTCATAGGGTTTGAGTTTTAGGCATAAAAATTCGCAGAAATATAGCTGTATTATTATTTTATTTCTGCCTCCCCCCTCCTAATCAAGCAAAATATGCTTATGATATGACTCTTTATTGCATATTCTTGCCCAGATGGGCTTAATGGCAAGAGGATGTCCATTATGTAAAACATGTCAGTATTTCATACTGGTACGCTATATTCTAATGCAAAGTGCTAGGAATCTATACATTACAATAATACTATAAACTACCTATCATCTACTGTTAGTTGCCCTTTCTTCTCCCTTTTTGAAACATTTGGAAACATAATTACATAGTTTGTCTACTGTACATTCATTCTTGTATGACATCAAGTGTTTAAACATGTCCTGCTTTGACATTTTCTTACATATCTTGTCTAATTGTAAAGTATCAAATAGCTCTTGGCGTTCATCTTTATATAATGTACAGTCAAGTAGAAAGTGTATCTCGTTTTCAACATATAAATGATTACAGAATTCGCACGTTCTATCTTTCAGAGGGGTCAGAGGGGCTAATACTAACAGGAGTTTCTCTTTTACAGATCTAGACATTCGGAGGAGACGCTAGCTAGCACTCAGTGACCTAACGGAAAACCTAAACAGCATTATCCTTCAATGACGTCATAAGTGCCAAAAATTAGAATTTCTCCGATCTGGACAAAAGACAAACTGAAGGGCTTCACAACTGAGACGTTGCCAAAATGTACTTTTTTACATGGTTCAGTGCCTATAGATTCATAAAATATGTATAAACCTGGCATGATATAAAAAGGACACCTTTTGTTTTTTGAGATGTAAAACATTTTTGTATTTGGTCATTGGATGCTCAATAAATTCATTGAAAGAACTCGATTTTGTTCTGTTTACACGTGTTATTTTAGCTATACAAAATTACGTTAAGAACCAAACACACACACACATTGACAAGAATATTGTCCATAGTGGGTGAAAGTTTATTACAAGCGACTTTATTTTCAGATGCCTCAAAAGAAGTCAAACCCAGAAAAAATTCAAGTATTCTATAACCCCATGCAACAATGGAATCTTCCAACGCCTTCTGCTGTTGGGACATGTACAACCAGTTGACTTTTAGGTTTTTTGGACTTGAACCTAAACATTTTTACAAGTCCAGAACCCGTCCAGTGAACCAGTACACAGCACTAGTCTTGTATCTACCACTACTCGGGGCCAGTGGCCAAGTTATATAAAAAGGCAGAAAGAGTGCAACTTTGCAGAAAATAACAGCTGTATTAAGGAAAAACCTATGGTGTTGTACAAGAGAGTCAAAATCACTCTCAATACATAGAACTTAGAAGGCTTGTAACATAAATATTGTAAGGGTCAAACCTTCAGATGCCAACGTCTATGAAATGTGCTATTTACATTTTCAGACTTAAACTAACCTTTCCAAGCAAATTATTTTCAATTCTATTAAAAACAATACAATGTCTACATGTACCAACTACAATGTATTCAGTACATGCTTGGCAGCAACATGGTTAAAAATACTGAATATCAGGTTTTGCTAAAAATCAGCCTCAAGGGAGTTGGTACTAAAATCCAACAATAAAACATCCATTATTCCACTACATGGCATCTTTTACTCACAACCCTTAACCCAATTCAAAATATGTATAAAAGTTTAAACTATTAAATATCAACAACATTTTCATTTTAATGTTTTCCAAATGTGGTATTGGTTATGTTGAAAACCATTAAATATTAAATGTCATGCTAGAAAGATTAAAACACACCTACTACATTTTATAGATATACCTGTACCAACTTTTTGTGTCAATTTTCAAGCTGCTAGTTGCTTGATGACCAACATCTCTCTACGTCAGGAGCATTGGAACATCCCAATCCTGTTAATTTATGTATATGTGGTAAGATGAACCAACTGTCTGTTACCATGGTACTGGAGACTGTGATAACTTGTTTCCACCAAGTGACAGAGAATTATAGCCTGGATACCATCCTACTTGTATACCGGGCTCCCACACTCGCTTCCCTAAGAAGTACTTCTTAGGGAAGCGAGTGTGGGAGCCCCGGTATACAAGTAGGATGGTACCCAGGCTAAGAGAATTAGGCCACAGCAAGTAATTTTTATGGATGACATCAGCGCACGCATTAATTTTAGCCTGATTTGGGGAAAAAATAAACAAGAAATTTTGTTGCCTTCTGACAGTGGTCACCATGCCGAAAATGGGCAAAGACGTCTGTTGCCATGCCGGAAGGTGGATGGTGTCATGTCATGTTGTAGAATATAGTATAATGTTAGAAGTAGATATAGTCTCACATACCACTGTATTTTCTTTCTATGTTGTTTGTAACTGCAATTAGCCCTCGGGCAAGTATTTGCAATAAACTTTCTTTATAATAAACTATAAATTAATTATAAAGATAGGAGTCAAGAAAAGGCTCTGATTTAATGTTTTGTTTCTTACTTTGATGCAGTAATATGTGATGCTGGCTGTGTATATGTGATATTCTCACTGACTTAAAACCATAATTTTGTACAATGATTGAGTCAAATTTTTAAAATGCAGGCACCTTGTTTTTTTTCGCCCGCTCGCATTAGATCTGGAGTCTGCGGAGGATGTTATCCATAAAATTTACTTGCTGTGGCCTAATGTTCCTATTGGATTGATTTTCATCATGATGAAGCATCCTCAGCTCCCATTGGTTGTTCAGAGAATGGGAATGATTCTTGCCAATTAGAGGTGTGTAGCCACAAACTCACAGGCAGGGAGGAGGCCCAGTCAGTCCCTGGCAGCGAGGGATTGTGTAAGACCCCATTCAGACTAGACTTGTATTTAGCGGTTTCAACCGGTTTTTCAAAACTGTTTTTTATTTAACCTAGTGTGAACACAAATCAACCGTTTTAAAGGGGTTTGAATCCAATTTTCAATACCACCTCGGGAGGTGGTTTATGAGGAGTTTTTGTACCGAAACAAGAATGTTTACCTGGATATTTCAAACAAGTTGCGGGAACATGGTTTTAATTAAGCCTTCATTCAAACTGCAGTCATGGCTTAATGGCAGATTAACCGGATATACAGGGTTTTTGAAAAACCGGTTTTGTAAGTCTGGTGTGAACGCTAGGGGTTTTAACCAGGTTTTCCCCTGCTAATTATTTGGCGGTTTCAATCGTTTTTCAAAAGTCTGGTCTGAACGGGATAAAACACAGGCTACGTCTGAAGCTACGAGCTACTTTAACTTCTGATCTGGTGATTCCCACTTCTGCTGCTGGCTTTGACTCCGTAGTGTGTACAGATGTTCCCTTAAACTGAAACACAGGTACATTCATGTCTGTTGGTCAGTATTGTACAAACAAGAAGAAATCTGAGATTCCAAACTTCCTGGAAGTAATGTAACACAGTCATAATGATCACAATGACTGGTGACAATTTCAGACACCACAATGTTAACAGTAAGGCTACACCAATTCAATTTCTTGGTTAATGGATTTTTCTAGAAAACTAATGGAGCGGGCGGGCGGAAAAAAAAAACAGGCCTAGGAATCCTATTTTTTTTATGGCCCAAAATGGTACAATAGGAGCGAAGTCAACACACCAGTCTGGTTCAAAATTTAAAAAATGAATTTTGAACTTTTAATGATACCCCTGCATTGAAAGATGGAAGAACTGTAACAACTAGGAAGAAAAGGACTGTTCAGGGCAAAATATGAGCATTTTGCAGTTGATTCTGAATTTTTTATTTTTTTTTGCAAATCAGAAAAAAATGAGGTGGGCAAATCCGTTAACCAAGAAATTAAATTGGTGTGGCCTAAGGCTACAAGAAAACATTTCCGAGGTAAAAAAAATTTTTTTTTTTTTGCAAATCAGAAAAAAATGAGGTGGGCAAATCCGTTAACCAAGAAATTAAATTGGTGTGGCCTAAGGCTACAAGAAAACATTTCCGAGGTAAAAGATGGGTCTGCCTAGTCTCCACCAGACTTCTTTTGCGGGGTGAATAAATCATAGAAATCGGCCTAAAAAGGGGAGCTGGAGCTTAACTGGCCGGCTACCTTCTCTGGCCAATTAATACCCTTTTTAGGCCGATTTCTACGATTTCTTCACCCTGCAAAAGAAGTCTGGTGGAGACTAGGGTCTGCCTGCAAATACAGTGTCTTAGACAAGTGAATCAACAACACACTTCCCCTATGGCCTGAAAAAGGCTATATATATACGTATGGGACTAAATTTTGACCCACCTGTCTACTGTTGGCTGGTAGTGTTCCCTGACCTGCTGCACAGTCAGTTCTTTGATCTCCTGCATGGTATACTGGCGAGAGATGTTTAGACTTTGAGGTGTAGCACACTCTTAGCTGATGGGACAGGGCTCAAAATTAACAGTGTCCTTATGGCCACTAAAATTTAGGCTGGGACACCTGAAAAGTCACTTTGGGACATTTTGGGGACAATAGATTGAAAAATAACCTCAGAATGCCAGGCCTACTTTTGTCAATCAGGCACACGTCTCAGCTTTTGGCTTGGAAAAGCTCCCCATATTTCTTGTCTACTCCACAATTAAAGCGCGCCCGGGAGTCAAAATGTAAGCAAAATAAAGTTGACTTCATGCAAGTTGTTGTCATACTTCCGGAAAAACAGGTTTGGACATTTCAACCTCACTTCGGGACAACTGAAATTTATTTTTGGGAGAGAGCTGGGACAAAAAGTTACTTTCGAGGCCTGATGGGAGCAAGGCTACATCTGACTAGCACATTGGCAGAACGTACAAATGTACTGCACCTGCATGAAACCTGTGGTGTCTTGTGCATTGCACTTGCGCAGAACATCTCTTTCAAGGCCATATTTGCATACCCGGTATTTAGGATCATCCCGTCTACATTTTACAAATGTGTCGGAAAGAATCAAAGATATTGTCCGCAAAGGGCAAAATCCCGGTGAAACACTGACCAATCATCTAGTAACTACAACCGTGAAAAATTCCAGGTTTCGCGCAGGTGAAGTACTTCCTGACAACATGCTTCCACAGTCAACTGTAATCTGTAATGCATTACTCTTGTCCAACTTTCACTCCAAGTGTCCCATGTACAATGTATGTAAATGAGTCTTAACTCATGGCAATCCAAGTGTCCCATTTATGTAAATGAGTCTTAACTCACGGCATATATACAGGCTTGTCTGCGGAAGTAGGCGTGCCCCTCCTCGTCCTCATGTATGGGATACAGCACGGCACCTCCAGGGAGCGCCACATCGTTTTCAGGGTTGGAAGTGTTAAAGGGCAATACTGTAATCTCGATCACGTAGTCAGGTGCAACAAAACCCTGTGGAGAAACAATAAGAAACTGACCGAGGATTAACCTGAGTGCCAGACCCCAGTGCTTAGAATACAGAAAATGCTACTGGTCCCATTGACTGCGTCTCTATTACAGGTACCGGCTACCACTACATACATGTACAGACCCTTGCTGTTTACATATGTAGCCCACCAATTCAGCCCTTGCAGGGCTCGAAATACTTTTTACAGCACGTTGGCAAAAATTTCAGGTGAAATTTGACAAATTTATGTGCAAAATCACATTTATGTCGGTGAAGGTTAGACATTCAGGTAATAAGATATGCCAAAAAATTGTTACTCAGGCAACTGGATATACAGTAATTTTGGAAAAGGTCAGATGTTTCAGGTAGCATTCACTAGCTTTCATCAGAGACACTAGAGACTGCAGGAGAATGGCAGGTTTATAAGCAAGAACTATTGATTGAAATGCAAATAAGTCCAAAAAGAAACAAAAGTTGGACAAGTCAGGACAATGATGGTGCAAATTAGTCAAGAAGCTCCTGTTTCAGAACAGTGTTGTCTGTCCTTGGTGCTGGGAGTGCCAAATCCCAAGTAATTTTTGCTTCTTTGCCTGCAACCCCCCTCCCTTCCTGCTCTAGGTGAAAAATTGCACATTCAAAATATTTTAAGTGCAAATCTTGAAAGTCATGTGCATTTTGCATATTGCACATGGGTATTTTGAGCCCTGCCTTGGTTACAAAAGAGAGAACTGATGGCCAAATAACCTACCCAACCGATTTTCATAGTTAATTACGTAAGTATCGGTACCATGTTGAACTGAGCCAGAGCATCCTTGTCACACCAGCAGTAGTCAGGAGTCCTCAGGAGGTGAGGTCTCTGTCTGGTCTCCTCATCCAGACCCTCCCTAAATCACAGAAGACAGGAGGGTTAAAGGAGTTACTGTACTAAAATCCGGAAGGGAGTGCTACAATGTATTTTCTGATAGATTATGCTTCAAAGAATACAATGTAACTAGCCGACTTTTTACAGAATTTCGCTGGTGTCTATCAGACACCTTCCTCAGAGCTTCTGACTGGAGTTCTGCTTCTCACCACTATATGTACTAGAGTAGCCAACGTAGGTGCACTGCTTTTGCAGTGAGAACACAATCCCAAACGTTTCTGTATTTGTACCCCCCTCTCGTCCCGGTTCTGATAGACACTAAAACGTCAGCACTTTAATAGGCGAGAAATTTTGGTTGCGTAAAAGAAAACTCCTGTATCCTATACTTAACCAACCTTAGGCCACACCAATTTAATTTCTTGGTTAACGGATTTTTCTAGAAAAATAATGGAGCGGGAGGGCGAAAAAAAATAAAAATAAAAACAGGCCTAGGCATCGTATTATGGCCCAAAATGGTACGATAGGAGCCATGAAGTCAACACACCAGGCTGGTTCAAAATTTAAACAATGCATTTTGAACTTTTAATGATACCATTGCATTGAAAGATGGAATAACTGTAACAACTAGGATGAAAAGGTCTGTTTTCAACTGTTCAGGGCAAAATATGAGCATTTTGCAGTTGATTCTGGATTTTTATTTTTATTTGCAAATCAGAAAAAAATGAAGCGGCGAATCCGTTAACCAAGAAAATAAATTGGTGTGGCCTTATGAAACTATTTTCGGACATACACTGTACCTGTACCAAATACATGTAGGAAAAGTATTGAAGCAGTTGTCAAACTGGACATGTTTTGGTCATAATAGTTGGCAACTGGTGGACGTACCAACCACTAAGTATCTGATACCAGCCCAGAAAAGAACAAGGAACAGTCATGCCTTCAAATATCAGAGTTATTAAGCAAGAATTGAGGTGTTCAAAAACTCGTATTTCCCAAGAACTATCGTAGACTGGAACTCGTTGCTACCAAGCACAGTTGGAGCATCATCACTAGAAAGCTTTAAACAACTCCTGCAATGAAATGTGCAAAAGATTGAGTGTAACAAGTCGTTCGGTGTGATATAGCTAGCTGCCGCAACACCGAGTGCCTGCAAAGTTGGTGTGTTACGCCAGTTATACCGGCTATACTGATACTGATACAGAAAGCGTATGTACCTAACATCTGCACCCTTTCCTGCCTCGATTTCTTCTCGTAAAGTGACGACGGGGACAAACTTGATTTTCCAGCGATGCCTGGCTACTGGAGGGTTGTATCTCCCCATCAGGTCCACCATGCCGGTCACTACATGATCCTTCTGAAAAGGAAAAAGACCACAGATTTAGACACTCTTTATTACCTACGTGTTGTTATGCATTATCATTAGTTATAGTTGGTAAATAAGGACATAATCTTATACATAAACATTGACAGGAAATTGTGGAGAAACCTAGGGTTATTTGGGCCTAGGGAAAAAATGTTGTGTTTCCTGTTTCAGTCCTGAAAAAATTAGGGTCGGTAGGTGGGGATTTTTTTTTTCTTTTTTTTTAGACTTCAGTGATATCTACATAGCCTTTTGGGGTCCAACGGTCCAACCTATATAATACAGTTTAACCAAGGACATTGTACAGAAGAGGTTTCTTTGCTCACAACATCGGCGGCAAAAAAAGACAAAGCGTAATACAGGAAGTCAGCGGATACAGGGAAACCAGCTGGAGATAGGTCCATGGTATAACTCGCCTGTTCTTGGTAAAGGCCGAGGCCGAAAAATTACCGCCAAGCCAACCTAAGGTTTGGTACCCAGGCCATACACAAGACTCTTGTGTGTGGCCTGGGTACCAAACCTTTGGTTGGTTTGGCGGTAATTTTTCGGCGAGGATCTACTGAACTGAGGACAATGAGTATTCCTCCTACCTGGTACTGTGTGAGTCTGATGCCCTTCACACGGCCGTCGTCTGTTATTCCCAGGTACACCGTCCCTCCCTTCCCAGTGTTCAGGAACGCATTCAGGGCTCTGAACACAAAACACAGTCATGGCAGAGTCATGCAATCCTTCAAGAATTGGATAAAAAACATCTTGTAATGATCTTGATCAACACAAAAACCCGGGCCTGGTTCGAACCCACGACCAAACCCAGGCACCAGTCCACAGGCAGACACTCTAACCACTCGACCGAAAGGTCTAGACCCATTGGCCGGGTCAGTTGGCAGCGCCTATAAACCCCCCACTGTTACATCTTGAGTTTTTTTCTTTTTCAAGCAAATTTGTACCGTGGTTAAAACACATTGCAACCTGCCAATGCTTTAAATTCATTTAAAGGCAAAAAATACTAGTCTTATAACTTTAGTTTTACACGTACGTATATCAGGCCATGTTGATTTGATTGTATGCGTGCACAAGTTTTTATCCGTTTCCAAACAAAAATGTTTTAAACCAATGTGTAAATCATACAAAGCAACTGCAAAATATATGCTGAAGATTGCACACAAAAAATATTGTAGAATGATACTAATGTCCAAAATCAATTCCAAAGGTAAGGAAGAAAATGTGAAGAAATGAAAATAAAAGAATTGCTATTATTCGCCATATATAATATATATACCATACTGAGTCATTTGTTCAGCCTTCCTGACGACATAGATTTCATGAGGACAACTTTTTTTACCAATTGAAACTTTTTTTTATTCTCAAGCTCGCATTGATCAGTTTTTAGGTTCCCAGAGGTCATGGCCTCAGCTTCAAAGTTTGATAAAAGAATTTCAGCAATGATGTTCCTTTACATGTATTTTGAACCAGTACTTTGATTCTAGCAGTACAGTTACCCCGGTACTCAGCACGTCAGCAGAACGTACTGCGGCTAGTGCTGCATACCTAAACCCACATTTAGGTTCAGGTCCGGATTCAAGTCCAGAGGTTTAGGTTCAGTTCCGGACTTGTAATTCTGGACCTAAATCCATGGAATATACAAAATTGCATGTTGGCAACCTTAAAATGTTGTCTGGGTGAAACTTTGGCCACATAACATGGAGGCCGGTACTTGACAATGCCTGATGTCAATGTTTTCTTCATTTTGCAGCATTAGATTTTGCAATCTATGGAAGGCTTTAGGTGGTTTGGAAAGAAAAGGGGTATGTGAAATGGTCTTTTATGGTAATAAGTCCGGACTCGGTTCTTGACTTTTAGGTTTTTTTGGACTTGAACCTAAACATTCTTACAAGTCCGGATCCAAGTCCAGTGAACCGGTATGCAGCACTAACTGCGGCTGCGCAAAACCCTGCTTTTTCGTTGGATTTTTGGGCACCGTTGCATTAGAATTTTGTCTGTTGCAGACGATATCTTTTCCAACATAACATTTGGAAACTACAGACGGAGTGTTAACTTTTTATACGCGAATACAACCCTCATATGAGATGTTCTGCCAAAGTGCAATGCATAATACATTGGTAGCCAGGTTTGCACAGGTGCAGTACGTTCTGCCGACGTGCTCTGGTACTTTATGTAGCTGACCTTGAAATGGCTCGGCGTGACCTTCTCTCGCTGCCTGGCTGATAGCACCAAGATGGCAGCTCTTCCACCGCCAGATTGCGATGACCTTTGAACTCATGGTTGAAGTCCTCCTCGACATCCACGACAGAGTCTCTGACGTAAAAAAGTTTCTTGGACGTCGTTTTGGACTCTCCTGATCCTGTAGCCATTGCTTGGACTGTAAAAAATTCTAGGAGGTAAGGCCACACCAATGTAATTTGTTGGTTCTTGAATTTTTCCAGATTTTTTTTCAGGAAAAAACATGAAGTGACAAGGCGAAAGAGAATAAAAACAGGTCTAGGCATCCTGTTATAGCCCCAAATGCTACAATAGAAGCCATGAAGTCAACACAAAAGGCTGGATTAATATTTAAACAATAAATTTTGAACTTGTAATCAAACCACTGCATTGCAGATGGAAAAACTGTATTGGGGGCAAAATATGACTTAATTCGGAACCAGTATTTTTTTCTCTTTTTTTGAAAATCGGAAAAAAATGAAGAAGTGAATCTGAGAACCAAATGAATTGGTGTGGCCTAAAGCAGTCATCCTCAACTGAGGGTCTGCATGGGGGGGTCCTGGCAACGGTTAACGGTGAATTCAGCAGGGCTGATAACACTTAACGGTAAATTCAGGACGGTCGGCAACGCTTAACGGTAAATTGACAGGCTTTTTTTCGAGCTGCACTGGATTTGGTATCTCGCTTTGTGAGAAAAGGTGATCATTGACAAAATTACGTAACGTTATATCTCTTACATGTAATGAAGCACGCATTAAATGTAAGTGTTTCCTGTGTTTCCCACCTGCCCTGGACCCCGAGTGCGCCCACAAATACAGAGGAGTCCGAGTCGACGTCGGCCAGTTTGCATTTTTTCAGTCTGTCGAGTTTTACCGATGGATTTTGAGAGGGGAGCGCCGAAGGATGCTCCCCGGGAAATTTAGGATTTTTAAGCCTTCAAAAACGCAATTTCCCGCATTTTGAGAGGCAAATCATGGTGTTGAGAGTGTTTGTCGGTCCTTCGGATGTTTTCATATTTTACTCAAGACTTTTGTTAATTTGCCTGTCAAGGTTGACGGATTCGTTAAAAAAGTTTTAAAAATTATGTAACTCTCCGTAAACTTCCAGAAATTGACGGGAAACTGGTGCTGGCTAGAGCCAAAGGGGACCTAGCGCAGAAAGCGCGAGTCGAGCGCCAAAGGCGCGAGCAATGTAGGGGGGTCCGGGGGCATTCTCCCCCGGGAAATTTTGTATTTTTAAACTTGCAATGACGCATTTTCCTGCACTTTGACAGGCAAAATTAGCCGTAACGAAGAATTATTCATTAACGCTTAACGCTGAATTCAGGATGACAAATAACGTTTTACGTTGAATTAAAACGACCAATAACGCTTCACGAGGAATATACTGATAACGCTTAACGTTGAATTAGAGCGGACCGGCAACGATTAACGGTAAATTAAAATAGCCCATAACGGTTAACGAAAAAGGGCATGCAGACCCTCTCAACTGAGGTGAAGCATGATGCTTTTTATTATCTTGTGTACTATATCTAACATTCATAACCATGCAAACGGGGCCCCCTAATCTTCTTCATATGTGTGTTGTGGCTACTGCACTTAGATTTCATGATGAAGGCCACTTTCTTTTGCCATTTTTTGTTTATTCGTACGCTCGCATCAATTTCGGGGTTTCCATCTTGGATGTCATCCATATAATCAAATCAACATGGCCAAATTAGCAAATAATAGAGGCCAACGATTGCTTGGGGAGCTGGCAGAATTTAACTTTGTGGCTAGCAAATTCCTCTGACAAATTGCTCACACTTCTAAAGCACTATCATGGTCCATTTTTCGTAACTTTCGGGCCCAAATTGTATTCAATATACTAAGGTCTGGTGTTGAGACAAACACCCTAAACCGACTCAAAGTTGTACCTTTCGCTAAAGCTCACACCAGCCTCTACCAGGCTTCAGGAAGCGGCTGGAAAGAGTAGAAATCGGCCAAATAGAGAGATAGCATGCCAAGCGGCAAAATGTACTCTCCAGCAACACCAACTCCCTTGGCATTGGCCGATTTCTACGTACTCTTTCCAGCCGCTTCCAGAAGCCTGGTAGAGGCTAAGCTCACGCTACTGGTGTGAAAGTGTGCCCTTTCAAAAGAACCGCCCTTAAGGCGTGCCCCACAAAACGCCCAGTCACGAGGCACACCTAAAGTTACGTGTAAACACATGACAGATCGATACTCACATTCCTACTGACTCACCTGGGGGTCACTAACCTCTCGTCTCTCCAGCTGCACTCTCGCGAGAACTGGTGCAACTCCACACCCAGAAAACTCGGCTGTTAAGAAGTTAGTCACTTTTAAACACCTTTTTTAAACTTATTACTAAAATCATAATCACAAAAAGTGTTGTGAATATTTAGGAATATTAAATTTGGTGGAGATTTTATGATTGTTGGTTTTTGCTTGTCACGTGACCGGACAGGTCAGATTCACATGACTCAAAATGGCGGACGGGGAAGAAGAACGCTCGCCTCTGCTCGGCGGAGAGAAAAGTCCCGAACAGCCGCCTCTCTCCCCGCCTGGATACCCTTCCTCAGGTGAGAACGGTAGAAGGAATGTCTCAGACTACACTGAAGCCACAATCACCCAGTTACTCTGGCGTTACAAGCCGTAACCTAGCAGAAAACATACGTGTACGCAGAGCGAAAACAAGCTCAGTACTTTGATGTGTGTGGTAATCAGCAGATGTCGGTGTAAATATTTAATGAAGTAGGTTTGACCAGACTTATTCGCGGTGCTACCGGCTTTGAGCGTACGTTTGTTGTCAGAAAAGAAAAAGTTCGACTCGCCGGTTTGTCTTTGTGAAGTAGGAGCACGCATGTGTGGAAGGCTTGTTTTGAAGGAAGTGTCAAAAAATAAAAATTACAAACAATTTGTCACATGTTTCGGCACATGATAAAGTAGTTTGTAGTGCTGTGTACCTAAACCCACGTTTAGGTTCAGGTCCAGATTCAAGTCCAGAGGTTTAGGTTCAGTTCCGGACTCCATAAGTACTGACCTAAACCCATGGCATATACAAAATTGCATGTTGGCAACCTTGCTATGTTGTTTGGGCAAAACTTTGGCCACATAACATGGAGGCCGGTACTTGACAATGCCCAATGGCAATGTTTTCTTCATTTTGAATATACTCTAATATGATATGTAAATTGTGTAAGGGATTAAAACATTGCATAACTACAACAAAGTGTTTTTCTGATGAATTATAGATTAGCTTTGAATAAAATCACAGCATCAGTAAAGAAATTTACAGTAACTTTGCAGTAGAAATTTACAGAAAATCATGCCCAGATGATACATGTAACTGCTAACAGTGTCAAAGTTAAGAAAGAAGAGTACACTCTACATACAACTACTGTCTGATCAACTAATAAGGTACTAAGTACTTTGTTGTAGTTGTACTATTGTTTTTTTGTTGTTTGTTTAACGGAGTGGTTCAATGCAAGGGCTATACGAGTCTTAGATTTTGACCACTTCTTGGTATTGAACTAGAAATATGAAAGAAACATGGCTATGTCAAGAGATGGCGGTGAACGTTTGATTTGAAAGCCTGTAGATTGTAGGTTGGTGGGAAACATTTGTCAGGGAAGGAATTCAAAAGCTTGGCTGTACGGGGAAAGAAACTGTCACTGTAAAAGGATTTCAAACAAGGAATTTGGATGGTGAAATTGTGTGAGCTAGTGGAGAACCTAGTGGAACGCTTGTGGGCCTTTGATTCAAAGTTTGAAGACTTATTTCATGTTTTTTTTCCATAGGCATTCCATCGTCTATCCCTGGCGGGCCAGTCCCTCCCATCTTGCCGGATGAGCAGCCCCCACCCTACACTCCCACGCCAGACGGAGGCATTCCAACCATCAACTGCAGGGTCTGCCAGGCCCCCGTGTCACTGGAGGGCAAACTGCACCAGCATGTCGTAAAATGTACCAGCTGTAACGAGGCAACTGTAAGTCTGAATCAGGCCTCCAAATTAACTTTTCTACCCATTATCCCACCTAGTGCTGTGTACCTTAACCCACAGTAAGGTTCAGGTCCGGATTCAAGTCCAGGGGTTTAGGTTCAGATCCGGACTTGTAAGTCCTGACCTAAACCCATGGCATGTACAAAATTGCATGTTGGCAACCTTGCAATGTTGTCTGGGTGAAACTTTGGCCACATTAGGCCGGTACTTGATGATGCCCGATGGCAACGTTTTCTTCATTTTGCAGCAAAGATTTTGCAATCTACGGACGGTTTTAGGTGGTTTGGAAAGGAAAGGAGTATGTGAAATGGTCTTTTATGGCAATAAGTCCGATAAAAAGCGCCTGTTCCATACAACTGCAAGCATTTACAGTACACAAATGTATATGGAAATGTCTTTTAACTTTTAAAAGATGAAAGATCTTTGTGCCAAAGGCTACAAAAATAACATAAAAGAAAACAAAGCCCAGGCGACACACTTTCATGAAATACTATACAGTAAGTCATAACATTATGGCGGTCGAAAAAAAATTTAGAGCAAGGTACATTGTAAATTTGTAATACTGTAGGTGTGAGAATTGAGAAACTTATATATAAAAAAAAGAAAACACAGGCAAATTTAGATGAATTGAAGCTTGATTATGTACATTTGAAAAATAACAAAGTGTTAATGAGATCACCATATTTCATTGATTAGATTAAGCCCTTGTAATGAACAGCAAATAAGATGTAAATTGTGAAAGATAATAACATCAAGTTGATTACATTTACATTAGGCCACACCAATTTCATTTATTTTTGTTTCTCAGATTTGCCGTGTCCATTTTTTTCTGATTTGCCAAAAAAAATTTTTTTGGTTCTAAATTAAATGAACTGCAAAATGCTCAATGAAAGGCATATTTTGGATCCAACGGTTGAAGAAAGTCCTAGTTTTTCAATGTAACAATGCAATTTTGTTTCATTAAAAGTTCAAAATCTATTGTTTTAATTATAAACCAGCCTGGTATGTTCGCTTAAGGCTCATATTGTAACATTGTCAGAAATTCTGGCTATCTTGGGGTGCCTTGGCTTCTTTTTTTTTCGCCCCGTCACTTCATGTTTTTTTCTGAAAATATCCAAGAAACAACAAATTAAATTGGTGTGGCCTTAGCAACCCCACCAAACTCCCACCTTGCCTTATTTGTCCAGTTTTTTTTGCCACCCCTTGGGCAGTAAATGTAGACTATTCCTAGACCCATGGTCAAGTGCATGTTTGAGGTATGTATTTAACCAACTTCATTACTGAAGGAGGGGCACATACTAGACTGTCGCTGAAATGTTGCACTCTTGTGTTGGTTACATTGCCTGTGGGTTGGTTAAGGTCATGGCTAAGTTAGTATGGCGTGATGTTTCAGGGCTCGAAATCTCACCTGCATATGCAGGTTTATTTTTGTGCAGCTAAAATTGGAGATGTGTAGGTATTTCTCATGTCTACCTGCACCTAACCTGCACTGGTCCATGTACTGGGTATATGCAGGTTAGTGCAGGTAAAATTGGAGCTGTGCAGGTATTTCTGATGTCTACCTGCACCTAACTTGCATTAGTCCATGTACTGGGTATATGCAGGTTAATGCAGGTAAAATTGGAGCTGTGCAGGTATTTCTGATGTCTACCTGCACATAACCTGCACTGGTCCATGTACGTGTACTGGGTTTATATATTTTTTTATTTTTATTATGAAGTGTGAAGGAAATACTGGCAGTGGCATTGAACAGTTTTTAAGTGTGATCCATACTTGTGCAACAATTGTATACAATGGAATTTTTTTACATGTACATAATATATACTGTAACTATAACCTATCATTTGTTTTCTATCATATAGCCCATCAAAACAGCGCCCCCTGGCAAGAAGTATGTGCGCTGCCCCTGCAACTGTCTCCTCATCTGTAAGAGCACCTCCCGGAAGATTGCTTGCCCAAGACCAAACTGGTGAGACATCTTATAAGTGTTTAATTCTTCAGACATGTATACCCTGTCTTCCTTTTTTATCATTAGAAACTTGAAACCGTTCTCCACCTGAAAGAATCACTCACTGAAATTTCAACCAAGTCACTGACTCAAAAATTTGTGTAAGTCCCATTTTACCATTCTGTCAGAAAAATTGCCGCACACATTCAACATTGTTTACAAGAAGCACCTCATACGGTATTCCTGTAAATTACTACATGTAGGTGGTAGCATGTTGGCAGAACGTACTGCACCTGCGCAAAAGCTGTGATGTATTATGCATTGCACTTCGGCAGAACGCCTCATATAAAGTCGTACTTGTGTGTGTATAAGGTTAACACTCCATCTGTAGTGTCCGAATGTTATGTTGAAAGAATATCTTCTTCAACAGGCAAAATTCTGATGCAACGTTGACCAAAAATCCGACAAAATCTGAAAAAAATCAGGGTTTTGCGCATGCTCAGTACATTTTCCCAACATGCTCTAGGAGGTGCACAGATCCAAATCTAAGAATGATAATCTCAATACGGTGACACCCTTTGAAACCATCTCCATGTTCTTTATATTATACAAGGTGCACAAGTTGAATCAGGGCCAGTCTTGACCAACACAGATTAACTTTCAAGCTGATATTGAAATTTCTGATATCTTTATAGAACTACGTTCACAGTTTTAACGGTCACTTCAATCTGTACCATTAACAAATAATTCACCGACTTTCTTTTTTTTTGTACCTGCCGCCACCATGAACGTAAAGTTCTGTGAACATGACTATTTTCTCATTTGCTACCGTGAACGTAAACTGAATTACCGCATTTGTTGTGTTTATGAGGCAAGTTTAAACTGTCATTTCCAACACAACAAATTTGACTCACCCAAATTTTTGACTGTACAACTCCAGTCTTTGTCAAGGAATGAGCAATCCACCGCTTCGGTGACGTCACGCAGATAACACACGTGACTCCGTGAGCAGTGGATCATAGGTTGCAGAAAGTCTGTGGCGCCCCCCGTCTCTGTTGAGGGATGGTTGTAATGCCCTGATGTAGATGGCCTCTTTAATCCCTCGTGCAAAGAAGTCCGGTTCTGAGTCCAAGATTCTTACTTTGTCCAATGAGACTGAATGTCCAGGCGATTCTACATTGATTGTATGTGTATATGTTGTGAGACCTCTCATTTGTTGTTGTTGTTTTGGTGAAACAGTAAGAGGATCATCAGCCTTGATGGTGGAGGTGGTGCCATCCCTCCTCCCATCCCTGCATCAGGAGGGACCAGAGTTATCTGTGGACACTGCAGTATGACCTTCATGGTGAGTCAGGAGAATACATGTAGACCTGTCAGTGTTCCAAATACCTGTCTGCAGTCTGCAATCTACAGATAGATTTTCAAGATTGCAGAAGAAAAATTTATACAATCTTCAATTTTGCAGAAGGAAAAATAGGCTCCAGATTCAAAATAGTTTTCAAAGGTATTATTGGTTTGAGAAGGTTGTAGTGTGGAGGCTTGTGTATTTGCAGAAAGTATTGACCTGTACTTGTGTTTTGTGCTCCAAAATATATTTGTGCTACTGTACAATAATCAGGTCCAGGTTTAGGTCCGGACCTGGACCTGATCCTCTGAACCTGATCCTGACTTGGACCTGAATTTTCTATACAGGTACCCACCCCTATAATCTTTCATTTTTATTTTCATGTTTTTCAGTGACATGGTGTCACAGCAAATGTGACCACACTGGTACTTGCTATTAGCCTCTGGACAATAATTCAACTTCTTCCTTTTCAATAATTCTTATCCTTTCATGTATTCACAGTTTACATCCACAACAAATGCCCTATCAAGGTGTCCCCATTGCAGAAAAGTGTAAGTAGAACTATTGTGTTTCTAGCTAAATTCAGACCAAAAACTGGCATGGAAATGTTTAGAAGACACAACAAAAACAGAGCTTTCATGCTATGATCAGAGCCTCTGAGGTTGTTTCAGCAACTACATTGTACACTGAGGTGCTAAACACAAAGAATATTATAACATAAGATTTGAGCCTATTTTAGTAATTGACTCTGTGGCTGTTGTTTACAACAACACGTTTTAGAAACAAGACTCGCAATGAAAACATACATTACCATGGCAACGGTGGTTGCTGTTAGGGTTATTGTTTGCATGGCACTGCCATCATTTCATGATTTTGAGAAAGACTTGGTACCTGTTAAGTCTAGACAGATACAGTGCACTCCTCCCCTGAGTGTATAGTGAACGAGCCCCGGGGTCACAGAAAGTAGGGCCATCCCGGGGCAGAGAGGTCTTCCCAAGGGTTTCCAGGAATGTGGGCATAGATGTGGGTCAGAGACATGCCTGTAGACACTCCATTCCTGTGGACAAAATGCCTGTACCATTCCTAGAATTCTTGCAAACTGCACACAATACTGTACCATTAGGCTCCTCCCTGAGACGTCGCCAAAAAAAGTTGAACAGAAAAGTAGGAACCGTGCTAAGATTGTGACTCCTGTCTTCTCCCACAGGTCGTCTGTCGGAAGCAGTTATGCCAGAAGGAAGTGCACCATCTGTGTCGTCCTGGGCATGATCTTCATCTTAGCAGGAATCGGGGTCACGGTAAGAAATACTCAGCATAGGCAACATTGATTTGATTATACGGTTTACATCCTCTGGGAACCCCAAAACTGATGCGAGTGTGCAAATAAAAAAAAGTTTGCCAAAACAAAAAGTTGCCTTTTCATTTTGAAATCTAGGTGGTAGTGAATGTTGAACAAATGAGTAAACACATAGAGTAATATTTTATTGACATGGTGAATAATAGACTCTTCATTTTCATTCCTTCACATTTTCTTCTTGTCCTTTGCAATATTTTCTCAACTTCTGGCACATTTCAAAACACATTGAGATGTGTGTTGCCCGGAATGGGCATGACGTAAATAAATACATGTACAACACACTGCTGACTTAAGACATGTTCCAACTCTATTGCAGTTTAAAGCAGCCTTGAAATTTATGTTGTATGAATCCTGAGATTAATTGAATAAATTAATCACCCTGTTCATATGTATAATGTGTAAAACCTGTTTTCTTCCTAACCAGGTGGGGACCTATGAGCTGGCAAGACAACAAGGAGGGATCTACTTTGCATGGGTTGGTGAGTGTCGTGGGCTTTACATTTTGTACCTTAACTCCATGTTTTGTTGCTTCACATGACTGATAAACCGACAATGTTATGCCAGTTTTGTACTGTAACACAGCACAGAAATGGTACAAGCTACCTAAGACTGGGCTGTAAGGTTTGCTGCCTGCCAGGGATTTGAGCCCAGAACCTTTAGATTCTTTAGTCAACAGCCCTGACCACAAGACCACCTTGGCATGGTTTTGTACCAGTAGTTGTACTCTGTTTCAAATGCATGCATGCCTATTGCACAGACTAGTTCCTTTTTAGAGCTTTAAGTAGTCGGACCAGCGTGCAAAATACCTGGTTGCCCAGTTGCCCCAGGCAACCAAATTTTACTTGGGTCAGCCTATTTTTGAACCTAGGTAGCCCAGTGTGCTACCTGAATTTTAAGAATCATGCCCACTTGGCTTGCATCACTGTATCTGGCAGATGCTTTTTAATTTTAGGTATTAATGGCCATTACTAGTATCAGTTAACTAAAGGTTGTTTGAAATATTGTCAAAGGCTTATGTATGTAACATTACTTAATTTGAGGAAAGTAGTAACTTATAGGTGGGGCAACCTAAAATTCTGATGGGCAGCCTCATTTTTGCCGTAGGTTGCCCACCTGATCAAAAAAATATTCTCCCTACTACTAGTTGTCTAATTGAATTTTTTTGGCAGTGCCTCAGGGGTGGAGCCATTATGGTGATGAAGTTGAAAAGATGTTTGACATTGTTGATTCCAGGTGCGTTCATCATCGGGATCCTGTTCCTGATCCGGGCGTGTTACTACGGCACTCTGAAGGTCAGCTACATCCAGAACTCCCCCTGAGCCAACATGGACCAGTCCACCGCAGAACACCTCCAGTGTTACAAGATGACAACAGGAGTTGGACCGCACCACCAAGAGCATTACGAGGGGGGGGCAGATGAATAAAATATACCGGCCAAGAAATGCAGAAGTCATAGTTGTGTAACAGTTAACTGCTCTTTTAATCATATTTGTACCCAAACTGGTGTAGAATTTGATCAGACAATAAGACCACAGTCTATGCTTTTTCTAAGACCTCATCATATGACTTATCACTGTATGACTGTCTCATATGTATTATATATGTATATTGCTATGGACCACATTGTCTAAATGAGGTATGTAAAAATGCTATTAATTGACCTGAGCATGATAACAGCGGGTAACTTGAACTCTTCATTTGCATGGTTCTTTTTAATTAAAGTTGATTATTTGCTAAGGCCATGTTGATTTGATTATATGGATGACATCCGCGCGCGCATGAATTTTTGGCCGTTTCAAAAAAAAAAAAAGTTTTCAACCATACTGTAAATCGTACAAAACAGTTGCAAAATGAGCAAAGATATACCGTAAGTTACAAAAAAACCATACCAATGTCGTAGAATGCCAAAATCAAACGAAAAAAGACGAAATTGTTAAGAAATGAACTTGAGGACTAGATTATTCGCCAAACCATCTTCTGTCCCATTTGTTCAACCCTCATGACCACGTAGATTTCATAATGAAAACAACTTTTTTTTTATGCAAAACTTTTTTTATTCGCACGCGCGCATCAATTTTGGGGTTCCCGGAGGATGTCATCCATATAATCAAATCAACATGGCCTAAGTAAGACAACAAAAGGGACAAAACCATGAAATTCTGTTGAATGCAAGTATGCATGTATTAGGACTGCTTTGAGGGGGACAATTCTTCACCTACAAATTAAAGTTGTCCAGAGATGTGACCACATACTATAGGAAGAGATGTTGCCTATTTTTAATTTTGATACTGAAATGTGATGCTGCTGTAGAACCAACATGTATCAGCCTGCCAGTTTCTTGTGTGTTCACAGAAATTAGACTCAAGAAGATGTCTTTCCATCTCTCTAACCTACTTTGAGAATGGTATATACTCGGGATTACTTAAAGAACTTCTGTACACAAGATTTTGAGAACATGTACCTTGTACAATGTTCTTCACTCTAAAGAAGATCTTTGTCAATGATGCAGCAAGTCAATGTAAAAGAAAAAGGCTTGTACATGTATATATTATTATACCATGAAATTCACTACTTGGTGATTTGCACAGTTTCTCTTTTCATATTTGCTGTACTATGAAATGAAATTGTTATGTATTGTGTTTTCAACTACTTTCTCATAATTCATGTAGATTTGCGTACTTTTTTTTCTTTTTTCAGAATGCATTGCATTGCTGGAAGTGTATATGGATTCTTGTAGAATTGTGGACTTCTGCCCTCTCTTGAAGCCTTATAACTTAATTTATAACACAATGATATATTCAATGTTTGTGATGGTTTTAAAGAAAGAAACTTCACAGAAATCAAGACCATTACTGAGTTTATCAGTTCATTATCTAAAGCCACATCTTTTTTCATAATCATTTTCTGTTTTCGTGACTCATTATGTTTTTGTAATTGTTTGAAATATTACTTGCAGAGTGACCTGTATAATTATTTTAGGACAAGAAAACCAAGTAAAACATTTGCAAGCTCAAATTTAAACTTTCTCCATTGTCTGATATGAACAAAAGGTAAATGTAAATCAGTAAATGTGTCAGTTATGAAACTTCATAACATTTTTTTTCCTTAGACTTTTTGTATTATTGAAATGCATACTGGTACAGAAACATTTGATGAAATAGTTCATGAATTTTTTTCCCCAGATACTGTGGAAATAATTTGATGCAAGCAGGAAACAAACTGCAAAGATTGTCAATTTCAGAATTGTGTGGAATGAATTATTTCATTCATTTTAGAATTTACAATAATTGTAACCGATTATGATGACATAATATTACATATACCTCTGGAAATGGATATTTGTAGAACTTATTTTGAGGTGAAATACATCTCTGATGCTGTCACTCTTTTCGTGTGTTTTCAAAGCAGAAGCCCAATGTTTCTTTTCTGTTCTGAGACCAAACCCCCATGCACACCCTTTGGGGCCCAGAAAGGGTAGCCCATCAAGGTAGCCCTAGCCTAGCCCATTCCATTCCGGATACCCTTTTCTTTGCAGACGAGGAAGGTATTCTCGCAGACGTGGAAGATCGTGGAAGGTATTCGCGCAGACACGCATGCCTGTACTTACGGGCCATCGTAATACTGACCTAGTCTTTCTAGCTGTACAGGCTCCTGATAAACTTTCACAACCTGCCACAGGAAATGTACTCCTCAAAAAAGGTGTAACATGAAACCGCCTCCGCTAGCTTAGGACGAATCCTATCTCCGCGGAGCTCATTCCGCTAACCCCCGTGTCTCCGTCCACCAGACGTGTCGCGGTGTGGAAGAAAGTACCGAGGGTTTCTCGTCGTCTTTCTACGAGCCTTTTTCGGTTCAGATCGTCGGTATTTCATCCTACATACAACTCAGGTACGTACTAAGAGCTTGTCTACTCTACAGTTATCGATATGACAGGAGAATAACACGTACAAGTTTGTTTTACGCTCTCTGAGTCTCTCACTAGCTAGACGCTAGCGACGTGTGTGTATGTGTGTCGCTTGTGAGAAGTTCTATGCTGCTCGAAAAGCAACGGTTTCTTGTTTGTAAACAGGTTTCTGTCAGAAACAATAGTTTAACTAGAGCACGCAGACTTTCTTTAGTTTTGTTGTGCCCTTTTAGGTGTAAAACGGCGTAGATCGTTTCCAAATCATTATTTGTGAGAAAAGGTTGTTGACACCTCAGCGAAGGTCTAGAAGGGGTTATGCGGTCTTCTTAAACATTGAAAATGAAACACGACAACAGAATTGCTTCCTTATTGTACAAATAAGTTACTTAAATGCCTTTCTATAATCCACAGAAAGGCACAGTTGATTCGCAAACAAAGGGTAATTTTTGGGTCGAAATTTGGAAGTTCTTTTGAGATAGAATATTCTGGAAACCCCCAAGTGTGCCTTATAACGGTATTCCCGCCCAGACATCTGGTTTCTGTCATGGAGGAAAGGTCTGGAGTCAGGGGAGGTTCATTAACTCTCGTGGCGTTTGGGGGATGCGTGGGTAGGGGTGATACATTAACTATTTTGAAGGAATCTTTGTCGGCTGAGGGAATATTTGAGGGTATTTAATATTAGCAGGCTTTCTGATCACATTCTTTTTGTTTTCCACAGGATTCCATAGTCCAGTTGTGCTGAAAGGGAAAACAGTGAGGCTTCGCCCTGTTCTTCCAAACATCAGCACTCTGGTGCAGCAGTTCAGGACTTGACTGTGTAAAATATATTTTGCAGGTAAGAACATATAATTATTAACTTGTGAAAGTTATGTTTAGTTGCATTTGTATGTCATGAAATTTGGTATTAAGTTAGGTCTTATATTCAAATGAAAGCTCATCTGTGTTGGTAGAATTCATAGTTGCAAAGTTTAATCATAGTTCCAACACAAAAGAGAACTTACCTTAAATTTTCGGCTGATCACGTCAATCTTCGTCAGATGTACCGGTATGATGCAATCGCTGACTTTCCGGAAATCAAAAGCGTGATGACGTCAGGAGTACATCAGAAGTGGTTGGAAGACGGAATCTGCCACCATCATGGTTAAGAGAGGGTTGATGGGCCCTGATGTAAATTCCCTCCTCACAGTATTCTTACCTTATCCAGTGTAACTGTGTGGCCCGGGGACTCTATATCATATGTGTTGTGAAACTTCAGAAGTAGTTGAACTGGGCCCATCAACCCTACATCAACTATAAAGTTAGGTCTCGTCCCATTGAAGAAATGATTTTTTTTTAGATCCCTGACAGATTTCCTAGGTACTGCAGTAGAAATTACGGTGTTTCTATGTTGTGTTTGGACAAAAGTAGTAAGTTCTGGTCAAGGTATAATTTTTGCAGGAGAGATAGCTCATATTCTAATAGGTCCTGGGGCAGACTGACATTTTTGAAATTAGATATTGTTCATCTTCATACTCCAGGACTGCAGAGGTGAAGTCGGATTTTTTGTTACCATGGCAACAAACAGCGGTGGCTCTGATGGCATCAAAAGAGGATCAGATGGGAGATCTGCCACAAAAACGTACAGGTGTGAGGAGTCCAGCAGGCAGTGCAGTAAGCTGTGTAATCTCAAGGCACACATGCGGACTCACACAGGTGAGAAACCCTACAAGTGTGAGGAGTGCAGCAGGCAGTTCAGTACGCTGTGTAATCTCAAGGCACACATGCGGACTCACACAGGTGAGAAACCCTTCAAGTGTGAGGAGTGCAGCAGGCAGTTCAGTGAGCTTGGTAATTTGAAGAAACATACAGACTCACACAGGTGAGAAATCCTACAGGTGTGAAGAGTGCAGCAGGCAGTTTGGTCGACTGGTTAGTCTGAAGACTCACATTCGGACTCATACAGGTGAGAAACCATACAGGTGTGAGGAATGTAGTAGTCAGTTCAGTCAACGAAGTGCTCTAAAGTGTCACATGCGGACTCACACAGGTGAGAAACCCTACAGGTGTTAGGTGTGCAGTAGAAAGTTCAGTCAGCTGGGTCGTATGAAGAAACACATGCAGACTCACTTGTGAGAAACCCTACAAATGGCGCACAAAACTTTACCGTATATATGTGAGGAGTTCAGCAAACTGTTTAGTTACCTAGACCATTGCAAGAGACACATGTAAAGTTAGAAACGAAGAAATACTAGGATTGAGGATATTTGCGTTGTACAAGACACCATGGTGAATAGCTAAGAGCAAGATTTATTTCTAACCTGTCAATTCTTCAATGTGAAAGTTAGGAATCAAACTGGTGTAGGAAAACATGTATCTAGCTCTTCATGATGTACTGCAAACAGTGACTAGACTGTGATTTAGTGTCTTTTCAGTTTTTATACAATGTTTTGTCCCTTGAAAATGTTGTACTGCACGTGGCTTATTTGGTTTGTAGCATTTCACGATATAGAATTAAGCTAACTAACCTAAGTTCATTTGTTTAAACTTCTTTTGTGATAGAGGAATATACTTTTGTTTTTATAACAATGTTTCCATTTAATATAAGCATGTTATTGTTTATTCTGTTAACCTACTAGGCTAGATAATAGAATCAGTTCATTTAGTATGCTATTTGTTTTCTAATTTCTAAATAATGGCTGCGAAAGGTGATAGAATTAGTGCATGTTGTTCTAAGATAAAAACTAGTGTTTTTGCTGATATTCTACTCTAGGCTGTTACATGTTTGTATCTATACTATAGTAAGTTTTAGAACCTAACATTGACTCTTGAAGTACGTATATATGCAAAGTTATAAGTGACTTCTTCAGTTTTGGTTATGTTAACATGCATTTGTTCAAGTCGTTTTCATTTCTTGGAAATAAATGTTTGTTTTGCATTTTAGATATGCATTTGTTTATAACTGGTCTGTTTGTAGATGTGAAGGATATGTGCAAACTATAGCTATCGAAACATATCTTGATTCATAAATTCATAATCTAAGCTGAAATGTGAATACCGCACGGTATATTCTCTCCTATTGTAGAACCTACACAGGCCAGCTCCTCAGCTACAGGACCAACATTCCTGATTTCTTGTTGCATCAGGCAACAGAAGGGGTAGTGTTATTTTGAGAAAGATATATTTTATGCTAGTATATCCTCTACCAGGCTTCGGGAGGTGGCTGGAAAAAGTAGGAATCGACCAAATAGAGAGATAACATGCCGGGGGAGTAACGTGTACTCTCTAGCGGACCCACTCCCCTGGCCTATTACATATCTATTTGTCCGATCTATCTATTCGGCCAATTTCTACTCTTTCTACCAGTGACTAATGCTAGTAGGCAAAGTATTTTGATCACCACGTACTTTCAGCATACCTAAGAAATTTATTTAGTTTACCAGTAGATAAGTATCAACCAAATGCATGGATTTGGTGAAGAAATATATACTATAGAATTGAGTGAATATTTGGCAAGTTGCCTCAAGTTCAGAAGAAGTGGCTTTCATAATGAAAAGAAACTGCCGAAATGAGTAACTTCAGATTGTGTGTCTAGACAAATAGAATGAAAGCCCAGCGTAAAAAAAATTCGCCCCGTTGGCTCCAGTTTTCTCGGAAGAAATCTCTTGACAAAGTTTCACAAGCTTCCACAAGAATTTGAACTCCGCGGATCAAAGTGTAACAAGAAACCGCCTACGCTTCGCCTCATTAGGAATCCCATCTCCGCGGAGCTCATTCGGCTAACCCCCGTGTCTCCGTCCACCAGACGTGTCGCGGTGTGGAAGAAAGAATCGAGGGTTTCTCGTCGTCTTTCTACGAGCCTTTTTCGGTTCAGATCGTCGAGATTTCATCCTACATACAACTCAGGTACGTACTAAGAGCTTGTCTACTCTACAGTTATCGATATGACGGGAAAATAACACGTACAAGTTTGTTTTACGTTCTCTGAGTCTCTCACTAGCTAGCCGATAGCGACGTGTGTGCCGCTTGTGAGAAGTTCTATACTGCTCTATGAAAAGTAACGGTTTCTTGTCTGTAAACAAGTTTCTGTCAGAGACAACTTTAGAGTGTATATGGAGCGGCACACGTACGCAAACTTTCCTTGTTTTGTTGTGCCCTTGTAGGTGGAAAATGGCGTAGACCTTATCCAAAGTTGTGTGAGAAAAAGTTGTTGACACCCTACCGAAGGTCTAGAAGGGGTTATGCGGTCTCCTCAAATGTTGGAAATCAAACACGACAACAAAAGTGCTTGCTTAGTGTACAAATATAATATAAACGCCTTTCTATAATCCACAGTTGATTTTGCAGAGGAAGGGTACTTTTGGGGTTGAAATTTTGAAGAATCTTTTGAGATAGTATATTCTGTAAACCCCCAAATGTGCCTCGTAACGGTCTTCCCGCCCAGACATCAGGTTTCTATCATGGAGGAAAGGTCTGGAGTCAGGGGAGGTTCATTAACCCTCGTGCATGTTGCGTTATTGATTGAGGGGCAGTTAGGGATGATACATTAAATATTTAGAAGGATAGCTTTGTCGACTGAGGGGATATTAGAACGAAATGCAGGCCTCTGATCACATCTTTGTTGTTTGTTTTCCACAGCATTCCATAGTCCAGTAGTGCTAAAAGGAAAACAGGATTCCATAGTCCAGTGGTGCTGAAAGGAAAACAGGATTACATAGTCCAGTAGTGCTGAAAAGGAAACAGGATTACATAGTCCAGTAGTGCTGCCTGCCCTGCTAAAAGGGAAAACAGTGAGGCTTCACCCGTGTTCTTCCAGACATCAGTACTCTGGTGTAGCAGTTCAAGACTTGACTTTGTAAAATATATTTTGCAGGTAAGAACAATATTAACTTCTCGAAAAAAAAGTTGCATGTTTTGTTGCATTTGTATGTACATTCGTTTAGCAGCATATCTCAATAGGCTTTGGGTAAATTGTCATGAAATTTGGTATAATCTTGTCCCACTGATAAAATGATTATGTTTTTCGCAATATACGAGATTCCCAAGGAACTGCAGGAGAACTTCTGGTGTTTTTATGTTGTATTTGGGCAAAAGTTCTGGACAAGCAATGATGATAATTTTTGTAAAAGTGATAGCTCTTCTATTTGAGAAGTGTCATAAATTTCGACCCTACAGGCCTATTGAAGTTTTGCATCAATAGATAAAGGTTCAAACAAACTCAGTGTCAAAACTCAGCAACCAACAACTTTCCAAGTAATCCTTGCTTTTCTCTATGCAAATTGAAGGCTGTTTAATAGTTTCTTCAGTTTTAGTGCTTTCCTGATGAAATACCCAGACAGAAACTCTGAAATTAAATGTTGTTCATCTTCATAATCCAGGACTATGGAGGTGAGCTCGGCTTTTGTTACCATGGCAACAAACAGCGGTGGCTCTGATGGCATCAAAAGAGGATCGGATGGGAGATCTGCCACAAAAATGTACAGGTGTGAGGAGTGCAGCAGGCAGTTCAGTCATCTGTGTAATCTCAAGGCACACATGCGGACTCACACAGGTGAGAAACCCTACACGTGTGAGGAGTGCAACAGGCAGTTCAGTACGCTGTGTAATCTCAAGACACACATGCGGACTCACACAGGTGAGAAACCCTACACGTGTGAGGAGTGCAGCAGGCAGTTCAGTCGTCTGGATCATCTGAAGTCTCACATGCTGACTCACACAGGGGAGAAACCCTACAGATGTGATGAGTGCAGCAGGCAGTTCAGTCGTCTGGATCATCTGAAGTCTCACATGCTGACTCACACAGGGGAGAAACCCTGCAAGTGTGAGGAGTGCGGCAGGCAGTTCAGTGAGCTCGGTAATCTGAAGAAACACATACAGACTCACACAGGCGAGAAACCCTACAAGTGTGAGGAGTGCAGCAGGCAGTTCAGTCAGATGGGTTATCTGAAGTCTCACATGCGGACTCACACAGGGGAGAAACCCTACAAGTGTGAGGAGTGCAGCAGGCAGTTCAGTCAGCTGAGTAATCTGAAGTCTCACATGCGGACTCACACAGGTGAGAAATCCTACAGGTGTGAGGAGTGCAGTAGGCAGTTCAGTAGGCTGGGTCATCTAAAGAGACACATGCAGACACACCTGTGAGAACAAAAGGTGTGACTGAGGTACAAAACCTCACGGTTTTGAGGATTGTGTTGTGAGCCTGGTACTATGAAATATCCAGTTTTCAAAGTCTGACAGGAAAGAAATTCCGACAATGTGAGGAGTTCAGCAAACTGTTTACACATCTGGGCCATTGCAAGAGACACATGCAAACTCTTAAGTGGGTGATTTTAGAATACCTCAACTTGTGTGCAGGCCATAATGACCTAAAGAAGGTGGGTCATGTGAAACCATACAGGAAAAAAAAAGAAATACTAGTACTTAGGTTGAGAACATTCATGTTGTACAAGACACCTTTGTGGCTAAGAGCAAGTTTTATTTACAATCATGTTATCTCTCTTTTATGTGAAAGTGAGGAATAAAACTAGTAAAGGAAACCTATGATGTACATCATATACTACGTTTCAGTACATCTTGTTAAGTCTACAGCATAGCATACATAGGGGATGTAAAACATTGTATATCAAGCTAACTAACCCGTAGCCTAAGTTTATTTCTTTAAAGTTCTTTTGTTATAGAGGACTCTAGAGTTTTTGTTTTATAGCTATTAGCATGTTATGGTTTATTCTGTTAACCTAGATGTTAAATTTATTGACAGATTCTTTATTTAGTATAGTATTTGTTTCTAATTGTTGCCATAGATGACAGAATTACCTGTAGTTCATGTAATTGTAGGTAAATAAAGACTAGTGTTGTTGCTGATATTCTAAACAAGTGTATAACATTTTGTAGCTATAGTTATAGAAGCTAATATTTACTCTTAAAGTACATAGATCTATATGCGAAGTGAGTGCCTGTTGTTACTAGTAGTCTGTTACTTGTGTGTTAAGATCCATTGGTGTAAGTTGTTTTCATTTGTTGGAAATAAATTTTCGTTTTGAATTTTAGGTTTTCCCTGACAAATCGTTTCAATATTAGACTAGAGCATTCATAAATATTTGAAAGGCTGTTTCGTCAAGAACAAAACCTAGGGCTAGAATTTGGCTTCTCATCCCAAATTCTGATCTTATGGCATGCTCTTCTGTGGTAAAAACCATATCTCCAAGCAGATGTTGGGTGGAAGAATTTAACACTTTCTGACTGCTTTCTGACTGCTAGTGCTTTCCTGGCAGTTATAATTGCTTATCATCTGGCCCATGCCTTTTTTTCTGGAACAACTCAATCATACTTATTCATAGTGTGAATATTGCAAAATAAGATTATCAATAAAATGTAGAGTCAACACGAGTGCAGCAGGCAGTTCAGTCAGCTGGGTCATCTGAGGTCTCACATGCTGACTCACACGGGAGAAACCCTACAGGTGTGAGGAGTGCAGCAGTCAGTTCAGTCAGTTAAGTAATCTGAAGAAACATGCGGACTCACACAGGTGAGAAACCCTACACGTGTGCGAAGTGCAGCAGGCAGTTCAGTGAGCTCGGTAATCTGAAGAAACACATACAAACACAACATTTGAAGAAACACATACATACAAACACAACACCTCAGCTACAGGACCAACATTCCTGATTTCTTGTTGCATCAGTCAACAGAAGGGGTACTGTTTATTTTGACAAAGATAAAGATATATTTTATGCTAGTATAGCCTCTACTAGGCTTCGGGAGGTGGCTGGAAAAAGTAGAAATTGGCCAAATAGAGAGATAACATGCCGGGGGAGTAACGCGTACTTTCTAGCGGACCCACTCCCCTGGCATATTATATATCTATTTGGCCAATTTCTACTCTTTCTACCAGTGACTAATGCTAGTAGGCAAAGAATTTTGTTGACCGCGTACTTTCAGCTTTTACCTTAGAAATTTATTTAGTTTACCAGTAGATAAGTATCAACCAAATGCATGGATTTGGTGAAGAAAATATATACTGAAGAATTGAGTGAATATTTGGCAAGTTGCCTCAAGTTCTGAAGAAGTGGCTTTCATAATGAAAAGAAACTGCCGAAATGAGTAACTTCAGATTGTGTGTCTAGACAAATAGAATTAAAGCCCAGCGTAAAAAAAATTCGCCCCGTTGGCTCCAGATTTCTCGGAAGAAATCTCTTGACAAAGTTTCACAAGCTTCCACAAGAATTTTAACTCCGCGGATCAAAGTGTAACAAGAAACCGCCTACGCTTCGCCTCATCAGGAATCCCATCTCCGCGGAGCTCATTCGGCTAACCCCCGTGTATTCGTCCACCAGACGTGTCGTGGTGTGGAAGAAAGTATCGAGGGTTTCTCGGTCTTTTTACGAGCCTTTTTCGGTTCAAATCGTCGGGATTTCATCCTACATACAACTCAGGTACGTACCAACAGCTTGTCTACTCTACAGTTATCGATGTGACGGGAGAATTACACGTACAAGTTTGTTTTACGTTGTTTGTGTACCTAGCCACTGCCGCTAGCGACGTGTGTGTGTGCCGCTTGTGAGAAGTTCTACACTGATCGAAAAGCAACGGTTTCTTGTTTGTAAACAAGTTTCAGTCAGAAACACTTCAGAGTGTATATAGAGCAGCACACGCACGCAAACTTTCTTTGGTTTTGTTGTGCCCTTGTAGGCGTAACGTTAGATCGTTTCCAAATTTGTCTGAGAAAAAGTTGTTGACACCTCAACGAAGGTCTAGAAGGGGTTATGCGGTCTCCTCAAATGTTGGAAATCAAACACGACAGCAAAAGTGCTTGCTTATTGTACAAATATAATATAAACGCCTTTATATAATCCATAGTTGATTTTGCAGACAAAGGGTAAGTTTGGGGTTGAAATTTTGAAGTTCTTTTGAGATAGTATATTCTTTAAACCCGCAAATGTGCCTCGTAACGGTCTTCCCGCCCAGACATCTGGTTTCTATCATGGAGGCTAGGTCTGGTGTCAGGGGAGGTTCATTTAATCTCCAAGCAGATCTTTTGGTGGGGGTAAGACAGTGGGGAAATGGTTACAGACTGGCCAATTTGATACTGTCTTACCCCCACCAAAAGATCTGCTTGGAGATTAGGTTCATTAACCCTCGTGCATGTTGCGTTATTGATTGAGGGGCAGTTAGGGATGATACATTAACTATTTAGAAGGATAGCTTTGTCGGCTGAGGGGATATTTGAACGAACTGCAGGCTTCTGATCACATCTTTTTTGTTTTCCACAGCATTCCATACTCCAGTAGTGCTGAAAGGAAAACAGGATTCCATAGTCCAGTAGTGCTGAAAGGGAAACAGGATTCCATAGTCCAGTAGTGCTGAAAGGAAAACAGGATTCTACAGTCCAGTAGTGCTGCCTGCCCTGCTAAAAGGGAAAACAGTGAGGCTTCACCCGTGTTCTTCCAGACATCAGTACTCTGGTGTAGCAGGTCAAGAATTAACTTTGTAAAAGATATTTTGCAGGTGAGAACAATATTAACTTCTCGAAAAAAAAGTTGCATATTTTGTTGCATTTGTATGTACATGGTTTAGCAGCATATCTCAATAGGCTTTGGGTAAATTGTCATGAAATTTGGTATAATCTTGTCCCACTGATAAAAAAATAAAATGATTATGTTTTTAGCAATATACGAGAGGAACTGCAGGAGAACTTCTGGTGTTTTATGTTGTATTTGAGCAAAAGTTCTGGATAAGCAGTGATGATAATTTTTTGCAAAATTGATAGCTCTTCTATTTGAGAAGTGTCATAAATTTCGATCCTACAGGCACAATTGAAGTTTTGCATCAATAGATAAAGGTTCAAACAAACTCAGTGTCAAAACTCAGCAACCAACAACTTTCCAAGTAATCCTTGCTTTTCTCTAGGCAAATTGAAGGCTGTTTAATAGTTTCTTCAGTTTTAGTGCTTTCCTGATAAAATACCCAGACAGAAACTAAATGTTGTTCATCTTCATACTGCAGGACTGCAGAGGTGAACTCAGATTTTTGTTACCATGGCAACAAACAGTGGTTGCTCTGATGGCATCAAAAGAGGATCGAATGGGGGATCTGCCACAAAAATGCACAGGTGTGAGGAGTGCAGCAGGCAGTTCAGTCATCTGTGTAATCTCAAGACACACATGCGGACTCACACAGGGGAGAAACCCTACAAGTGTGAGGAGTGCAGCAGGAAGTTCAGTCAGCTGGGTAATCTCAAGGTACACATGCGGACTCACACAGATGAGAAACCCTACAGGTGTGAGGAGTGCAGCAGACAGTTTAGAGAGCTTGGTAATTTGAAGAAACACATGCAGACTCACACAGGTGAGAAGCCGTTTAAGTGTGAGGAGTGCAGCAGGCAGTTCAGTTGGCTGGGTAATCTAAAGACTCACATGCGCACTCACACAGCTGAGAAACCCTACAGGTGTGAGGAGTGTGGCAGGCAGTTCAGTCATCTGGGTAATCTGACGAATCATATGCGAACCCACAGAGGGGAGAAACCCTACAGGTGTGAGCAATGCAGCAGGCAGTTCAGTGAACTGGGTGATCTGAAGAAACACATGAGGACTCACACAGGTGAGAAATCCTACAGATGTGAGGAGTGCAGCAGGCAGTTCAGTCAGCTGGGTCATCTGAAGTCTCACATGCTGACTCACACAGGGGAGAAACCCTACAGGTGTGAGGAGTGCAGCAGGCAGTTCAGTCAGCTGGGTCATCTCAAGGCACACATGCTGACTCACACAGGTGAGAAACCCTACAAATGTGAGGAGTGCAGCAGGCAGTTCAGTCAGCTGGGTCATCTGAAGTCTCATATGCTGACTCACACAGGGGAGAAACCCTACAGGTGTGAGGAGTGCAGCAGGCAGTTTAGTCATCTGACCAATCTGAAGACACACATGCAGACTCACACTGGAGAGAAACCCTACAGGTGTGAGCAGTGCAGCAGGCAGTTCAGTCATCTGAGTAATCTGAAGTCTCACATGCGGACTCACACAGGTAAGAAACCCTACAGGTGTGAGGAGTGCAGCAGGCAGTTCACTCAGCTGAGTAATCTGAAGTCTCATATGCGGACTCACACAGGTGAGAAACCCTACAGGTGTGAGCAGTGCAGCAGGCAGTTCACTCAGCTGAGTAATCTGAAGTCTCACGTACGGACTCACACAGGTGAGAAATCCTACAGGTGTGAGGAATGTAGTAGTCAGTTCAGTCAACGGAATGCTCTTAATTGTCACATGCGGACTCACACAGGGGAGAAACCCTACACGTGTGAGGTGTGCAGTAGAAAGTTCAGTCAGCTGGATCGTATGAAGAGACACACGCAGACTCACTTGTGAGAAACCCTACAGATGGAGTACAAAACTTTACCGTATAGATGAAGTGTTGAGGATTGAGGTGTGAACATGGTCATATGAGACCTGCCTTCAAAGTCTTAGTGTAACAGGGAAGAAATTCTAACGTGAGGAGTTCAGCAAACTGTTTAGTTACCTAGGCCATTGCAAGAGACACATGTAAAGTTAAAAACGAAGAAATACTAGGATTGAGGATATTCACGTTGTACAAGACAGTATGGTAAATACTAGTAACTAAGAGCAAGATTTATTTCTAACCTGTCAATTCTTCAATGTGAAAGTTAGGAATCAAACTGATGTAGGCAAATCTATGTATCTAGCTCTTCATGATGTACTGCAAACAGTGACTAGACTGTGTGATTTAGTGTCTTTTCAGTTTTATACAATGTTTTGTTCCTTGAAAATGTTGTACTGCACGTGGCTTATTTGGTTTGTAGCATTTCACGATATACCATTAAGCTAACTAACGTTAACCTAAGTTCATTTGTTTAAACTTCTTTTGTGATAGAGGAATATAGTTTTGTTTTTAAAACAATGTTTCCATTTAATATAAGCATGTTATTGTTTATATTCTGTTAACCTACTAGGCTAGATAATAGAATCAGTTTATTTAGTATGCTATTTGTTTTCTAATTTGTAAATAATGGCTGCGAAAGGCGATAGAATTAGTGCATGTTGTTCTAAGTAGATAAAAACTAGTGTTTTTGCTGATATTCAACTCTAGGCTGTTTCATATTTGTAGCTATAGTAAGTTTTAGAACCTAACATTTACTCTTGAGGTACGTATATATGCAAAGTTATAAGTGACTTCTTCAGTTTTGGTTATGTTAACATGCATTTGTTCAAGTCGTTTTCATTTCTTGGAAATAAATTTTCGTTTTGCATTTTAGATATGCATTTGTTTATAACTGGTCTGTTTGTATACCTAGATGTGAAGGATATGTGCAAACTATAGCAGAATAATCTAAACCAGGATAGTGAGTGAGTGTGATAGCTATTGCAACATCATGATTCATAAATTCATAATCTCAGCTGAAATGTGAATACCGTACGGTATATTCTCTCCTATTCTAGATAGTGCTGTGTACCTAAACCCATATTTAGGTTCAGGTCCAGATTCAAGTCAGAGGTTTAGGTTCAGTTCTGGACTTGTAAGTCCAGACCTTCTAAACCCATGGCATATACAAAATTGCATGTTGCCAACCTTGCAATGTTGTTTGGGGAAATTTGTGGTCACATAACATGGAGGCCGACACTTGATGATGCCCGATGGCAACGTTTTCTTCATTTTGCAGCACAGATTTTGCAATCTATGGAAGGTTTTAGGTGGTTTGGTAAGAAACAAACAAAAAAATGAGAAAAGGGGTATTTGAAATGGTCTTTTATGGTAATAAGTCTGGACTCGGTTCTTGACTTTTTTTTTTGGACTTGAGCCTAAACATTCTTACAAGTCCGGATCCAAGTCCAGTGAACCGGTACGCAGATAATTCTAGAGCGTACACGCCAGCTCCTCAGCTACAGGACCAACATTCCTGATTTCTTGTTGCATCAGGCAACAGAAGGGGTACTGTTATTTTGACAAAGATATATTTTATGCTAGTATAGCCTCTACCAGGATTCTGGAGGTGGCTGGAAAAAGTAGGAATCGGCCAAATAGAGAGATAACATGCCGGGGGAGTAACGTGTACTCTCTAGCGGACCCACTTCCCTGTCATATTATCTATTATATATTTGGCCAATTTCTACTCTTTCTACCAGTGACTAATGCTAGTAGGCAAAGAATTTTGTTGACCACGTACTTTTAGCTTTACCTTATGTTTATTTATTTTACCAGTAGATAAGTATCAACTAAATGCATGGATTTGGTGAAGAAATATATACTATAGAATTGAGTGAATATTTGGCAAGTTGCCTCAAGTTCAGAAGAAGTGGCTTTCATAATGAAAAGAAACTGCCGAAATGAGTAACTTCAGATTGTGTGTCTAGACAAATAGAATGAAAGCCCAGCGTAAAAAAAATCGCCCCGTTGGCTCCAGTTTTCTCTGAAGAAATCTCTTGACAAAGTTTCACAAGCTTCCACAAGAATTTGAACTCCGCGGATCAATTGTTAACAAGAAACCGCCTCCGCGCCTTATTATCAACCCCATCTCCGCGGAGCTCATTCCGCTAACCCCCGGGTCTCCGTACACCAGACGTGTATCGAGGGTTTCTCGTCGTCTTTTTACTACTTTTTCGGTTCAGATCGTCGGGATTTCATCCTACATACAACTCAGGTACGTACCAAGAGCTTGTCTACTCTACAGTTATCGATGTGACGGGGAAATAACACGTACAAGTTTGTTTTACGTTCTCTGGGTCTCTCACTAGCTAGCCGATAGCGACGTGTGTGCCGCTTGTGACAAGTTCTATACTGCTCTACAAAAAGTAACGGTTTCTTGTGTGTAAGCATAGTTTCTGTCAGAAACAACTTTAGAGTGTATATGGAGCGGCACACGTACGCAAACTTTCTTTCTTTTGTTGTGCCCTTGTAGGTGGAAAATGGCGTAGACCTTATCCAAATTTGTGTGAGAAAAAGTTGTTGACACACTAGCGAAGGTCTAGAAAAGGGGTTATGCGGTCTCCTCAAATGTTGGAAATCAAACACGACAACAAAAGTGCTTGCTTATTGTACAAATATACTATAAACGCCTTGCTATAATCCACAGTTGATTTTGCAGAAAAAGGGTAATTTTGGGGTTGAAATTTTGAAGAATCTTTTGAGATAGTATATTCTGTAAACCCGCAAATATGCCTCGTAACGGTCTTCCCGCCCAGACATCAGGTTTCTATCATGGAGGAAAGGTCTGGAGTCAGCGGAGGTTCATGAACCCTCTTGCATGTTGTGTTATTGATTGAGGGACAGTTAGGGATGATACATTAACTATTTAGAAGGATAGCTTTGTCGGCTGAGGGGCTATTTGAACGAAATGCAGGCCTCTGATCACATCTTTTTTGTTTTCCACAACATTCCACAGTCCAGTAGTGCTGAAAGGAAAACAGGATTCCACAGTCCAGTAGTGCTGAAAGGAAAACAGGATTCCATAGTCCAGTAGTGCTGAAAGGAAAACAGGATTCCATAGTCCAGTAGTGCTGCCTGCCCTGCTAAAAGGGAAAACAGTGAGGCTTCACCTGTGTTCTTCCAGACATCAGTACTCTGGTGCAGCAGTTAAAGACTTGATAGTTTGCAGGTAAGAACAATATTAACTTCTAAAAAAAAAGTTGCATATTTTGTTGCATTTGTATGTACATGGTTTAGCAGCATATCTCAATAGGCTTTGGGTAAATTGTCATGAAATTTGGTATAATCTTGTCCCACTAATAAAATGATTATGTTTTTAGCAATATACGAGATTCCCAAGGAACTGCAGGAGAACTGGAACAAAAGTTCTGGATAAGCAATGATGATAATTTATTGCAAAATTGATAGCTCTTGTATTTGAGAAGTGTCATAAATTTCGACCCTACAGGCCAATTGAAGTTTTGCATCAATAGATAAAGGTTCAAACAAACTCAGTGTCAAAACTCAGCAACCAACAACTTTCCAACTAATCCTTGCTTTTCTCTATGCAAATTGAAGGCTGTTTAATAGTTTCTTCAGTTTTAGTGCTTTCCTGATAAAATACCCAGACAGAAACTCTGAAATTAAATGTTGTTCATCTTCATACTCCAGGACTATGGAGGTGAGTTCGGCTTTTGTTACCATGGCAACAAACAGTGGTGGCTCTGATGGCATCAAAAGAGGATCGGATGGGACATCTGCCACAAAAATGTACAGGTGTGAGGAGTGCAGCAGGCAGTTCAGTCATCTGTGTAATCTCAAGGCACACATGCGGACTCACACAGGTGAGAAACCCTACAGGTGTGAGGAGTGCAGCAGACGGTTTAGAGCGCTTGGTAATTTGAAGAAACACATGCAGACTCACACAGGTGAGAAGCCGTTTAAGTGTGAGGAGTGCAGCAGGCAGTTCAGTCAGCTGTGTAATCTCAAGGCACACATGCGGACTCACACAGGTGAGAAGCCGTTTAAGTGTGAGGAGTGCAGCAGGCAGTTCAGTCTGCTGGGTGACCTAAAGACTCACATGCGGACTCACACAGGGGAAAAACCCTACAGGTGTGAGGAATGCTGCAGGCAGTTCAGTCAGCTAAGTAGTCTGAAGAAACACATGCGGACTCACACAGGTGAGAAACCCTACAGGTGTGAGGAGTGCAGCAGGCAGTTCAGTCAGCTGGGTGACCTAAAGACTCACATGCGGACTCACACAGGTGAGAAACCATACAGGTGTGGGGAGTGCAGCAGGCAGTTCAGTCTGCTGGGTAATCTGACGAAACATAGGCGAACCCATACAGGGGAGTAATCCTACAGGTGTGAGGAATGCAGCAGGCAGTTTAGTCATCTGACTAGTTTAAAGAGACACATGCAGACTCACACTCGAGAGAAACCCTACAAGTGTGAGGAGTGCAACAGGCAGTTCACTCAGCTGAGTAATCTGAAGTCTCACATGCGGACTCACACAGGGGAGAAATCCTACAGGTGTGAGGAGTGCAACAGGCTGTTTAGTCATCTGACTAGTCTGAAGAGACACATGCAGACTCACACTGGAGAGAAACCCTACAGGTGTGAGGAGTGCAGCAGGCAGTTTAGTCAACTGATTAGTCTGAAGAGACACATGCGGACTCACACTGGAGAGAAACCCTACAGGTGTGAGGAGTGCAGCAGGCAGTTTACTCAGCTGAGTCATCTGAAGTCTCACATGCGGACTCACACAGGTGAGAAATCCTACAGGTGTGAGGAGTGCAGTAGGCAGTTCAGTAGGCTGGGTAGCCTGAAGAGACACATGCAGACACACCTGTGAGAAACCAGGTGTGACTGAGGTACAAAACCTCACGGTTTTGAGGATTGAGTTGTGAGCCTGGTCCTATGAAATATCCAGTTTTCAAAGTCTGACAGGGAAGAAACTCCGACAATGTGAGGAGTTAAGCAAACTGTTTACACACCTGGGCCATTGCAAGAGACACATGCAAACTCTTAAGTGGGTGATTTTAGAATACCTCAACTTGTGTGCAGGCCATAATGACCTAAAGAAGGTGGGTCATGTGAAACCATACAGGAAAAAAAAAGAAATACTAGTACTTAGGTTGAGAACATTCATGTGTACAAGACACCTTTGTGGCTAAGAGCAAGTTTTATTTACAATCATGTTAACTCTCTTATGTGAAAGTGAGGAATAAAACTGGTAAAGAAAATCTATGATGTACTACAAACAACGTTTCAGGGCCTTGTTATGTCTACAGCATAGCATAGGGGATATAAAACATTGTATATCAAGCTAACTAACCCGTAACCTAAGTTTATTTCTTCAAAGTTCTTTTGTTATAGAGGACTCTAGAGTGTTGGTTTTATAGATATTAGCATGTTATGGTTTATTCTGTTAACCTAGATATTGAATTTATTTACAGATTCTTTATTTAGTATAGCATTTGTTTTCTTGTTTCTAATTGTTGCCATAGATGACAGAATTACCTGTAGTTCATGTAATTGTAGGTAAACTAGAAAGGCCGACATTTGCTTGGGAGCAAATACAGCATATTTCAGTCCATCTCCCTCCCACGCAAAAGTGGACTATTCCAAACTTACCCCAGTGCAAATCTGCCAAAGGTTCTCAAATAAATGAATTAAATAGTAGCTATATGAGAACAAAGATGCAAGAACAAGTACTTTGAATCTCGAAAGCTTTACTAATCTTATTACAGGTATGCAAATACTAACAATGATGATTTGATACATTTTGAAGGTCTTAGGCACATAAAACTGAATGTGTGGGTCATTACACACGACTTAGGTGCTATGTGACCTCAGATAACCCACAATGGAACGCGTGTTCCATGGATGGAACAGGCCATTCTTTAGATAGAACATGGAACGGGTACAGCACTTTTGGCCCTTTTTTTTGCTGAAAATAGCCATTAAAGTTCCCCAAATGAGTCATTTGGAAGTGGTGTATGCCAAATATGTTACTGCTATTCTGTAGACACATGTTCAAGGTACCCTTATACCGAATTTCAGATCATTTGGTTGTAAAACCAGGTCTCAGGATCAAAAAATCCTTTTTTTGTCGAAAAATGCCCCAAAAAACCTTCATAAAAAATTTTCTAAGGCATGTATAAAAAAAATTAAAAAAAAACGCCTGGGGGTATTGGCCCACTCTACCTCCATGCCAAATTTCAAGTCATTTGGCTGAATGGTGGCTGAGTTGAATCCCTTTGACTGTTTGGCAGGAGGAGGAGGAGGAGGAGAAGAAGAAACATCAGAGAACACAATATATTTCATCCATACCATGGTATGGACTGAAATATAATAAAGACTAGTGTTGTTGCTGATATTCTAAACAAGTGTATAACATTTTGTAGCTATAGGTATAGAAGCTAATATTTACTCTTAAAGTACATAGATCTATATGCGAAGTGAGTGCCTGTTGTTACTAGTAGTTTGTTACTTGTATGTTAAGATCCTTTGGTTTAAGTCGTTTTCATTTGTTGGAAATAAATTTTCGTTTTGAATTTTATGTTTTCCCTGACAAATCGTTTCAATATTAGACTAGAGCATTCATAAATATTTGAAAGGCTGTCTCGTCAAGAACAAAACCTAGGGCTAGAATTTGGCTTCTCATCCCAAATTCTGATCTTATGGCATGCTCTTCTGTGGTAAAAACCATATCTCCAAGCAGATGTTGGGTGGAAGAATTTAACACTTTCTGACTGCTAGGGCTTTTCTGGCAGTTATAATTGCTTGTCATCTGGCCCATGCCTTTTTTTCTGGAACAACTCAATCATACTTATTCATAGTGTGAGTATTGCAAAATAAGATTATCAATAAAATGTAGAGTCAACATGAGTGCAGCAGGCAGTTCAGTCAGCTGGGTCATCTGAAGTCTCACATGCTGACTCACACGGGCCGCGGGAGAAACCCTACAGGTGTGAGGAGTGCAGCAGTCAGTTCAGTCAGTTAAGTAATCTGAAGAAACACATGCGGACTCACACAGGTGAGAAACCCTACAAGTGTGAGGAGTGCAGCAGGCAGTTCAGTGAGCTCGGTAATCTGAAGAAACACATACAAACACAACATCTGAAGAAACACATACAAACACAACACCTCAGCTACAGGACCAACATTCCTGATTTCTTGTTGCATCAGTCAACAGAAGGGGTACTGTTTATTTTGACAAAGATATATTTTATGCCAGTATAGCCTCTACCAGGCTTCGGGAGGTGGCTGGAAAAAGTAGAAATAGGCCAAATAGAGAGATAACATGCCGGGGGAGTAACGTGTACTCTCTAGCGGACCCACTCCCCTGGCATATTATCTATCTATTTGGCCAATTTCTACTCTTTCGACCAGTGACTAATGCTAGTAGGCAAAGAATTTTGTTGACCGCGTACTTTCAGCTTTTACCTTAGAAATTTATTTAGTTTACCAGTAGATAAGTATCAACCAAATGCATGGATTTGGTGAAGAAAATATATACTGTAAAATGTTGGAAATCAAACACGACAACAAAAGTGCTTGCTTAGTGTACAAATATAATATAAACGCCTTTCTATAATCCACAGTTGATTTTGCAGAGGAAGGGTAATTTTGGGGATGAAATTTTGAAGAATCTTTTGAGATAGTATATTCTGTAAACCCCCAAATGTGCCTCGTAACGGTCTTCCCGCCCAGACATGAGGTTTCTATCATGGAGGAAAGGTCTGGAGTCAGGGGAGGTTCATTAACCCTCGTGCATGTTGTGTTATTGATTGAGGGGCAGTTAGGGATGATACATTAACTATTTAGAAGGATAGCTTTGTCGGCTGAGAGGATATTTGACCGAAATGCAGGCTTCTGATCACATCTTTTTTGTTTTCCACAGGAATCCATAGTCCAGTAGTGCTGAAAGGAAAACAGGATTCCACAGTCCAGTAGTGCTGAAAGGAAAACAGGATTCCATAGTCCAGTAGTGCTGAAAGGAAAACAGGATACCATAGTCCAGTAGTGCTGAAAGGAAACAGGATTCCATAGTCCAGTAGTGCTGAAAGGAAAACAGGATTCCATAGTCCAGTAGTGCTGAAAGGAAAACAGGATTCCATAGTCCAGTAGTGCTGAAAGGAAAACAGGATTCCATAGTGCAGTAGTGCTGCCTGCCCTGCTGAAAGGGAAAACAGCGAGGCTTCACTGGTGACCTTCCATCAGTACTCTGGTGTAGCAGTTCAAGACTTGACTTTGTAAAAGATATTTTGCAGGTAAGAACAATATTAACTTCTCGAAAAAATGTTGCATATTTTGTTGCATTTGTATGTACATGGTTTAGCAGCATATCTCAATGGGCTTTGGGTAAATTGTCATGAACTTTGGTATAATCTTGTCCCACTGATAAAATGATTATGTTTTTAGCAATATACATGTACGATATTCCCAAGGAGAACTTCTGGTGTTTTTATGTTGTATTTGCGCAAAAGTTCTGAATAAGCATGCTACAATGATGATAATTTTTGCAAAAGTGATAGCTCTTCTATTTGAGAAGTGTCATAAATTTCGACCCTACAGGCCAATTTAAGTTTTGCATCAATAGATAAAGGTTTTAAAAAACTCAGTGTCAAAACTTAGCAACCAACAACTTTCCAACTAACCCTTGCTTTTCTCTATGCAAATTGAAGACTGTTTAATAGTTTCTTCAGTTTTAGTGTTTTCCTGATAAAATACCCAGACAGAAACTCTGAAATTAAATGTTGTTCATCTTCATAATCCAGGACTATGGAGGTGAGTTCGGATGTTGTTACCATGGCAACAAACAGCGGTGGCTCTGATGGCATCAAAAGAGGATCGGATGGGAGATCTGCCGAAAAAATGTACAGGTGTGAGGAGTGCAGCAGGCAGTTCAGTCATCTGTGTTATATCAAGGCACACATGCTGACTCACACAGGGGAGAAACCCTACAGGTGTGAGGAGTGCAGCAGGCAGTTCACTCAGCTGAGTAATCTAAAGACTCACATGCGCACTCACACAGCTGAGAAACCCTACAGGTGTGAGGAGTGCAGCAGGCAGTTCAGTGAACTGGGTGATCTGAAGAAACACATGCGGACTCACACTGGAGAGAAACCCTACAGGTGTGAGGAATGCTGCAGGCACTTCAGTCAGCTAAGTAGTCTGAAGACTCACATGCGCGCTCACACAGGTGAGAAACCCTTTAGGTGTGAGGAGTGCAGCAGGCAGTTCAGTCAGCTGGGTAATCTGACGAAACATATGCGAACCCACACAGGGGAGAAACCCTACAGGTGTGAGGAATGCAGCAGGCAGTTCAGTGAACTGGGTGATCTGAAGAAACACATGCGGACTCATACTGGGGAGAAACCCTACAAATGTGAGGAGTGCAGCAGGCAGTTCAGTCTGCTGGGTAATCTGAAGAAACACATTAGGACTCACACGGGTGAGAAACCCTACAGGTGTGGGGAGTGCAGCAGGCAGTTCAGTTGTCTGAGTAATCTGAAGAAACACATGAGGACTCACACAGGTGAGAAATCCTACAGATGTGAGGAGTGCAGCAGGCAGTTCAGTGAGCTGGGTAATCTCAAGGCACACAGGTGCGAACTCACACAGGGGAGAAACCCTACAAATGTGAGGAGTGCAGCAGGCAGTTCAGTCAGCTGGGTCGTCTGAAGTCTCACATGCTGACTCACACAGGTGAGAAACCCTACAGGTGTGAGGAGTGCTGCAGGCAGTTTAGTCATCTGACTAATCTGAAGACACACATGCAGACTCACACTGGAGAGAAACCCTACAGGTGTGAGCAGTGCAGCAGGCAGTTCAGTCAGCTGAGTAATCTGAAGTCTCACATGCGGACTCACACAGGTGAGAAACCCTACATGTGTGAGCAGTGCAGCAGGCAGTTCACTCAGCTGAGTAATCTGAAGTCTCACATGCGTACTCACACAGGTGAGAAATCCTACAGGTGTGAGGAATGTAGTAGTCAGTTCAGTCAACGGAATGCTCTTAATTGTCACATGCGGACTCACACAAGGGAGAAACCCTACACGTGTGAGGTGTGCAGTAGAAAGTTCAGTCAGCTGGATCGTATGAAGAGACACACGCAGACTCACTTGTGAGAAACCCTACAGATGGAGCACAAAACTTTACCGTATAGATGAAGTGTTGAGGATTGAGGTGTGAGCATGGTCATATGAGACCTGCGTACAAAGTCTTAGTGTAACAGGGAAGAAATTCTAACAATGTGAGGAGTTCAGCAAACTGTTTAGTTACCTAGCTCATTGCAAGAGACACATGTAAAGTTAAAAACGAAGAAATACTAGGATTGGGGATATTCGCGTTGTACAAGACACCATGGTGAATAACTAAGAGCAAGATTTGTTTCTAACCTGTCAATTCTTCAATGTGAAAGTTAGGAATCAAACTGGTGTAGGAAAATCTATGTATCTAGCTCTTCATGATGTACTGCAAACAGTGACTAGACTGTAAAACTGTGTGATTTAGTGTCTTTTCAGTTTTTATACAATGTTTTGTTCCTTGAAAATGTTGTACTGCACGTGGCTTATTTGGTTTGTAGCATTTCACGATATAGCATTAAGCTAACTGACCTAAGTTCATTTGTTTAAACTTCTTTTGTGTTAGATGAATATAGTTTTGTTTTTAAAACAATGTTTCCATTTAATATAAGCATGTTATTGTTTATTCTGTTAACCTACTAGGCTAGATAATAGAATCAGTTTATTTAGTATGCTATTTGTTTTCTAATTTCTATGGCTGCGAAAGGTGATAGAATTAGTGCATGTTGTTCTAAGTAGATAAAAACTAGTGTTTTTGCTGATATTCTACTCTAGGCTGTTACATGTTTGTAGCTATAGTAACCTTTAGAACCTAACATTTATTCTTGAAGTACGTATATATGCAAAGTTATAAGTGACTTCTTCAGTTTTAGTTTTGTTAACATGCATTTGTTCAAGTCGTTTTCATTTCTTGGAAATAAATTTTCGTTTTGCATTTTAGAGATATGCATTTGATTATAACTGGTCTGTTTGTAGATGTGAAGGATATGTGTAAACTATAGCTAGTGAAACATCATGATTCATAAATTCATAATCTCAGCTAAATTTGAATACCGTACGGTATATTCTCTCCTATTCTAGAGCCTACACGCCAGCTCCTCAGCTACAGGACCAACATTCCTGATTTCTTGTTGCATCAGGCAACAGAAGGGTAGTGTTATTTTGACAAAGATATATTTTATGCTAGTATAGCCTCTACCAGGCTTCGGGAGGTGGCTGGAAAAAGTCGAAATTGGCCAAATAGAGAGATAACATGCCGGGGGAGTAACGTCGTGTACTCTCTAGCGGACCCACTCCCCTGCTGGCATATTATCTATCTATTTGGCCAATTTCTACTCTTTCTACCAGTGACTTATGCTAGTAGTCAAAGAATTTTGTTGACCACGTACTTACCTTATGTTTATTTATTTTACCAGTAGATAAGTATCAACCAAATGTATGGATTTCGTGAAGAAATATATAGTATAGAATTGAGTGAATATTTGGCAAGTTGCTTCAAGTTCAGAAGAAGTGGCTTTCATAATGAAAAGAAACTGCCGAAATGAGTAACTTCAGATTCTGTGTCTAGACAAATAGAATGAAAGCCCAGCGTAAAAAAATCGCCCCGTTGGCTCCAGTTTTCTCGGAAGAAATCTCTTGACAAAGTTTCACAAGCTTCCACAAGAACTCCGCGGATCAAAGTGTAACAAGAAACCGCCTACGCTTCGACTTATTAGGAATCCCATCTCCGCGGAGATCATTCGACTAACCCCCGTGTCTCCGTCCACCAGACGTGTCGTGGTGTGGACGAAAGTATCGAGGGTTTCTCAGTCTTTTTACGAGCCTTTTTCGGTTCAAATCGTCGGGATTTCATCCTACATACAACTCAGGTACGTACCAACAGCTTGTCTACTCTACAGTTATCGATGTGACGGGAGAATAACACGTACAAGTTAGTTTTACGTTGTTTGTGTACCTAGCCACTGCCGCCAGCGATGTGTGTGTGAGCCGCTTGTGAGAAGTTCTATACTGATCGAAAAGCAACGGTTTCTTGTTTGTAAACAATTTTCAGTTAGAAACACTTTAGAGTGTATATAGAGCAGCACACTCACGCAAACTTTCTTTGGTTTTGTTGTGCCCTTGTAGGCGTAACGTTAGATCGTTTCCAAATTTGTCTGAGAAAAAGTTGTTGACACCTCAACGAAGGTCTAGAAGGGGTTATGCGGTCTCCTCAAATGTTGGAAATCAAACACGACAGCAAAAGTGCTTGCTTATTGTACAAATATAATATAAACGCCTTTCTATAATCCACAGTTGATTTTGCAGACAAAGGGTAAGTTTGGGGTTGAAATTTTGAAGTTCTTTTGAGATAGTATATTCTTTAAACCCGCAAATGTGCCTCGTAACGGTCTTCCCGCCCAGACATCTGGTTTCTATCATGGAGGAAAGGTCTGGAGTCAGGGGAGGTTCATTAACCCTCGTGCATGTTGCGTAATTGATTGTGGGGAAGTTAGAGATATACATTCACTATTTAGAAGGATGGCTTTGTCGACTGAGGGGATATTTGAACGAAATGCAGGCCTCTGATCATATCTTTTTTTGTTTTCCACAGCATTCCATAGTCCAGTAGTGCTGAAAGGAAAACAGGATTCCATAGTCCAGTAGTGCTGAAAGGGAAACAGGATTCCATAGTCCAGTAGTTCTGAAAGGGAAAGAGGATTCCATAGTCCAGTAGTGCTGCCTGCCCTGCTGAAAGGGAAAACAGTGAGACTTCACCTGTGTTCTTCCAGACATCAGTACTCTGGTGTAGCAGTTCAAGACTTGACTTTGTAAAAGATATTTTGCAGGTAAGAACAATATTAACTTCTCGAAAAAAAGTTGCATATTTTGTTGCATTTGTATGTACATGGTTTAGCAGCATATCTCAATAGGCTTTGGGTAAATTGTCATGAAATTTGGTATAATCTTGTCCCACTGATAAAATGATTATGTTTTTAGCAATATACGAGATTCCCAAGGAACTGCAGGAGAACTTCTGGTGTTTTTATGTTGTATTTGGGCAAAACTTCTGGACAAGCAATGATGATACTTTTTTACAAAATTGATAGCTGTTCTATTTGAGAAGTGTCATAAATTTCGACCCTACATGCCAATTGAAGTTTTGCATCAATAGATAAAGGTTCAAACAAACTCAGTGTCAAAACTCAGCAACCAACAACTTTCCAAGTAATCCTTGTTTTTCTCTATGCAAATTGAAGGCTTTTAACAGTTTCTTCAGTTTTATTGCTTTCCTGATAAAATACCCAGACAGAAACTCTGAAATTAAATGTTGTTCATCTTCATAATCCAGGACGATGGAGGTGAGTTCGGCTTTTGTTACCATGGCAACAAACAGCGGTGGCTCTGATGGCATCAAAAGAGGATCCGATGGGAGATCTGCCACAAAAATGTACAGGTGTGAGGAGTGCAGCAGGCAGTTCAGTCATCTGTGTAATCTGACGAAACATATGCGAACCCACACAGGTGAGAAACCCTACACGTGTGAGGAGTGCAGCAGGCAGTTCAGTCATCTGTGTAATCTCAAGGCACACATGCGGACTCACACAGGGGAGAAACCCTACAAGTGTGAGGAGTGCAGCAGGCAGTTCAGTCAGCTGGGTCATCTAAAGTCTCACATGCTGACTCACACAGGGGAGAAGCCCTACACGTGTGAGGAGTGCAGCAGGCAGTTCAGTCAGTTAAGTAATCTGAAGAAACACATGCGGACTCACACAGGGGAGAAACCCTACAGGTGTGAGGAGTGCAGCAGGCAGTTTGGTCAACTGACTGGTCTGAAGAAACACATGCGGACTCACACTGGTGAGAAACCCTACAAGTGTGAGGAGTGCAGCAGGCAGTTCACTCAGCTGAGTAATCTGAAGTCTCACATGCGGACTCACACAGGTGAGAAATCCTACAGGTGTGAGGAGTGCAGTAGGCAGTTCAGTAGGCTCGGTAGCCTGAAGAGACACATGCAGACACACCTGTGAGAAACCCTATAGGTGTGACTGAGGAGTACAAAACCTCACAGTTTTGAGGATTGTGTTGTGAATCTGGTCCTTTGAAATATATAGGTTTTAAAGTCTGACAGGGAAGAAACTTCAACAGTGTGAGGACTTAAAAAAAACTACACACCTGGGCCATTGCAAGAGACACATACAAACTCTCAAGTGGGGGATTTTAGAATACCTCAACTTGTGTGCAGGCCATAATGACCTAAAGAAGGCGGGTCATGTGAAACCATACAGGGAAAAAAAAGAAATAGTAGTACTTGGATTGATGACATTCATGTTGTACAAGATACCTTTTTGACTATGAGCAAGTTGTATTTACAATCATGTCAACTCTCTTTTATGTGAAAGTGAGGAATAAAACTAGTAAAGGAAACCTATGATGTACATCATATACTACGTTTCAGTACATTTTGTTAAGTCTACAGCATAGCATACATAGGGGATGTAAAACATTGTATATCAAGCTAACTAACCCGTAACCTAAGTTTATTTCTTTAAAGTTCTTTTGTTATAGAGGACTCTAGAGTTTTGGTTTTATAGATATTAGCATGTTATGGTTTATTCTGTTAACCTAGATATTAAATGTATTTATAGATTCTTTATTTAGTATAGTATTTGTTTTCTTGTTACTAATCGTTGCCATAGATGACAGAATTACATACACTTTATGTAATTGTAGGTAAGTAAAGACTAGTGTTGTTGCTGATATTATAAACAAGTGCATAAAATTTTGTAGCTATAGTTATAGAAGCTAATATTCACTCTTGAAGTAAATAGATCTATATGCGAAGTGCCTGTTGTTACTAGTAGTTTGTTACTTGTATGTTAAGATCCATTGGTTTAAGTCGTTTTCATTTGTTGGAAATAAATTTCGTTTTGAATTTTAGGATTTCCATGACAATATACACATATTGGTTCAAAACCCTGTCAATCAAGCTTGTAAATCCTTGGCAGTCGTTGGAACAGAAGGCATGTTCCATTTGGGGTCACAGGCGGTCAGTTGTATACAGGGGGTTTGACATGCAATATTTACTTTCAGTACAAGTTCTTTCGCACACAGGTAAGTTCTTATACCGCCCTCTTTTCTCTCTCTCTCTCTCTCTCTCTCTCTCTCTCTCTCTCTCTCATAATAAGTGACTCCACTACAGCTAGGGTCGCTTTTTATTTATATCACAACTGCTTTTTTTTACCGTTCACTTCTTCACCTCAATATAGGATCTTCTTGAACGACACTGTAGCCCTTGTAAACTTTCACGTTAAACGCCTTTAATAGCATGACACGTAGAGATTATAAATAGCATTCCTCTTAAAAATTCAATTTATCCTTAAAAATTTCACATGTAGAGAGAAACAATGTTACTGAACACACTACTTTAGCAAGTCAATTCTACATATGTAGTTTATTTGTATATTTCTTGTTAATCAAAGCATTAAATACACTTACATTACATATTATACACGATGAGACAATATATATGTAGAAGACACATTCATATATGTCAGTCAATAAATTACTTGGCCCCTCTTTTAACAAATCGTTTCAATATTAGACTAGAGCATTCATAAATATTTGAAAGGCTGTCTCGTCAAGAACAAACCCTAGGGCTTTTCTGGCAGTTATAATTGCTCGTCATCTGGCCCATGCCTTTTTTTTCTAGAACAGCTCAATCATACTTATTTATATTGTAAATATTGCAAATTAAGATAATCAATAAAAATGTAGAGTAAACATGAAACTGTAGAGTAAAATCTATAGCTGATTATCTTACTAAATACACATTTTCCAAGTATTGTGTTCATATGTCTTTCCATTTTTTCATCATAAGTAAGCTTGTAGAATATCTCGGGTTGAATATCACTATTTATACAAAAAGGAGTACAAACTACCACAACAGCTTCACAAGAAAGTTATTTAAAAACACAACTAGAGTCCCACGATCTCATACCTTCGCCAAATGATGTTAAATGATGCATGACTGACAAAGATGATTCCTCCTGATGATGCAAATAGGATCCTCATTTGCATGAATTATATCAGTTGATCATAGTCTCCATCAAAAGACAGCCTTATCTTAACAAAGAAAGCCATTCTATCATTTCCTCATAAATTATGCAAATGAGGTCCTTATTTGAATAAGTTATGTTTAATGATGTTCACCTTTACTTAACTTTCAAATACCCCAAGTGTGAAATGCCAGGCAGTTAGCATTATGGAATTACAACAGTTTCTCATTAATTATGCAAAAAAAAATTTTTAATATAGCCAAATAGTTACAACAGGGTTCAAAAGACACTGTGCATAGGGCCTAGATCACAGCACAGTACAGGGGGTGGGGGTCCAAATCACAGCTAGCTGCATGTAGAACATTGTTTTCCCAGGGAATTTTGGGGCAAGCACAGTGACCACTGACTGTACAGTATACGTATGAGGGACGTCACTGCCACGGCACTTTACACTAGAGCTACACTCAACTTTTTGACCCCCAAGTCGGTGGGATATCTTGGAACTCTGGGTTGGTATAGCATCGCATTGCTGCGGGAAGACACTGCAGCATTTAGGTTGATTTAATGGGCAAAAACTATTTGACAATCAAAATACCCCGCACTATTACATGGTCATTTCAATCATGGGAGGGGCCACAACATTCTAGAGAAGTAAACCCATAAACCCATAAAAGTAGAGATCTACACATTCATTATACGAAATTTAAATGTACTCAAAAAACTAAAAAAAGTGAAAAACGTACAATATTCAAAGACAATTCAAACACTATAGCTTTACTGGATAAATTACGGAGATTGTAGGAGTTTTTGTCATATTCAACCGCTCCAGTTCCTTTACATGTCGTAAGTGTTCACAAGTTCTAGATGATCTGTCAGTTCATTTCAGTGACATTGGAGAAGTTCAAAATTTATTGTTCAATCAACAATATTTGTTTTTGCAAGAGGCACTTTCTCCTGAGAGATGGAGTATGGAGAAAGAAAGGGTGATTTGCTTCCGAAGTAGTGGCAAAACATGTCATGGCCGAGAAAGTTTGAAGTGGGGGCACAAGCGAGATTCAACTTGTGGGAACATTTGGAAAAAATACTTAAGTTTTAGTCTTAAGTTTTACTAGTCAGTTTGACTGCGGATGTTCAGGGAGCCACTGTTCAGTAGTGGTGAGTCCCGCTTGTCGTCTATGGAGGTCCTGAAAAGAAAAACAAACAAGTAGGAATTAGCAGGGATGACATGTAGAATGATTTAGTAAAGACAAGGTTTGCAACAGGAGCAATGATTGTCTGTTGCCTTATTCTGATGTGCCGTGTTTACTAAATGAAAGGGTTTTAAGAAATAGGGGGATGCAATATGTACCTGGAGCAGTTTGGCATATGAAGTAAAGCGGCACGTCGCAGAAATAGACGGCCCACTTGTCTTTGTAGGATGAGGGGTAAATGACGCAATCTTTGTTGCGCCCCCAGTTGTTCGGTTGTCTCGGCATCCAGGGGCTGTACGACCCAAGTGCAGAACCGTCCATCCACTCAAACTTTCCCTCTTCGCGCTGATCGTGCAGGCCGATCCAGTAGGCCAAACGGACGCTCACGGACTTGTACAGGGAGACCAGGAAGCCGTTGGTGTCAGCGTCTCGGGGCATGGCGAGGGTGCCGCCGTCTGCACCACAGGCCGCGGTCGCTTGGTCGAAGGTCTTGCGTGTGTTGAAGGCCTTGTAGCAGATTCCATGCCAGATTGTGTAACCTTCGGGACAAGATGCTGGAAAGCACGTTTTGTATCAATAACAGGCAAAGGATCATGTTAAAATGATGACATACATGAAATAGATGCTTCATGAACAATAAATCTACCAAAATCTACTAAAAACAATTTACGTAGAGTCTTCTCAATCTTGTGAAGACGCTGCTCCAGGGTGGCGGTCCGGTTGCGCTCGTTGTTCAGGTCACGCTTCAAGGCGTCAACAGTGGTGGACATGTCGTCTTGGTCACGCTTCAAGGCGTCAACAGTGGTGGACATGTCGTCTTGGTCGCGCTTCAAGGCGTCAACAGTGGTGGACATGTCGTCTTGGTCACGCTTCAAGGTGTGGACACTGGTGGACATGTCGTCTTGGTCACGCTTCAAGGCGTCAACAGTGGTGGACATGTCGTCTTGGTCACGCTTCAAGGCGTCAACAGTGGTGGACATGTCGTCTTGGTCGCGTTTCAAGGCGTCAAAAGTAGTCGACAATTGGGATATTTCCTGCAAATATGTATACATACACATGTCAGAATACCGAACGTAAGAAACAAACTTATGAAAAAGAGCAGCAAATACTTTGTACCCTTTGATGACAATGAGAAAAATAGCTGGACAATAAGTTTTATAGTACATGACTGTTACCTGCTTGTTGCTGAACGTCAGAGGGGCGAGTCCCACGGCGCCCAGACTAAGCAGCACGGCGATGCCGGCGGCCAGGGTGCTGCGGCGGGCTCGAAGAAAGCTACAGACACCGTGGCGGACGCTCGCTCCACCCGGATACGAGCGGTCTGGTAGAAAAACATATTTCGCTAACTGATAATCACCCACGTCAACATGTAAACATTGTCATCAAATTCAAACATACAGCAAAATATACAAAAGTCGGGAAATGTTCACATACCCCCCTTTTACATGTACAGCAAAAAAAGCTCTTATGAGTTGACAGAAAAAAAAATCCATTGTGAAAGGTGTGAAAAGTGTCGGTTACCTGCTGGCGTTGCATAACGTTTTACCTCCTCGGCGTCTTCGTACGTGTGTGAAGGAGTGCCCTGGTCTCCCACCTGCTTGTCAGAAGCGCCGTTGCCATGGCGGACACGCCCGCGTGAACCACTCTGACGGGGTTGGGGCGGCGGCCTGCTGGTAAACGTTTGGCGGCTGCCGGGGCCGGAGAAAGGCGACCGGACAGGCTCTGCCTGCTCGTACATTTCAACTGTGCAGACAGCAGGTACGCAGTACAACAACCAACGTCAAGGCGCATGCATATACACAAAGATGCCAAGATTAGTCTGAGAAGTGATAATATCTTTGCCCATATTTGGAGGGGTAGCGTGGTATGACGCATTGCCTATGGCATTTTGTTTTTCTGCAAGAGCCAGACTCATTTTCGTGGAAAAAGAAATAATCTGCGCCGGTAGAGAGAAACAGCAAACTCATTTATTTAAACTTACGGGGGAACTCTAAATGTCATCTCGTGAGTTTTACAGACATGTGCGCATGCATCAACGTTGCCATAAATACATGTAGCAGAGATGCCCCCCCTCCCCCCAGTTCTTTGGTTGCCGACAAAATGGTAGAAATTACTTAGAAGAGGTGAATCTAGCGGCAGCAATGCCCATGATTTCTTTTTCTTCCTTTTGAATATCATTTTAAAGTGGAATAGAGGGATATCTTCTTTCAAAGCATGACCTCATTTGCATAAGTTTCAAGTTTTCAAGTTTTATTAATAAAATCAGCCTTGCAGCCAGTTTACAAAGTCGACCAAGCTGAATTACACTGATTTTTACAAATTTTGTACATAGTAGATACAAATACACATTTACATGACAATACTGATACATATACAGGCACGCAAACGAACATGTTACAAAATCACACAATACACAAGGGCACTGAAGTAAAGTCGGCGTCATGAGGAAGTGATGGAATAGCCTTTTTTGTTAACATAAGGCTGTCATTGGGTGGAGAATATATATATATATAATCAAGTGATATAATCCATCCAAATGAGGCTCTTATTTGCGAAATCAATTATTAAAATTGTATGATTCGTCAACCAGAAGGGTTAACATCATTCGGCGAAGGTATAAGATCGTGGTACTCTTTTTGTTGTAAGAGGTGATGCAATATAACATTTTGTTTTTTGCAAGAGCCAGGCTCATTTTCGTGGAAAAAGAAGTAATCTGGGCTGGTAGGCAGAAACAGCAAACACATCAATTCAAACATAAGAGAGTGGTTTTATTGTAATTATCAAATTCTCGTGACTTTTACAGACGTGTGCATGCAGCAACGTTGTTATACATACATGTAGTAGACATGCCCCCCCCCCCACCACTTCTTTGCTTGCCGAAAAAATAAAGATATTGTGCACACAAGATGGCAGTGGCAACAATACTCTTGCTTTGTTTTTTTCTTCCTTATGAATATCATTTTGTCGGGTGGGATAAAGGGTATTACAGACTTTATATCTCCTTTCGACATCTATCTGCATTCATACTTTCACCCCAGGTGATATTCTATTCCTTACCACACAGCAAGATTGGCAACAAGAGGTGGTGCTATGGCGAAGGTTTCAACTATTAAGGCCTAGGAAAAAAAATGTTGTGTTTCCGGTTACCCGACCGACCCTATGAAAAACCCCCCGACCCTAGCCTTTTTTGGGCCGACCAAAAATTTCGAGCGGCTAGCGGTCGGTTTTCAAAATTGGGGATTTTATCCCCGATAAATGTGCTCGTCATTCCAATTTTCTTCGGTCGGGCGGCGTGGATCGAGCGCTAATTGCACGGATCGGGCCGCTATTCAATTCCATTGTCGGCACAATCCTGTGAATTGACGATGAATTGTCGATCTCGCCATGACGCCACAAAGAAAACGTTGTCATTGGTAGAAAATCTGACACCCCGCTGGCGTTTCACAACAAAATTTTCATGTAAACAACTCCGACTGTCTTTGTTTACATCGCGAAAGCTCACCGATACAAAGTAAAACTCCCGCCGGCCGGCCGCGCCCGATCGCATGGTTGCGGCATGGCGCTAAGTTTTCGGCAGCTCGACGGAAAAATAATCCATCCCCAGAAGAAATGTTACGCATGAAAATAACAACTACAACTTGTTTTCCTCGTTATATGAGTTTTTGAGGCCGTAAAATGTTTAAAACGGTTGAAATTTGCTCGAAAAAACGGCTCGAAAATTCACGGCGAGACAGACAACATGGCCGACCTGTTTTCACAATAACAATGGTCAAAGGTCAAGATAGCATCCAAATGTATAGATACATGTAATAAGTACATATTACAGTGCTAAACGATACTTTAAACGCATGAAAAATATTTTTACGGCTACAACTGAAATAAAAATTCAGTTATATTTTAGTAAGGTTAATTTTCAAACATTACTGAGAAATTTTCCGAATTAATTGGTTTCTTGTGTAATATTGTTGTTTCTATGTATGTGCGGTTGGATGCTGTCATTGTAAAAAGGGAGAATCAGATGAGATATTAGAGATTATCACGCTTAGTACCGTGACCCGAGTGCCTCTCAAAAATTGTTTTTGAGTGGAGTTTATAAACATGATCACATTTTTATTTGTTCAGCTGTGTCAATATGTGATTTGTTTGAGAAATAGGATTTGGTTTAGTTTTTAATATATTAATGTCAGTTAACATCTTTGGAATAAATTGCTCCAAGTTCCAGGTAGTAAATACATGTACATTTTGTATCATGTATTTTTCACTTGTTGAACTTGTGGAAGCACCGTTGGCCCCCGGTTAGGGGTCATCCGGGGAACCTATGCCCAATTTTTTTCAAAATTAAGGGTAGAATTTTTTTTTTTGAACATGAGGATAATTAAGTACAGATCTTGAACCTTTCTACTGCCTTATACATCTGCAGTTGTACAGAAAATGTAGAACTGAAGTTGCAGGAAATGACCTCCATTTGTGTTTGGAAAAGACACAAATGCAATACGCTTCCCCCCCCCCCTCCCAGACCTCCCCCCGCCGCCCGCTCCTCCATGCTCCACCCTGCTCTGAATTTCTGGGGAGATCCCTGTCTGTGTAGTACAAACAGATCATACGTTCATTGTCCCGGCGTTGACTAAAAAAAAAAAAAAAAAAAAAGTGAATCCCTACCTACCGACCCTAATTTTTTCTGGACTGTAATAGGAAACACAACATTTATTTTGTTAGGCCTAATTGGTATTTATTTAAGATTTCAGTCACGTGCGTTACAAAACAACTTATGGGTATAATTCGCCCAAGAAAAGGCATCTACGGGTGCCCATAGTGAACATATTGTTTTTGCTCTGCTTCTTCTTCGTCAAACAAATAAAGTCAGTGACCTTGACAAGACCTTCCAAATAAGGTCAGTGACCTTGACAAGACCTTTGTCACCATGGTGACTGATGCTGTAGCAGACACATCGTGGTGCCAGGGTACATTATGTATATCAAGTGGCAGTTGGAGTTAGAGAAGCTGGTCACCATATATATGAATGTGGTTAAGTAAGAATAATCAGAGCAGTAGCAGGCTAGACCATGTGAAGGTAAACATTCTGCATTTGCCTTTCAAATGTTACTTCTCTAGTTTCTATGGAAACTTTCCTTATATGTTGCTCATTACTCAGTTGGAGTTTCCTTTTTCGTGCTCAGGACAGAAGGAGGCGGCGGTAAGTCAAGCTCAAAGCGACACTTCACTCTCTTGGGGTGAAGAAATAAAGGGAATGTCTAGATTATGTGGAATATACAACACTAGATTATAAATATTTCAATCATGTAATGATAGACATATACGCATGAAACGTAGACTGTAAATTTTCTTCGTGTGGAAACTGAAGCGTGGCTACAACAGAACAGTACTGATTCATTACATTCCATTTAGTATTTCTCCTGTGCAGTTTTTTTCTCTTTTTACTACAGTTTCACCTCAAAACAAGGCTCATACGAACCATTCGCATGTTTGGGTAAAGGGGGGAACTGTAAAGACAGATGTTTGTTTACCTTTGACTTGTAAAGTTAAGGGTTGTACCCATTTGGGAAGCGTTCACAGAGAACCTTGTTCCATAGTGATGTAGTTCTAGGAAATAAGCTTTCAGCGTGGAATTTCTTGAGAGATGGGGTACTAGTATGTAGGAGGAAAGGGTTGCTTCGGTAGTAGTATTGGCAAAACGTGTGCTGGCCGAGAAAGATTGAAGTGGGGACACAGGAGAGTGAGTCACAAATGAGATCAAACTTGTAGGAACATTGGAGAAAATACTTTTAATTTCAATTTGTAAAACGTTTTACTAAAACTTAAAAGTTTTAGTAAAACGTTTTACAAATTGGTTTTAGATTTATGTCTACTAGTTTAGTCGTCAGTTTTACTTGTTAGTTTGACTGCAAACGGTTAGAGATCCGATTTACAGTAGTGGTGAGAGTTCCGCCTGTCGCCTATGGACGTCCTGAAAAAAATACTAGTAGTCAGAATTATCAGGGATGAGATGTAGAATAGTTGAGTAAAGACATGGCTTGTAACAGGAGCAATGATCTGCCGCTTATATATTCTGATGGGTACTTCAGCTGTGCGATGTTTACTAGATGGTAGGGTTTCAAGAAATAGTGAGGATACAACAAGTACCTGGAGCAGCCTGGCAAATGAAGTAATTGGACCACTTGCAGCGAAAGTCGCACCACTTGTCTTTCTGGGATTCTTGCGGGCAGTAAACGACGCAATCAGTGACGTCCACAAACTTGTACGGTCGTCCCAGAGCCCAGGAGTTGTACGGCCCAAGTGCAGAACCGTCCATCCACTCAAACTTTCCCTCTTCGCGCTGATCGTGCAGGCCGATCCAGTAGACCCCGCGCACGGACTTGTACAGGGAGACCAGGAAGGCGTTGGTGTCAGCGTCTCGGGGCATGGCGAGGGTGCCGCCGTCTGCACAACAGGCCGCGGTCGCTTGGTCGAAGGTCTTGCGTATGTTGAAGGCCTTGTAGCAGATTCCACGCCAGATTGTATAACCTTCGGGACAAGATGCTGGAAAGCACGTTTTGTATCAGCAACAGGCAAAGGATCATGTTAAAAATGATGACATGCATGAAATAGATGCTTCATGAACAATACATTTACCAAAATCTACTAAAAACAATTTACGTAAAGTCTTCTCAATCTTGTGAAGACGCTGCTCCAGGGTGGCGGTCCGGTTGCGCTCGTTGTTCAGGTCACGCTTCAAGGCGTCAACAGTGGTGGACATGTCGTCTTGGTCGCGCTTCAAGGCGTCAACAGTGGTGGACATGTCGTCTTGGTCACGCTTCAAGGCGTCAACAGTGGTGGACATGTCGTCTTGGTCACGCTTCAAGGTGTGGACACTGGTGGACATGTCGTCTTGGTCGCGCTTCAAGGTGTGGACACTGGTGGACATGTCGTCTTGGTCACGCTTCAAGGCGTCAACAGTGGTGGACATGTCGTCTTGGTCACGCTTCAAGGCGTCAACAGTGATGGACAATTGACGCAAGTCGTCTTGGTCGCGTTTCAAGGCGTCAAAAGTAGTCGACAATTGGGATATTTCCTACAAACATGTATACATACGCATGTCAGAATACCGAACGTAAGAAACAAACTTAAAAAGCAGCAAATACTTTGCACCCTTTTAGAAATTTGATGACGATGAGAAAAATAGCTGGAAATAAGCTTTATAGTACATGACTGTTACCTGCTTGTTGCTGAACGTCAGAGGGGCGAGTCCCACGGCGCCCAAGCTCAGTAGCACGGCGATGCCGGCGGCTAGGCAGCTGCGGCGGGCGCGGAGGAAGCTACAGACACCCCGGCGGCCGCTCGCTCCACCCGGATACGCGCGGTCTGGTAGGAAAAAACATCGCTCAGGTTATCGCTTACGTCAACTTACCAACTCAACATGTTGATACATAAATACATGTTCAATGTACATGCCACATTAACAAAACAAGGCCAGGCATTTATCATGTCTTGATTATGCATCCTTGATTATGCAAATCGCTCCGAAAGGTACCTAATATATGCATTGTGATGCCCAGTTGTAACTAATTTCACACACGTCACAAGTGTAAAATCCCCTCAAGGAACAACAACATTTTCGTATTAATTTTGCAAATGAGGCCCTAGTTCCTACCTACCTATCCTATTTTTCACGACTAATGTCAGAAACACAATGACATTTCCAAGGACTAAAGCCCGTTGTGCATGTGGCAGGAAAAGTGTACCTTTGACGAATCCGTGAATTCCATCGCACCGAATCCGGTGCGAGAACGTTCGCGTACCCTGCTGATGAATTTTACATGAGAGGCGTACAGCAAATAATAAAGGGTTTTCTTGTTGTCATGAAATTTATCCATACAATAAACTATGTAATAATCAGTAGGTTAACATATACACTTTAAAAATATCCACTGTAAAAGGCAGGTGTGAAAAGCGTCGGTTATAATTACCTGCAGACGTTGCGTAACGTTTCACCTCCTCGGCGTCTTCGTACGTGTGTGAAGACGTGTCCTGGTCTTCCCGCTGCTTGTCATGATCAGAAGCGCCGTTGCCATGGCGGACACGCCCGCGTGAACCACTCTGAGGGACGGGACGGGGTTGGGTCGGCCCGCTGCTTTGGCGGCTGTCGGGGCCGGAGAAAGGCGACCGGACAGGCTCTGCCTGCTCGTACATTTCGGCCGTAATGTGCAGACTGTATTGTTGCGCAGTGTATAACTGTGCAAAATTCATGAATATGGCAACTAACACCTTAATTAGTCTGACAAAGTAAGGCTACATTTGCCCGTATTTGGTAGAATGACGTGGGATGAGGTGATGCAATAGCATTTTGTGTTTATGCAAGAGCCTCATTTTCGTGGAAAACGAAGCAATCTGAGCCGGTAGGCAGAAACATCAAACAACTCTATTCAAACATAAAAGAGAATTCTTATGGTAATCGGTAAAATCTCGTGACCTATACAGACATGTGCGCATGCACCAACGTTGTCATGCATACATGTAGCAGACATGCCCAAGCCCCCCTCCCCACTTCTTTGGTTGCCGACAAAATAGTAGATATTGTCTACACTACATGGCAGTGACAGCAAAACTCATGCTCTTTTTTCTTGCTTTTAAATATCATTTTGAAGTGGAGTAAAGGATTTTGTATGATGGATATCTCCTTTCTACCTCTATCTGCATGTCATACTTTCACCCCAGGTGATATTCTATTCTTTACAACACAACAAGATTGGCAATAAGAATCGGTTGCCATTGTGGAGGTTTCTTGTTTGATATTTATTCACGTTTTAGTCTCGTGCGTTACAAAATATCTTATGGATATAGTTTGCTCACGAAAGGACATCTACAGGTGTCCATTGTTAACAATTTATTTTCGTGGAAAACGAAATTAATCTGGGCTGGTAGGTATAAACATCAAACAACTCTATTCAAACATAAGAGAGAATCATCATTATATAAGATGATGCAATAGCATTACGATTTTGCAAGAGCCAGGCTCATTTTTTTGTGGAAAACGAAGTAATCTGGGCTGGTAGGCAGAAACATCAAACAACTCTATTCAAACACAAGAGAGAATCATTATTATATAAGATGATGCAATAGCATTTTGATTTTGCAAGAGCCAGACTCATTTTCGTGGAAAACGAAGTAATCTGGGCTGGTAGGCAGAAACATCAAACAAATCTATTCAAACATAAGAGAGAATTCTTATGGTAATCGGTAAAATCTCGTGACTTTTACAGACATGTGCGCATGCACCAACGTTGTCAAATATACACCAAAATGATTTTCCTACACCGGGAATAGAACCCTTGATTCTTGGTTGTGAGAGCGCCAAATCCAAACCACTAGAGGTAGCGCTAAGCTAAGCTCAAGACGACACTTAACTCTCTTGGGGTGACTTTGTTCATCTATTTAGATTGTCACGTTTTTGATTTTATGTAGCCTGTGTTTACACTAGTCAGTCTGCAACTGTTTCCCCAAGGGGGGCGGCAAACCTCTGGGCAGGTGGCCACCAGGAGCGCGATTTTTTAGTCAGGCTAGATTATTAGACCAGGGATTTAGCCATTTTTACGATACGTTGTTACGTCTCTTCATATTTATCTGCCATCCACCGTCCGACATGGCGGCGACAGACTGCCCAATTTCGGCATGTTGACCAGTGTCAGAGGGCAACAAAATTTCTTTTCTTTTTCGAAATCAGGCGAAAATTACTTGATTTGGCCTTAGTTGAATCTCCAACATAGCTGACCATAATTGTCCATGTGGTCAACATTGGTAACTGAAGAGATGGAGGCGTTACATAATATTTTTAGAAGAGATGGAGGGAGAAACACGTGCATTTGCTCGCTGATATTGCCTTTCTAATCTGTTAACATGTATGTGTTTGCCAATCCAGGGCATCTACATGAAAGTCCGTTCAGAAATCGTGAAATCTTTGAATTCAACTACCCCGTGTATTTCCACCACACCGTCATGCTGTCTGTTTTCTTTAGACACTATTTGGAGTACAAATCGGTGAATTGAGTTTCTGACCTTTGACCCATCATGTGACGGTCCTATGCCAGCTGGAAGAAAACCATGTTTTTTTTGCTCCCAGAAATGTTTTTAGCGAGCGATGGTGACTTTTTCAACCTCATCTATTAGCGATGTGGAACTCTTGGGATTGAACTGAAGCAGGACATCCCACTCTCAGTTAGTTTTCCTCCGTCAGTGCCTTTCGAAAGGCGCTCTGGCGAAGTGACACAGTTTTTGTGAACCAAACTTTGCCCCCCAGGAAAAAAAAGTTGCGTTTGGCGATTTCGTTTGGCTGTTTTGAAAGAGCGGAACTCTGTCCATGATCATGCCGGTGCCAGGGGAGCCCGAGGTGCGAGGGACAGGTGGACAGGTGGACGGTACGCTTAAGCTTTTCTCTCTAACCGAAACGCGAAACCTGTTCTTTGGGGACTTCTGTGTAAATAGGAAGTGGGGAGGGGGGCGGTGTCCCAGTAACCCACAGAATACGCACATACAAGGATTTGAGGCATACTCTCCTGTCATCCAATGATTAAACATTTAATGGTTAATCTACTAGTACTTCATGAAATTGCTTTAACCCTTTTGAAACATTTGAGTAAACGTTGTGCTTCCCAACATCTATGTACCTCAGTAGGGCCTAGTATCCTATATGGTATAACAGTGTGTACTCTTGTTCTTGTTTGGGTACTGCACAACACCCCTAAATTGGGGTAAAGCGTGCAGGGGAAGCGTGTAAAGTTGATATTATATAAAAATTTTAAAGAATGTCCACCTTGACATGACAGTAGCTTGCTTTTCATTTGTGAATAGTGTAACAAAGTGATTTTTTTTTAAATATGGTGGTCTTGATGTCCCCAGTAAGATTACGAGACCCAGGGTTCGAGTCCTGACATGCCACCGATCTTGTGTCCTTGGGAAAGGCACCTTACACGACTTTCCCCACTAGACTCAAGTGAAAATGAGTATTGTCTTGTCCTGCATTCATCCTCTGCGTTGGTGGTGGCATAAAATAAGTTGATATAACTTGAGTGTGCTGTCACTATGTCTAGTCATGAAATGTTGGAATATATATTTCAAAAAATTATGAGAATTGAGCCTTTTGTATACATGTATACTATATGATGATGATATGTATTGATTTTGATTTCTGATTTTCTGAAGTCATCACAATGGCCCTTATCGACGCTGCGTACGATAAGAACGAGAACGTGCGGGAGTTGATCGGCACGTCGCTGTACGACCTGGGACGCAAGCAGCCGGTCATGGTGCTGAGCTCCCTGCACTCCTACCTCATCAGACATGCCAAGGTTTGTTTGTTTGTTTGTTTGTTTTGGTAAAACGCGTAACACATGTTTTGTACATTATCATGAAAGTTCATCTGTGTTAGTAGTTATCATAGTAAAACGTTGAACTTTATTCCAACACACAGTTGTACAGGGATCAAATTTTCTGCAACCACTGTCGCCTTCATCAGGATAATTAATGACCAATCACTCCACAATTTTGTACGTACATGTACAAGCTGAACCACTCACACCGGGAAGGTCCCCTACTCTTTTTGATAAGTGCGGTGGAATCTTTAACGTGCTTGAGGTGTGGCTCTCCCCAAACACGGGACCTCCATTTAACGTCCTATCCAAGGAACGTCCCTAACCGAGGCTAGGCACTCATTTCCACCTGAGTGAAGTGAGGAAAGTCGTGTAAAGTGCCTTTCCCAAGGGCACAAGATCAGTGACATGGGCAGGATTGAAACCCGTGACCTCTTGGGTACAGCATGGTCATTACTAGCCTCCCCAAGGCCTTTAGAAGTGGCTAGAGAGAACTTAGAAATTGGCCAAGTGAACACAGGGCTTGAAATACCCATGTGCAATGTGCAAAATGCACATGGTTTTCAAGATTTGCACTTAAAAATACATTGTATTTTGAATGTGCAATTTTGCACCTAGAGCAGGAGTGGGAGGGGGCGTTGCAGGGCGTCCAGAATAGGTTGTTAAGTTAGTTTTTAAAATATTTTCCTAAAACAATCGTAGAGTGAAATGCGCTGCTATCAAGTGTAGCTAAGACAACATCTCTGGGTGACTTAAAACAATGCTTGCTGTCAGATGTGCAAAGATACATGTATAACTGGTCATTTGTTGAAATATAGCCAGCTACCATCAAGAATTAGTCTGCTCAATGTATTAGCCTACCAGCTATTGGCCAGTGACTACTACTCACTGAGTACTAGAACTGGCAAATAGCTCATAGGGATTCCAGGATACATTGTATTAAGCTGGAAAAAGATTGTAACCATCACAAGACATGACTTCTGATGTTTTAAATCTGTCCCAGCTTGCCCAGGGCCATCGTGTAGTCTTGCTGTCCACCATCGAGAGGATTGTAAAGGACACCATCGACGACATGCCTCAGACTCTGGCTCGTGACCTCATCGACCTGAGTTTAGACGAAATGACCAGGTCAAAGGTCAGCGACTTCTCCTTCTGCCCAGTTTAGTATACATGTATTTTATGCAGGTACTTCTAAATTGCACTGATCGCTGCATTGAGTTTTTTTTTATACATGTGGATTCTGCACTGTTTGTTACCACTCATAAAATACTAAAAGAATTAAATTTGTTTCTTGAAGTTGGTACATACTCGATATAGTGGTGCAGGTACCATTTGTCTGGTACAGGTTATTTCCAATGCTTCCTGCACAGTGTAAGATTACAGGTACACAGAAAAGGGTTACTAAAACTTTGGTAGATAAAAATCATAATTATGTATCTTAGAACCGAGTTTATATTGATTTACCAACCTTACAAAACTATTTAAGGTACAGGAATACAGTATCATCTTGCTTGTTTTTCTAACAATAATCCTTCTCCAAACCACGGCTCTGCAGGATATCGTGCCTGACTGGCAGACTGCGGCCAGTAACGTGCTGGTTGCCATGGGAACCAGGTTCTGTAACGAGGTGATGGAGGGTCTGCACCAGAAGTTCCAGCCGGGCGTCATGCCTCACTTCTTTGTGGTACAGACACTGGGCAGTCTGGCCTCAGCCAATGGCAAGTGTTGTTACTTTTTACATTGGGTCAGTTTAGCCAATGGTAAGTGTTGTAACAGTTACTTTTTACATTAGGCAGTTTAGCCTCAGCCAATGACATGTTTCTTTACTGTTGCCTAGGCTAGGGCAGTCTGGCCCCAGCCAATGGCAAGTGTTGTAACTGTACTTTTTACATTAGGCAGTTTAGCCTCAGCCAATGACATGTTTCTTTACTGTTGCCTAGGCTAGGGCAGTCTGGCCTCAGCCAATGGCACATGTCTTAACTTTTTACAATGGGTAGTTTGACTTCAGCCAATGGCATGTGTCTTTACATTTTACCTTGGGAAGTCTGGTTCAGATTAGCATGTGTCTTGATCTCAGCCAATGTTTTGCTAAGAGATATGACAAAAATATTGTTTTTCTAATTTTCCAACCAACCATAGCAAATGCATTATGAAAACTTAAACTTTTCTCCAACTCAAAATTTGACTCGCCAGGGAAATTTTCGACTGAATCACTCAGTCTTCCTCAGCTATCTGACCCAAATGCTGTGGACACGTGATTTTTCCCACGTGTGACATCAGCAAAGGGTCAAAGGTTGTCTGAAGTCGATATCATAAAAGTCTATCATAAAAGAGGCCATATACATCACGCTCAACCGGGCCGGGGGTGATATCGACTTCAGACAACCTTTGACCCTTTGCTGACGTCACACGTGGGAAAAATCACGTGTCCACAGCATTTGGGTCAGATAGCTGAGGAAGACTGAGTGAGTTTGTTTTTCATAATAATTTACCAACTCAGATGAACTTTCATGCTGATAGCAAATGCAGCTAACTCTTGCCTTTAGGGTTGACCACATGAAAATTTTCGACCAAAATTTATACCACCTGGGATTTTTTGTGATGGAAATTACATTTCAAACCTGTTTCAGAATGATGTTCATTACAGCAACTGTAGTATTGACACTGTCTCCTGTGCCTGTTCAGTGTATTGCATGGTGCCGTTCCTGACAGCAGTGTTAGGTACCATGTTACCCATGCTGGGGATGGCCAAACACGACAACATGAAATGGGTCTTCGCTCACGGTAAGCCTATTACATGTACTTGAAAATTACAAAATTACTATCCATTTTGTCACTATATTCTGTAGTCTATTCTACCAGTAACATCTGTGTCCATAATATCACCAGGGTCCATAATATCGCCACCTTGAGAAATAGTGTGCTTAAAGATATATTTATTGCAACATACCCTATACATTTGAGGTGTGCATACCAAAAAGTATGTCGCAGTAAAAATATCTTTAAGCACACTGTTTCTCAAGGTGGCGATATTATGGATCCTGGTAATTATGGACACATATGTTAGATCACACTCATGTCCATAGTCTATATTTCAAGTGTTCCTGTCCTATATTGTAAAAAGCTTGTTTTCTTAGAAAAGGGCAATTTTCCTACATAGACCTAATATCTAAGTATGATTTCTAAAGGTTTCTTTTACCTAAGTTACATGTACATGTACTACCATCGACTATGGTATAAAAATACATGTATCATGATGTTTACAGGTGACTTTGATAAATTGTTCCGGTATGTGTGTGTTTGAAGTTACAATTATGTATATTTATCAAATATGCACGTTGATTAAGAGTTTCTACCCAGCCTCCAGTTTAATTCCGGACTTCCAGTTTGATTCCGGACAACCTCCCATATCTCAGCAACCTTAAACCCAGATGGGCTAATATCGCAAAGCATAGGTAAAAATGAAGAAATATGTAGCAGCTATTCACGATGCCCTGTGGGTTCGTCCAATTATGCATAATTATGCATAACCCTCAAAGCATTATGCATAATTATGCATAATTATGCATAACCCCCTGGGGGTTCATCCAATTATGCATAATTATGCATAACCCCCTGGGGGTTCGTCCAATTATGCATAATTATGCATAACCCCTCAAAGCATTATGCATAATTAGTTATTACATGTATGATGCTCAATGCTCTAAGTCAGTATTTCTAAATTTTCTACATATTGTCATATACTGTAATCTGTCTTTGCCCAGCCATTGGTAAGTTCAGTGAGGCCATCCTAGACTACGTAGCTAACATCGACAAGGCTCCAGACCCCACAGTCAAGAAAGAGATGTTCTCTGGAGAGATCTACTCTGCCTACGAGACGTTCTTCAAGGTGTGGCTGCAGTCTAAGGAACCTAAGGTGCGTTTAGTAGTGAGCTACAGCATCTCAAGGACAGCTCCTTATGTTCCTTGTCTTGTGTTTCCTGATTCAGTTACAAGTAAAACTTGCATGAGGACACTTATATTTTCAATGACAATGTTGGAAACTGATTGTGCAATATCTCATCACTCAAGTGGCAGATCATGAAGTTAGAAAAGTTGATCAGCTCGAAAAATAAAATTTATGTCCCTTGTATACATCCACAAAAAAAAAGGCTAGGGTCGGCAGTTTTTTCTAGGGTTGATTGGGAAAGAGGAAAGAGGAAAAAAGGCATCCAGTGCAGTTTTTAGTGCAGCAATATTCTAGTCACTTATCTACGTACTGAGTTGAAACCACGCTATCCCATTGTATATTGACGCCCATGGAGCAAAAATTCCCAAAATTGTGAAGGAAAATGGTTACTGGAAGGGTCCTAGGCTGATTTTAGGGTACCACCCAGAAAATAAAGGACTCATCTTGGGGCTTATTTCTGCAGTTTTAAATGCCCAAAGTATGAAATGCTGATGAAAATGTACTAATGTGAAGCAGTATGTGTCAATATCACGAAGATTGCCTTATTAAGAATATTTCCAGTTTTGCTGCCCTGAAATTGTATTGGATGCCTTGAACATGATGCTGTTCTCCCAAGTTACAGCTGTGCCTGGCTTGTACAACTGTTAACATGATGCTGTTCTCCCATGTTACAGCTGCGCCTGGCTTGTACAACTGTTAACATGATGCTGTTCTCCCATGTTACAGCTGCGCCTGGCTTGTACAACTGTTAACATGATGCTGTTCTCCCATGTTACAGCTGCACCTGGCTTGTACAACTGTTAACATGATGCTGTCCTCCCATGTTACAGCTGTGCCTGGCTTGTACAACTGTTAACATGATGCTGTTCTCCCATGTTACAGCTGAGCCTGGCTTGTACAACTGTTAACATGATGCTGTTCTCCCATGTTACAGCTGTGCCTGGCTTGAACAACTCTTAACATGATGCTGTTATCCCATGTTACAGCTGTGCCTGGCTTGTACAACTGTTAACATGATGCTGTTCTCCCATGTTACAGCTGCGGCTGGCCGTTGTGGAGGCTGTTGGTCACATGAGCCACATCCTGACCCGAGACAAGCTGGAGGAACAGCTGACACAGCTGGTGCAGGGCATTCTGGGACTGTACAAGAAACAGCCTGAGCCCTTCTATGTCACACAGGTCAGAGGTCAATGTCATGAAACATGAAAGTCTGACAAGGATTGACTTATTGTAGAAAAGAATTTGGATTGGAAAAAAATCTGTCATGTTCTCTAGCAGTAGAGAAAATTACGCTTTACATAACACTTTTAGTACCAATAGTAGTTACATGTACATTGTATTACCTCCAGATGTGGTATCATTTTGGATGGGTTTGTGAGTATGTTTGTCTGGTCAGAGTACGTTGACAGTACGTGGGTGGGAAGATTGAGGATTGAGGAAGGTCAGACACAGGAAATGGGGTGAACTTGAAGGTCCCATAACCTGGTGGAGACACTGCATGGGGAAATTCAGTAAAACCAAGGATTGCATGGCCATGGGATGACCCTCTATCCGTGCATGGTTGCTGTCCTATAAGTATAACCAATGGACCTATCACATTATTACGTCACAGTTTGTTTACCTGTTCTAAAGAACATTCTAGAATGGTCAGTTAAAGAATATAGATCATTAATTTTCAAGTTTTCAAAGTCTTTCAATTTTTGCTGCGTCTAGTTTTGTTGACACAGCATTACATGCAGTAATGGGTGATTTAGTTGTGACATTAGAGGAAAGTAGTACTGTATAAAGGCCTTATATTAAGGCTAACGCTACACAAACATACGCTGTGCTACGTACCCCTGTACATCGATTGACCGGCATTCATGGCGGTAAACAAACTGTGACGTAATAATGTGATACAATGTAGGCACAATCTCTTAGGTTGTTACAATAACTTGACAATACCCCAAAATGTTTCCCATAGGCCTGAAATCTCTTATTTCTTGTTCCATAATAATTGCTGTATGTGAGATAGGGGAATTCTTTTTACACAACCAAAGAGTCTCACCTCGCTGACGTTTCGGTGTCTGTCAGACACCTTCTTCAGAGCTTCTGACTAGATTAGAAGAACACAAGAAGGAAGCTGACAACATGGACACAGTGAAGTACACAAGATCACAGAAAAGACATGCACAAAAAGAAGAAAAGAAATCAGCAGTTACAGATCATATTGCTAGAAACAACTGCGTAATTGACTGGGAGGGGGCGAAAGTTATAGACAGAGAAGACAATAGAAGAACCCGCTGGATCAAGGAGGCAGTTTGGATCAGAAAGTCAACCCCTGTAATGAACCGGGACGAGGGGGGGTACAAACTAAGCCACGTTTGGGATAGTGTTCTCGCCGCAAAAGCGCCACCTACATCGGCTACATATAGCGGCGAGATGCAGTACTCCAGTCAGAAGCTCTGAAGAAGGTGTCTGACAGACACCGAAACGTCAGCGAGGTGAGACTCTTTGGTTGTGTAAAAAGAATTCCTCTATCTCTTAAGTTTTACCAACCTGATGAAACTATTTTCGGAATTGCTGTATGTATTCCAGAGCTTGTGTATGATCCTGGATGCAGCGACGGTGGAAGAGAGCACCATTCTGGAACCTCAGCTGGACATGCTGCTGAATTCTCTCCATCCCGGGGTACGTTACAACCTATATTCTCTGTCCCAGGACACTGTGCAATAGGGCTGCGTACCTTTTTGTAACATCAGGTACAGGTACAGGTACAGAGGTTTAGGTCCAGGTCCAGACCTGAACCTGTACCTGAAAATTCATGCGCGTCACATGTTCTACGGATTTCTTCAATAATGACAGAAATATGAATCAAGTGTTGACAATCTGTCCTGTATCTTTCAAAGAACATCAAATATAACCATGAATGATATAACTAGGTTTCCTATCTCACTTCTCACTAGTTCTCAGTCACCACTCTTAGTGACCCACACTTACTGAACTTGGGTAAATCTCTTTATTCTAACTCTGGATGTTCATTTTCCTGGCAGGCCTCCTTGTGTGTAGTGATCAAGTATGAATTTTTGTTCCGGTCCAAAAAACCGGGCCACTGATGTTTTGGGTTTTTTAGACCGGACCGATATTATTTTTTCGGTCCGTACCGGTCCACCTGGGCCTGGACCGGTACGCAAACCTACTGTGCAACCATCATGTTGTGAAAAACAATACATAGGAAATGGAGTAGTCATTTTATAAGATTTCTTTCTAGAACCAGACCTGAAAAATTATGCTGTAGGGTAAATATCATGCTCTAGGGGAAATGTGCAGATGGTGATAGTTTCCAACTGTGGTTTACTAAAAAATCTTTTAAAAATGCATTTTTATGCATTTCCATATGTCCATCCCTTCGCTGTAATACCTCAACTTCTGTTGTTACGTATCAGGTTTGTGCCCAGCCTGACTTCAACAATGCGATGTCTGTGAAGAACCACAATGAACTGTTGAGATGCTTCACAGTTATTGGTAAGAAAGAGTTTGGCTTATGCTTTCCTTCAAAGTTTTGATGTGAAGATATCCCCATGTGATCAAGTCAGATTAGATATGAGTTTCTATATTTGGCACTGAAAGTGGTAGCAAAATGTTGCTATCTTACACATTGTATCAGCTTTACTGAACTACTTTTTCAGCACCGGGGACAACCACCATTCTTGATGATTTGTTGATAATTGGTATTGAGATCTTCATACGAATAGTAGGAGTCGTATAATGCATCAATTCAATAAAAACTTTTATGAACTTCTGTAAAACGAGTAATCCCTTTTATTTTGTGAAAAATCAAAATAAACAAATAATTTTCTTTGTGGTGGTCTTATTTTGTGCTTGGAGGGAAAAGGTTGTTTTTACGGTATTCTAGATTCTGTAGTAAATATTTGCAATGTCATCATTTGGCAATGGAGAAAAACCAACAACTGCAAATATTTACAGTGTTGTGGTAAGTATGATAATCAGCTTTTTACCTCCATGAAAAATGGAGGTATTGTTTTTGGTTTGTCTATCTGTGTGTCTGTATGTGTTTCCGCACATTTGTAGTCAGCATAACTTCAGAACGCCTTTATGGATTGTGCTGACATTTGGTATGTTGGTAGGTCATCGGAAGACAAAGGTCAAATATGGGCCTCCTGGTAGCTGTTAAACTCTGCATATTTCATGGAGGTATGAGTCCTCTGAATTTTCTGTCTTTTATCCCCCCACAACAGCCCGGTCGTTCTCTGACAGGACCATCGGGTTCCTGATGCAGAAGCTGGAGAGTGGCGGTCTGGTCAACTCAGAGAAGAACAGGATAGGAACCCTGGAGATCATCAAACATCTCATCAACTCTGCAGGTACTGTAGGAGATGTGAAATGTTCTACCTCACATAGGACTGGGTAAGCACGTCGGCAGAACATACTGCACCTACGCAAAACCCATAATGTATTGTACATAGCACTTCAGAAGAACGTCTCATATAAGGTTGTATTCACACATATAAGGAAAACATTTCGTCTGTAGTTTCCAAATGTTATGTCAGAAAAGATATCCTCTGCAACAGGCAAAATTCTGATGCAACGTTCACCAAAAATCCACCAAAAAAAACGTGAAAATATAGGGTTCAGCACAGGCGCAGTACATTCTGCTGACATGTTGAATGTGTACCAAATAGACCAGTCCTGACTGTACATCATACATGTGTAATTTGCAGTTCCACCAATGAGAGAATAGCAATTAGCAATTCAGCTAATGAGGGAACAGCAATTAGCAGCAATTCAACCAATGAGAGAATAGCAATTAGCGGTTTAACCAATGAGAGAAAGAGAAGCTGCATGTCCATCAAATATTTGAATTTCTAGGCTTTTGCACAGGTGGGTCGGGCTTTGGAATTGGTTTATATCTGTACCTGTTATTCTTGTGTTGCATACATACAGGCCCATACATGGAGGACAAGAAACCTCTGGTGGTGTCAGGACTACAGGCAATTCTCACAGAAAACAACAACAAGGTAAATAACTTGCATGGTCATCAACAAACTTGTACCAGAAAAATGCTACTTAAAATGTTGGACAGTTTTTAAAATCTATCAAGTTGCTTGAGTAACAATTTCCTTGTGTATCTCATTACCTGGATGTCTACCCTTTTTTGACCTCATTGCACCTGATTTTTCTCTTTGCCCTAAAAGAAGATGACAGATAGTCAACATAGCATCGGCTCTTGTTCAACAAGTGGTTGTGAATAAAGACCTGAAATGTACAATCATTTGCCAACCTGTTGAAATTTGAAGGTTCATGCAAATGAGAAACTAAGAACTAGAAAAGGTAACATTTGCAAAGCAAAATGCATATTATTTACCTTCGTTGTTGTCTGGTCTGTTAATTCTTACTCAAACACATTCATGGTCAGAGAGGAGTCTAAATCCCTCCTGCTATAAAATTGCAACGTGATGTAACCCAACACCATCTAACATGGTGACAGATGACTGGTTCAGATCATTGACCTTATTGGTTTGGAGAAGAAGAAGAAGAGGAAACATAGCAAAAACAAGTTGAACATGTTTCCCATCAGTAAACAGGTAGCTGGACGTTTCGCCGCCAGATGGGTTCGCGGTTAGACGATTCGCGGTCACTTCCTGGACGATTCGCGGCCACCGTATACACGCCATAAAGGCTGCTACAATCACTGTCTGTTGCATAAGATAACTTTTAAGGACTGTATATTTACGCAAAGAGGTTATAGTCTCCACGATAAACTTTAACCTCCTTGATTTCCACATCTTATAACATTTTGAAACTGTTTTCTAACATACGTTAACATACGTCTTGTTTGTGACCTTATTAGCGTTAAGCCAGACCGGCCGGAATATTACCTAAAAAGGGCTGAAAATGTATACAAAATATTTTCATTACTTTATCAAATAACTATTAAAATTGCCAGTCTTGATTTTTGCTGTCTAGAAAGGCGAAAAAACATGTTGACAGCGAATAATAAACGACCCAGAAGTGACCGCGAATCGTCTAGCCGCAAACCCGTCTGGCCGCGAAACGTCCAGAAACCTAGGAACATAATCAATGTCTGGAGAAATGCACCAATCCTGACGTTTCTGCAGGTGAAGCGGATGTTTAGTCAGGTGATCATCGCCATGGCACACCACGAGTACCTGGAGCTGGAGGGGGGGACACTCATGGTGGAGTTCATCGTCAGACAGTGTACACTCCCAAACAGTCCTCCTGTAAGTCTGAACTTACCTGTATCGTCTTATAATATGGTGGCATCGGGTGGTGTAGTGGTAGAGCATTCGACTATGAAACGGGGGCACACCCAGGTTCAATCCCGAGTTGTACCCGGGACATGTCTGGACATGTGCCCTTGGGAAAGGCACTTAACACGACTTTCTTCACTCCACCCAGGTGTGAATGGGTACCTAACTTCGGTTGGGGGAAGCCGTATTGAGGTCACCTGGTGGTGCCGAATGGCAGCCGCACAGACCCTTGCGACAGTTCCACAAAAATCTGTGTGGAGCAAATATGTTATATGTATCATGTGTATATATATATGTTACTTTTTTGTTTTACTGTTGTTGGTGTTTATGTCTATCTGGACAGGGCACGCCTGTAAAGCAGTATACTGTACTGGGTGCGTCTACCCTGTATAAAGAAGACAGAAATAAATAGATAAATAAATATGATGTGATTGTACACTCTGCATCAATTCAGCGCTATAAAAGCTGCGATTGTGCGGGTAATGTTTGACCAATAAACCATTAAATTTTACTAGATCATTTATATAATTGTAGCCTGGTATCCATTTAGGGACAAAAGTATTGTTTTGAGTGGCTATGTAGGTTGTTAAGGTTTGTGTCTTTGTCTGTCCGAATTGCTTTGGTTGCATGTTCTGCCTCTTGTTTTCTCCTCTGATCAAAGAGTTTTCAAAGAGCTTGTGGTGAGTCGCTACAGTTCTACCACAAGGCGAAAGTAAACTGAACTGAACTTGTACATGTTCAGCTGTACACTCATTTGTTGAACCACCTCCAACCTACATGTACTTCTACTGTGGCTTTTTTTCTCTATCACAAGTCTAGTGCTGAACAACTGGCTTATATGTTTGAAGTTTGATCATTGATACCCTGGTACTGGTAATTTGTGTGTCATGGATGAATGCTTTTTGCTTGGATGCTAATTTAACAACTCACAACACTATCTCCAACTCCGCTTCCCCCTGAAGGCCCATACCCCTACAAGCCCCACTGGTGACTATGTGAGTATGCCAGGCTTGTCTCATTCTCCTTTCAGACAATGATGCATGATAGTAGTGAGTACGTGGCTTTGGGTGCTGCTGTCTGCATGCATGATTCTCCATGATCTTATATGATCTCATTCTCTTAATTATCATAGAAAACTCAGGAAACATAAAAAGATACAGGCACAGTTTGGCCAGAAAAAAAGGGAAAAGTTTTAATTTGTGACTTTTCCGAAACAAACACCAATGGACCTATCACATTACGTCACAGTTTGTTTGCATGTTCTTAAGAACATTCTAGAACGGTCAGTCAAATAATAAAGATCATTTCAAAGTTTTCAAAGTCAGGTATGTTTGATTTTTGCTGCGTCTAGTTTTGTTGACACAACATTACATGCCATAATGGGCGATTTAGTTGTGACATTAGACGAAATTAGTACTGTATTAAAAGCCTTATATTAGGCTAACGCTACACAAACACACGCCCCGCTACGCACCCCTGTACAATATAAACGTCGATTGACCGGCATTCATTGCGGTAAACAAACTGTGACATAATAATGTGGTAGGTCCATTAAAGGAATAAACTATATGGGCCCACATCTTGTAAGACAACTCGCTAAGTACAACTTAATAATTAACAAAGGCGGAGAAAGTGGTGGTGGTGGGTAAAACGCCAAGGCACCCGTGTGCCATAGAGTCCAATGGATTATCACGTGTTCATGTCAAAGGTCGCGGGCCGAAACAAAACAAAACAAAGCAAGTTTTTAGACAATTAATAAAAATTACCAATGGTCAATTTTTCTTACAAATCTTCAAAATTCTGTCAAACCTGTTTAGTATGTACAATGTACATGTATTTGAGAAACTTGAGGATATGGACAGAAGCCTGCCTGAATGTTCAATGGCTCAATGAAGAGAAATCATCTATGGGACTGCCAAAAAGTGGCTACAATAGCCAGATGGTTCAGTCTTCATATTAGGTGGTCACTAAGGCCCTGTTCATATGAAGTCAGTGAAGGCAATTTCCCCCGAAGCCAGTTTCAAGTGACCCAAATCACATTGAAAGCGCCTTGATCCCAAACCACTTCTAGAGGTGGTTTCGAATCGGTTTTCCCACATCGCAATTTGCGTCTGAACGCAATGTGATTTCAATGTGACTTCACCTGGTCATGGATTATGAGGTGATATTTCTTTATCTATATGCAATACCAAATTTTACGTGGCAGCAACTTAAAGAGCAGTAATGGTAAAAAAATGTGTCCGAGATACGCTGGGAGGGGGGCACCAGCAAGCAGGTCGTTGACCTCTGTAATTAATAACATAATTACTACCTTGCATGTTTTCTTCAAACAACAATGAATGCAGTTTCGGAGAATCGTGATCGGGCACGGTTTGAAAGGAATGTGTGACACGTGGACCAGATGTGAGAAATGCGAGTTACCTGAATTGCGGTTTGGGTGGTTTCATATGAACAAGGCCTAAGACTAGGTGCAGGTTTGACAAGTAGTAGTATGAGGTTGAAATGATCATAACTTTTAAGAACTGAATTGTGAAGTCTTGACCTCATGATTTTAAATAATATGTTCCTTTCTCTTGTGGGTACTTTCTTACTAGGGCAAGAGGCCTCCGGATCCGGACTTTGTTACGAACGAGATGCTACGTTCCATGTGCGAGAATGTGCTCCAGCTAGTGACGACAACAATAGAGTGCATGGAGAGGGTGGGTACATTTCTATCATGTCAGTACACTACCAAAAATGCCAATCTTGTTCTCCTTCAGAGCAGAATAATTTTCTTCCACTGAGAAAATTATTCTTCACCCAAGAAAAAATCTTGTCCATGAGACAAGAATTTCAAGAAACTGCATTTTAGCATATTTTTCTTGTGGTAAGATTTCTTTTCTTATGTATCTTGAACTACATGTAAATACCCTTAGAATATTATTCTTGCAGTAAGAATTTCTAAGTTAAGAATAACATTCTTCCTTTGAGATTATTAATCTTATAAACACAAAATGTTTTTCTTGCGTTTATAAGATGAAGGTTCTTGCACCTATAATACCTTTCTCTGCTATAGCACAGCAGAAATGAGGCACTTAGAATGAACATTTGCATAGTTGGCGACACTGACAGGACAATAGGTCAAAGGTTCCAGAAAAGGTTACCTCATTTCCTGTCTTAAATTTCATGTCACATGCATGTCTGTTGCCTTAATGGGAAAATAAATAAACATTTTTAGTATGGTTAAACAAAGTGGAGTGAAAAATAACCAAAAAAATTCGCAAAAGCTCGTAGAGGGCTGAGGTCTAAGATCTAGATTTCATTTTTTGTTGTTGTTTTTTTGGTAGGTTCTGTGGCCTTACATATTGGAACTGTTAGGACCACCACAGTACACGACAGCCTTTGGTTCCATAGCCCGCTGTGCTGCTCACATCGCCAACAAGAAACGGGAGGCAGATGACGAAGATTACATGCTGGACTATGAAGTTTCAGGTAGGTCAAGTGGAAATATGTACGTTATATATAAAAAGCATTAACATTTTTTCCAACTAGAGTTTTGACATGGTATAACATACACCTCAATATCTATTAGATAGAAATTTGTTGTGAAATAATTTGAATTATTGTTTAAGAAATCAGTTTATGGAGGGCACTTCATGTATCTTTGCCTTGATATGTTGCTGTTCCTGGTAAATTGAGAAACCACATTTTGTTGATGGTAGTCCTCCTTTTAATGTACTTTTTTTGCATACAAATCATTTGATTAATGGATTTTTTTTTAGTTTAATGATACATGTAAATCACTGTTGACTAACTGTCTTGTGTATCTAAATAAATTTTTCAATAATGCTATCATGATCATACTTGGCATTCTAATTCAAATTTGGCAAAATTTGTTTCTTGCATCCCTGCACTGCTTTTATTATGGAAATTAAGATGAGACTGCTTTACAATTATGAGCATGATTTTCACTGATTGTCTCTATTGTCTCTCCCTGTATGTTATTCTACATTTCAGTCAAACCAGGTCTTAATCAAGGTAAAGAACGCTACGCTGATTCCAACTGTGGTGTGTGTACTGTATCCCCACTTCTTCTCACTTGTAGCCCTGTATGTTTGCATAATCAGAAAATGGATGCTGTTCAATGTTGTCTGGGTATAGGACTTTTGGGGTACATTTAGGCCACACCAATTTAATTTCTTGGTTAACGGATTTTTCTAGAAAAATAATGGAGCGGGCGGGCGGGTAAAAAATAATAGAATAAAAACAGGCCTTGCTTTGGCATACTATCATGGCACAAAATGGTATGATAGGAGCCATGAAGCCAACACACCAGGCTGGTTCAAAATTTAGACAATGAATTTTGAACTTTAATGATACCATTGCATTGAAAGAATGATGGAATAACTGTAACAACTACGAAGAAAAGGACTCTTTTCTGTTCAGGGCAAAATATGAGCATTTTGCAGTTGATTCTGAATTTTTTTTTTTTTTGCAAATCAGAAAAAAATGAAGCAGGCGAATCCGTTAACCAAGAAATTAAATTAGTGTGGCCTTAGTCACATCTAAAAATATATACACATGTAGCCCATATTAACCACAATGCATAACACAGTACATGCACAATTTGAATTGTGTAAGTTAACACAGGTGGAGAGGTAGAAGTCTTGGTTGATATAACCCTCATTAACATTTACATGTATTTGCCAAGTTACATATGTCTGGAACATCTAGAGCAGTAAGAGATATGGGAATTCTTTTTACACAACCAAAGAGTCTCACCTCGCTGACGTTTCGGTGTCTGTCAGACACCTTCTTCAGAGCTTCTGACTGGAGTACTGCATCTAGCCGCTATATGTAGCCGATGTAGGTGACTCTTTGGTTGTGTAAAAAGAATTCCCCTATCTCTTAAGTTTTACCAACCTGATGAAACTATTTTCGGAAATCTAGAGCAGTACCTCCAACTGTGTGTAATTTAGGTGTGCAGGAGTGCAGACATATTTTTTCAGGGTGTTGGATATATGTGACCAGGTGGAATTATGTTACATGTACCTGCTCAGATTTGCTCTTTTCATTGCAGTGAACATTCCAAAGCCACCTGCCATGATAGCCAGACTTGTGGTAAGTAACCAGTTTCATTTTATGTTGAAAAGCCATTTATGAAAGAAATTTTCAGTTGGAAGAATTACTAGCACCTTTTTGTTGGTGCAATATTCAATAACAGATATTATTATTAATGCACGTTTGGCCAAATGTGTATGTTGATTGCATAAATAATACAGTTTGTGTCAAACATACTGTAAATTACTTTATGTTTACTGTACAGTAGCAAAAGTTTGCGGTCTGAGAAAAATTGGCATGTTTGCAGAACTACATGTACATGTATACACTCTCATCAGCGGCCCGCAGGTGCAACAAAAAGAAAGACAATGAATTATGTTCATGGTAATTATAAGATCACGATACTAAAGTGACCTCAAAAACTGCAAAATTAATATAAAAGTAGCGCGATTTACAGGAAGCAGAAGGAATAGACCCATTAGACTTTCACGGATATCATAAAATGTTCACGACGTCACAGGGAGGACATTTCTAATAGAAACTACGTCACAGGGGGGGACATTTCTAATAGAAACTACGTCACAGGGGGGACATTTCAAAAGTTCCTTTCACGGATCGCATAAACTGCATACGTCACAGAACAAAATAACCTTAAATTGTTGTGCAGAATGCCACCATACAAAGTTGGTGCCTGTTTTCCTGTCATTTCCGCATATATTAAAAAGAAAATAGACACCTTTTTAAAAAAATGATCTGCCAGGGGGGACACTGCGAGCGCAAGCCGCGTTCGACTTCAGCGTTCTAGAACGGCGTTCTTTCGAAATGTCCCCCCTGTGACGTAAGCAGTTTATGCGATCCATAAAAGTCAAATGGGTCTATTGTATTTTGTTGTCATGATTTGCTCTGTACCAGGTGATGGCAGGACAGCCCCATGCGGGTGGAGGACGTGGCCAGCATATCCTGTTGCTGATGAAGGGCCTGTCTCCCAACCTGCACCCTGACCTGGTCGACTTATGGGACGCCGTCGTGCCAAAACTCATCCAGTTCTTGGAAGGTACGCTTTTTATTAGGCTTTTTAATGTGACGAACCTGAGAATATTCCTTGCCACTTTTAAGGTGGTTTTGTGGTTATATTGGACTCAAAATCTGAAGACTCTGGGTTATAATCCCTAGCGGGTCACAGTGTTGTGTCCTTGGAAAAGGCACTTTACACCTATTTCCCTTCCAAGTCTGCATGCATATGCATGGTTATATCATTTGTTGGGGGTTTATCTCGTTTTTCTCACTACTAGATCTTAATTCATGATCTTAATTTAATTTGATTAAAAGCAATATTTGAGCTGAGGTACTGGCATGCATTCATGATACATTCATTCAGAGTTACATGTCTAGTACCTTAACAGCTTGGGATGTACAAATGTACAATATATTGAGCACTGAATTTGAACAGTACTAAAAGATACATCATGTATTGATACCTGATTATCAATAATTCTTCACAGATTGTGATGAAGATGAAGAGAAGTGGTCGCAGAAAACCTGGGAGGATCTGATGCTGAAGGTAAAAGTGTTCTTACTATCAGTTCATTTTATGATGATGCTGAGGAAGAGTGATGGATGTCACTCAAAACTCGTGTGGGTGTGCCTCCAGTACGGCTTTACGACCTCACTAGCATTTTTACTAGTTTTTAATCATTGCCATTTTTTGTATATAGGGTATGATATTTCATGACATTGTACAGTATTTCATGTTAAATACAAAATGTATATGATATTGTAGGTATTTGTATTTCATGTAACATTAATGTTCATTATTGTAATCTGTTTTGTATTTAATATTGCAATCTGTTTTTATATTGTAGTGTTGGGGAGGACAACTTGTAAAGGTGTCAATGCACCTGTTTTGTCCCCCCTTCCACACTTGTTGTGAATTCAAATAAACAAACAAATAAACAAAATGTCTGGAAGGAATCTCAGTAATTTGTCCAGTTACTGTCTTATATGTAATAGTAGAGTTTGATTTGTCTTAATATGATATTGTTTACTCGGGTGTCTAAACCTTCATTGACGTACCCACATGTTTCCTAGATGCTGTCCAAAAGCATGGAGGTGGTGAACGATGATGACTGGGTGGTAGAGTTTGGAACAGAGATGGGGAAACAGATCCCTCTGTACAACAGTCATCCAGAGGAGAAGGTACAATGTAATAAACTAGATGGGGAATGAGTTGGAATGCCATTCTACGAATGACAGTTCTTTGTACATTCCTAGTTGTCATTCGACAATGCATTCTAGGTCTTAAGTGCCCATTTTTGTTTTGAATGTTTTGGTCAGTGGAGAAATATCATATGGGTACTCTAACTGCAGTATGACTGCATTTTTACAACATTCCAACTGTTTTAAACATTTTGATCGCAGTCAAGAGAGAACTGCATTTAATGGGGCATGAGCTGTAATTGAGCTATGATTCACTGTACAGTTACAGAAAATTAAATTTATGCAAATAGGGACTCCAACATGGTGGAAGAGATTCAACAAATCATGTCATAATGTGAAAACACTTAGTTACTAGTGAATTCTTTCATCAGTGACAACTTGGAAGGATAAGGATACTAACCTCCAAATTTTCGATGGCTATCAGTCCATCTTGTTCACGGAGTGACCTAATCTCGCGAGAGCGCGAGACTAGGCCCGAGACTTGCATCGGTCTGTCGGGTCCCAACCCCCGCTGCCTCCCTCCGGAGTAAGGGTAAGTAAGTCTTGGGGAGTTCCCAACCTTCTGTCCGGTTTAGCTTGGCACCTTCCAACTTTGTGGGACCCGACAGACAGATGCAGTCTCGCGCTCTCGCGAGATTAGGCCACTTCGTGAACAAGATGGACTGATAGCCATCGAAAATTTGGAGGTTAGTATCCTTATCCTTCCAAGTTGTCACTGATGAAAGAATTCACTTAGTAACTGTATCAATACGTGACAAATGAATCTCTTCAATGAAAACACTTCATATTTCCTACAGAACTTCCTGTACAAGTGCCTGGGTGTCATCATGCGGTCCTGCAGTAATAAACAGTTTGTCCAGCAGCATCTGGACCTGCTGTTCTCCACGGTGAGACACACCAGTCAGGTGGAGAGGGAGGGGTGTGCCATCGGGGTGGGGTACTGTGCCTCCTCTCACCTGGACACAGTTATAGCCAAGCTAGAGGACGTGGCCAAGAAGGACATGGTCAGGAAGTCTACTGGCTTCATGGGGCTACTCAAGGTAGGAGGAAAAATTGTACCTAATACTTTTTTTTTTTTGTATATATAGCGTGCACAATACCTCACACGTTGCCCAGTTGCCCCAGGCAACCAAGTTTTACTTGGGGCAGCCTATTTTCGAACCTAGGTTGCCCAGTGTGCTACCTGAATTTTAAGAATGCCCCCCCCCCCAAAAAAAAATCATGCCCACTGTATCCGGAAGATGCTTTTTATGTTTAGGTATTAATGGCTATTACTAGTATCAGTTAACTAAAGGCTGTTGAAAATACATGCATTGTCAAAGGCTTATGTATGTAACATTTAATTTACTTAATTTGAGGAAAGTAGTAACTTATAGGTGGGGCTACCTGAAATTCTGATGGGCAACCTAATTTTTGCCTTAGGTTTCCCACTGGGCAACCTGGTTCAAAAAAGTATTTTGTACACTGAGAGCTATATTTGTGAGACAGAGTTGAAGAAAGACTTAAAATTTAAAAAAGCCTTCAACCAGCGTAATGTGTGAACAGTTCATTCCAATTCTATTGACACAAGCAATGTAAAAAACTAGTCACTAATCTCTGGTTAATAATAAACACTAGTTTGACTGTCATTTGTTCTATCAACAAGGGACTTGAAAAACATTTTGAACAGTCTAAGATTATTAATTTATCATGTCGGAAGACATCTTAAGCTCTGTATTTTTCTTCTCAAGTCAGAAAGTAATGTATTGTGTGGCAGCATTTTAAACTCTCGGATTCTCTATTCCTTAGGATAAGTCGGAGATTGATGTAGAGAGAGTGAAGAGTACAGTGATGCTGTGCCACGGTTATCTGACGTTCTACGCTCCTATCACACTGGTCACGTCCAGGATAGAGTCCAGCATCCTGCGCTCCATGAACCCACATTTCTCCAACGTCAAGGTAAAAAAATCAGCTGTTTGGCAGCACAAGAGCTACCTACCATCCAAAATTCATGATCCTAACATGTCCAGATCGCTAGATATCAAGACCAGAAGTTCCGCTGCAGTACCAAGGGCCAAAAAGTCTCATTTTAGATTTAGTCACACCTTACGGACCCACCAAGTCTGAAACCAATCCATCTAGCCATTCTTGAGTTATCCTCTAGACAAAATTTAATTCCTTAGGGAATGCATTTATGGAATTCTTCAACTCAATCACAGTACTATACCAACGGCTCTGCGCCAGTGGTGTCGCCAAAAAATGAAATGAAATGCATCAATTACAAGGTAGAACTGAAATTGCCAGTTGATTTATTTTACCAGACTATCTCAGATATACAGATCTCTTTTTGTGGATTGTGATGATGGTCATCTCATTTAGTCCTCCCTCTTGATAACAAACTGTTTGTAATGTTAACAACTTTGTAGGACCCGAGTGTGAAACAGAACTTGATCCGTGCGGTGGAGTTGATCGGGAAGGCCCTGCACCCCTCCCACCTCAACGCCCTGTTTGAGTTCAGCAGGAGGGGCGAGCTCATCACACACATGCAGGTAACAACCTACAAAGATACAACAAAACATTCTGCTGCAGTACCATGGAAAAATGCTAGATGTTCCACACTTAATTTGACAAACACCTACCGTCATGCCAAATGTTCTCAGGATACATTCTACGACAAACGTTCAAAACTCAACCACGACTTTCACTTGAAAACATGACCTTAGAAAACTAAGGTAATTAATAATTATGCATGATCAATGATCCAAGAAATATTTAAATTTAATGTTAATGGTGGTATGGACCATAATGTGTGTTATCAACTGCTGTTGTCTCTGTTGTTATTTTTTTCAAATCTCATTTTTTTGTAATTTTTTAGTATGTGATTTGCACTACACAAGTTGATAATTTTAGTCAATACGGTGTCCAAATTTATATTAAATATGTTTACAGAAGGAAAACATTGTTTTTACTCAGTTTCTTCTTCTTCTCCAAACACTAACCTCTGACCTGACCAATAATGACATGATTTGTTTACGTCTGTCACCATGGTGACTGGTGTTGGGTTACATAATGTTGCAATTTCATGGTCTGCTCTACTCCTGTCACCATATAGAAGTAGTACATGTACAATGTATGTGAATGTGTTTGGGTAAAAATTAACAAGGCAGACCATGTCCGAAGGTAAACATTATGCATTTGCTTTGTTACTTAATGTAAATTTCATATATTTTATTTTTTTAAACGTCTAACTTTCTTTTCTTCAGGAGTACATCAAGGTTGAGAGTATGTCAGCCCTCCACAGTGAGACCAGAGCCCTGGCTATGAATGCCTGTTCCACACTGGTGTATCCTTCTGACTTTAATCTCACCATTTCTTCAGTCATACCACGTGTCTGTTACTCATGTTAATAAGCCGGTTAACAGTTTAAACTGTGCATGCAAGCACCGTCGGCAGAACGTACTGCGCCTGCGCAAACCCCCCATTTTTCATGGTTTTCGTTGGATTTTTGGTCAATGTTGCATCATAATTTTGCCTGTTGCAGAAGATATCTTTTCCCACATAACATGTGGAAACTACAGACCGGATGTTAACCTTATTACGCGAATACAACCTTATATGAGACGTTCTGCCAAAGTGCTATGCACAAGACACTACAGGTTTCGCGCAGGTGCAGTACGTTCTGCCGACATGCTATGCATGCACAATGTGATGCATATGTCAAATTTGAGGGGCCTTAAACCTAACTGATCAAGATTTTGATTCCTGGCTGTCCTACGAGACATTGTGTCCTTTGGAAAGACATTTTACAATCATGACACCATTGGAAAGTATAAATAAGTACCTGACTTTGGTTGGGTAGGTAAAATGTAGATGTGGAAGAAGAGGAATGGGCTCCACCTTCCAATACACATCTGGACAATGTCATGTATAAAGCATGGTTTAGACAACTTACTGTACATGTTTACAAGTTAGGTACCTTCATCTTTGATCTTCCACATGCACAGTTTAAACCATGAATCAGCTTACACTACTCTCTGTTTAGTTGTCATGAGAGAATGAATACATCAAGCAGGCATAGCAGTCTTTGCTTATTGCCAAGTTTTGTGACTTTTAGCAAGACTTAGTGTTTGAGTTGCTTGTAAGCAAAAGATGTGAAGTAGGTTTAGGCAGGAGTTGTTAGAGCACATGCGTACAAAGGCACATGTTGATAATGTTAAGTTAAATGTTGTATGTAAATAATGTTGTAACTTCGATGAAGTGTATCTGTACTATTGTTGTGTAATTTGGTATTACTTTAACTCCAGGAAGATTAGCTACATACTTGATTTTGTACCAATGTCTTGTGTGTCGCTAATGGGCAAATCAGCAAACGGGCCATTTGGATCTGTAAGCACATCACACTGGTCCGAAAAAAACGGGTCACCACATAAAGCACATAAAGTAGCATGGAAGACGGTCAAAATGAAACACTGGAAGTTGGTTCATAAATGAAATGTCCTTGACCTCAGACTCAGTCAACTTGACCCCAAGATGAATGAGGCAGACACCTTTGACCTGATCAAGGTCACCACGGACAGTGTGTACGGCCTGCCTGCCCACGGTGGGGTGGGGGGCAAGGGGAAGGAGGACGGTGGTGGGGAGGAGGACAAGGGACCACAGGTGAAGACTGAAGAGCAACTTGATGACCTTAGACTTAGACTTTGAGTGTCTAAATATTGTGACTTCAGCATTGAGTACAGATGTATTGTTTTGGGAGGGTTTGTCTGTGGCTTTGTGTGTATGTTTCAGAAGATTATCAGGCAAAATAACAGGTCAAAAGGTCAAACACAGGAAATGGGGTGAACTTAAAGGTCCACAGTGGACCACAGCTTAACATCCCGTCCTAAGAACTGCGACCCTAAACAGTAGCGTGCATGTCGGTTGAGTGACAACAGCCGGGATTCGAACTCCCAACCTCTTAGTCCTGAGGCAGAATTGCTAACCACTGGAGTACGCATGCTAAGGTCGGCTGCTTTCCTCCGTCCTCCCCAGGCCATGATGCAGGAGGCCCTGGACAGTCTGAACAGCCTGCTGAGGGAGGTGCTGAAGAAGAGTGTGACACCAGACGGGCTGCAGGAGATCTTCAAGGTACGTCGCTGGTCATTTTTATTTATTTATTTATTTATCTAATAATATAGTATTAAGTTTTACCACGTACAATATGCACTGTGGATGACATGGCGAAACAGGTGTTTCTGACAAGAAACACCTTTTCAAAGCCGCCATATCAATAAAATGACAAAACAATACAAAAAGTAATCAAATCACATAATACAATTTGAGAAACAAATGAATAAACTTAGAACTACAAGGCAAGTCAACTTATTAACATTGTGAGAGTTATTGATTTGAGACAACAAAGAACGACAGTTATATAGCCAGCAGTGATATCACAGTTAGCGCGGTCTTGTGGCCAGACAAGTAGCGCAACCACAAGATAACTGCCACATACAGGGTTGCTCTAAACTGTAGGTTTGGCAAAATCTGTTGTACGTGGGAGGTCATGGGGTACATTGCTACTCTCCAAGCAGAGGTTTGGGTTTGGGGTTATTTTTAACGTGTTTTAGGCTTTTTTATCGGGGTTTCTCTTTTGCACTGGAACTTTTGTTTTCATCCAACCCAACCTCTGCCGGCAGTCGAAAGCATCAATGTGCTACATGTATAAACCTCATCACTATAAGACATTACGGTCGTTCTGCAAGCAGACGCCTGAATAGGCACAGTCAGCAGGAGGCCTCAAAAGGGCTATGAGACTTTAGGGCTATGAGACCTTTACGTCACTTATTTGTTGTTGATTTTTCTTTATCTCCCTTGTAGCATCTGGAACCTTGGATGGTGTCGGCCCAGGACCATGAGAGGGAGAGAGTGATGCACACGGCTCTGGAGATGTTTAACTGCTATCTGGAAAATCTGGAGTTCGGTCCTCTGGTATGTAACAAAAGCTCGGTGGCCTACTGCCAGGGATACAACCAGGGACAGGGGGCGTCACTACTTGAAACCTGTATATGACCTCTTGTCACGTGATTATCCTATCAAGTCACGTGACAGGAGAACTCCAAGACGAGATCTTAATCAGGTTGAAGAGGAGACAGAGTGTGTCTTGAAAGCTCCCCCAGTGTAGCTGAACTTTAGTTGTGTGTTTTGGTATAGATATTTGTCAAAATTAAACCAATAAGTTGCCATGACAAATATTCTGTGTTTGTTGACAGAGCCCCACAGTGTTCAGTAACCACGGTACCCTGCTGGCCAGGCTGACCCCCCGCTGTACTGACCCCTCCCTGACCGTCAGGCAGGTGGCCATCGACTGTGTACAGGTGGTGCTCAAGATAGGTCTCAGATACGAAGGTTTGTTTGCTTTGAATTATTGATCACTAATTTTTTTTAAATCCAATTTTAATGTCATTTTTCCCCAAAACGGGGTTTAGACGTGCTTGCATCAAATGCAAGTCTTTTTTTTAAGCAAGATTTTTTACGGCTGGATGCCCTTTCTAATACCAACCAAAACCCTTAGGTAGTAGGGCCCAGGATCCCTCTGACTGAGGGGGAAATATGTGTTAAGTGCCTTTCCCAAAGGCACAACGTCTGGGTGCATGTCCAGATATGTCTTGGTCCAACCCTGGGGATTGAACCTGGGTCTCCTTGCTTGACAGTCGGACGCTCTATCCACTACACGACACAGACGCCACAAATTATTGATCACTAATTACAGTATGCAATAGCTCAATTGGTAGAGTGCTCGCTTTGTAACCTGGAGGTCATGAGTTCAAACCCCGGCCGGGTCATACCAAAGACTTTAAAAATGGTACACACTTCTTTCTCTACTTAGCACTCAGCACATATGAGAACACACAGCACTACCAGCGGACTAGCCCCCTGCTGTAGTGCCTTGCACAACTGTGTGTCGCCCAAGGGCTACGGAAATGGAGATTGGCACCACCCTACATTCAGCATGGGAGACCTTCTTCTTCTAATTACAGTATTATATGTGCCTGTAGGAAGGAGATACTAGTATCTTCTGCAGGATGGTATGGAGTGAACATATTAAAAACGATATGTTTCATCCATACAATGGTATGGAGTGAAACATAAAGTTTTGAAGCAAGGTCTCTCTCCATGGTGCTGAAATGTTGTTAATTTTGAAGGAACTTTCCAGTTGTGTCCAAGATGGTATGGCAGTATAAAACAGTATCTTTCATCCATACTATGGTATGGAGTGAAATGCAAATGTATAAAAACAAGTTTTGGAGCAAGGTCTCTCTCCATGGTGCTGAAATGCTGCTGCAAGAAGGGACTTTCTACCAGTAGTTGTGTCCAGGATGGTATGTTAAATATAAAACAGTATCTTTCATCCATACTATGGTATGGAGTGAAATATAAAAACAAGATTTGGAACAGGGTCTCTCTCCATGGTGCTGAAATGCTGCTGCTTTAAGTCAGCAAGGAGGGAATTTCCACAATGAAGTTTACTGAGTTCATGTTTAGTTGTTTCTGTTGCTCCTTTATACATGATACTTACCTGATGTAAAATTTCACATCCATAAGTCTTGTAGTCATCTTTAGAACATACATGATAGGGACAATTTTATGTGCTGCAAAATCGGACCACAATTTCCACATCTCTCCTTCCCTCTTGTTGCATACCCAGGCCAGCCAGTTGACCACAAGGACCAGATGGTGGAAGCCCTGACCACCCTGAAGGAGAGAGTGGTCAAGGATGACCCCCAGGTCCTCTTCAGTGTGGTCAGTGACCTGGCCAAGGTGAGGCCAATATGCTTGGCATTCTAGAGTCCCTCGGAGTATACATATTTTGGGCAGAAGGTCTCATTTCAGGTTATATTAGTATATTTAAGGATGAGATTCTGTAGTTTTCAAATCATTTGCAATGGGGAAAAGTATGATGCAACATTGACCAAACATCAAATTAAAACCATTCTGCCATTTTTTCCATTGTCCACCCTATGTCTTCCTCCTTGCACTGTTCCTTACTTGATGGTTTTATCTAGTCCTGTTAGCATGACACATGGCCATAGCACTTCAGTTTTCATCTCTTTGCTGTAGTTAGAAGGCCTTTGTTTGGTTTTATTCAACTCTTTTGAGTTCAGTTATCTTGAAGGTTAACATTGCTTTTGATATTTGCATGTTCTTGTGAAGAAATTTTCATTGTTGCCATTTCAGTGTTGCCATTTCTCCACTTTACAGTTTTTACTGTAGTTTTCTGGTTAGGAGGTCTTTGATTGGACCAATAGTGTTGAAAATTAGTTACATGTAACATTAATGCTTATTAAATTCTGCAGGTTCTTGTGAAGAAGGTTCCGACAGACCAGTTGTTGCCGTTCCTGGACCGACTCCTGCAGGGTCTGATTGACGTCCACCCTCACGCCTCCAGCGGGGCCTGTGTCGTACTCAACAGTATGGTCAAGACACGAGGGTCATCCCTACACCAGCAGGTCAGGGCTTACCACTCATGTCAGCATTACAGTCTATGACTACTGTCACTGTACTTACTGCTGTTACAGCTTACTGGTACAGACTAGGGCTGCATACCGGTCCACCTGGACCGGTACGGACCGGAAAAATAGTATCGGTCTGGTCCGAAAAAAACGAAACGTCGGTGGATCGGTTTTTTGGACCGGAACAAAAATCCATACTTGATCACTACACACAAGGAGGTCAGCCAGGAAAATGAACATCTGGCGTTAAAATAAAGAGATTTACCTTAGTTTCTTTCTCTCTCATTACGCAACATTTTTCCAAACCTAGTTATATCATCCATGGTTATATTTGATGTTCTTTGAAAGATACAGGACAAATTGTCAACACTTAATTCATGTTTCCGTCATTGTTGAAAAATTTCAGTAGAACATGTGACGCGAGTGAATTTTCAGGTACAGGTACAGGTCCAGACCTGGACCTAAACCCCTGTACCTGTACATGTACCTGATGTTACGAAAAGGTACGTAGCCCTAGTACAGACACAAGATTGCAGCAGAACCTACCACCAACTATCATTATAGCATTTTCAGTAAGAAGACAGCTGAAGACTGGGGTTGTGTGGCATAACGGCAGAGCATTTGGCTCAGAACCAAGGGGTCCCAGGTTCAAATCCTGCCAACTCACCAACCTTGTGCCCTTGGGAAAGCACTTAACATGACTTTCGTCACTTCACTGAGGTGAAAATAAGTATGCCAGAATGATCATTATCATGATCATGGGCATTAAAGAAAAACCAAACCAAAACCAAGACTATCCCAAGAATGCCCTCAACCTTTGACAAAATATGTGACTTATACACATGTCAGGGAGGGGCATAGCTGTCTTGTGATGTGCTAACCTTGTTGAAAATGTTAAGTGTGTGTTAACGTATAGCACACTGAAGTAGCTGCTTGGCTTCCAATTTTCTACAGTGGTTATGTGGTTAGCTGGGAGATGGTCATGCCCATAGCCAGGGAGGCGTTGGGGGGGGGGGTTGGAAGAACCCCTCCACAAGGCTCAAAGGTCCACTTTTTGGTCCACTTTTTTATCTAAAGGTCCAAGATGGACTGATTCGTGTCACCAGCAAGGCTGGAATCGGCTCACTTTGTCATTGACTTACCCAAATTTTCGGTTGACTCCATCATCCTTGGCACGTATGACCCGCTACTACGGTCACGTGTCTCTGACGTCACATTCCAAGAGTAGACGGGTCCATTCCGTGAACAAGGTTGATGGAGTCAACCGAAAATTTGGGTAGGTCCCAATTCCGTAATTCAAGTGTTGGAAGTTAAAGCTTAGTCTTTATTTCGTATGCCAAATCTGTTTCCCAGGTGCGTGACGTGGTTGACGCGCTGCACGTGAAGCTGGGTGAGATCACCGTGGAGCAGACGAAGAAGGGCACCCTGCGTACCGTCCGCACCATGGCAACACACCATCTCGTGGGCGTGGCAAACGCACTCCTCAACAAACCACTGCCTTTTGATGAGTAAGCAATATACTGTTATTGTATTATGTCATACCTGGGCCGTGATTACCTTCGATATGGGTGTTCCGGACCGGGCCGTACTTTACGGTACGGCCCGGCTTCTGTACGTGTCTTTACTTTCCAAATGTTCCATAGAACGATTCGAACGCGTTTTGCCCTAACCGCATGCACCGGTTTTGAAAATTTGAATACAAAATTCGGACGTTGGTTGCATTTTTGGGGTTTAGGGAAATTTTTGCGCATTTCGCATTGAAAGGCGTGTTTTCTTGGGTGGGTATGACATAAATAAATACAACACGGTGTATTCTGCATCACCCTCGGTCTCAGCCCTCCCGTAGATCGGATCTCCCTCCGGCGATCCGACACGTGGTTGGGCTGATACCTCGGGCGATACGGAATACCCTGTGTTTTATAATTGTATATACCTAAACCTATAAAGTACACATGTCTGTTATTATTCCATATTATTTTATTCCATGCTATTTGCATGAGAGGTGGAAAATGCAGTCCAGTAGTTAGCAAGGGGTATAGAATTTTCTTCTTACACAACCAGTAAGGTTCTCACCTGCTTACGTTTCGATGTGTATCAGACACCTTCCTCAGAGCTTCTGACTGGAGTTCTGCAACTCGCCGCTATTTAACGCCAAAGTAGGTGGCGCTTTTGCGGCGAGAATGCAATCCCAAACGTGGCTGAGCTTGTATCCCCCCTCATCCCGGTTCATCACTGGGGTAGACTTCCTTATCCAGACTGCTTCTTTAATCCAACGGATTCTTCTGTTGTCCTCCCTATCTATGACCCTGGCTCCCTCCCAGTCTATCACACAATTGTTTCTGGCAACATGGTCTGTGACTGCTGATTTCTTCTCTTCTTTTTGTGCTTGTTGTTTCTGGGAGCGTGTATATCTTACGGTTTCGCTGTTGTCTGCCTCTTTTCTGTGTTCTTCCAATCTTTTGCCAAAGGTCCTGCCAGTTTCTCCAATATACACTTGATCACAGCTTTTGCATGGTATTTTATATACGCAATCTGTTTTCACGTGGTCCCCCATCTTGTCCTTGGGGTGGACAAGCAGGTTCCTCAATGTTGTTTTTGGTTTCACTGCTGTGGATACCTGGTGTTTCCTGAATACCCTTTCTAGTGGTTCGGTTACTCCTTTCACATATGGGATAATCACCATGGCCCTAGTTTTCTCCCCCTCTTTCTTGTTCTTCTCTGTCTGCTTTGACCTCTTCTCTTTCCGTTCCACCTTCCGAAAGGTCCATTCCGGGTACCCACAACGGACAAGGGCTCTTCTGATGTGCTGTGTTTCTCTTTCCTTGTCCTCCTCCTCTGTCACCACCGAGTTACATCTGTCCATAAGGGTGCAGATGACTCCCAGTTTCTGGTGAAGTGGATGGTGGGACTTGAAGTTGAGATACTGGTCTGTATGTGTACTTTTTCTGTACACTAGAAGCTTTACTGTGCCATCCCCCTTTCGTACCAGGAGAGTATCCAGGAACAGTAGTTAGCAACCCTGCCTCTGGACCAAGAGGTTGGGAGTTCGAATCCTGGCTATTGTTGCTATTGTTGCTCACCTGATGACATAATAATAATAATAATAAATTAATAATAATTAATAATTGCTGTTTTGCTGCTTCTATAGGAACCTGGTGGAGTGTTGGAAGATCCTGGCAGCAGAGCCCCAGCTCACCACTAACCTGATTGACCACCTGCTGGAGATCATGGCTCGACACGTGCCCTACGAGGAGAAGGCCGTCAAGGACAAGAAACAGCGACCTCCGCGCACGGCCACCGCTCTACCCATGGCTGTGAGTTAGAGCTGTGTAACTAAACAAATTTAGGTACAGGTACACGGGTTTAGGTACAGGTCTGGACCTGAACCTGTGTCTAAACAATTTGACCAATTATCCTTCAATAACGAGAAAAAAATTAAACTTGAGTTTTTGTTTATGGAGAATGCATATACAAAATACAGGCAAAAGTAAAATGTTTACATTTTCATCTCCTACCCTAGGTGGCTTTATGCAACACAAAGCTGACCAAAGTGACACTAGAGGGAGCATATCTAATACACAACAGATCTTTAGGGTAGTTAGTCAAAGAAACACATTGTACTCTGGGTCACAAATAAGCATATAATTATTGTAGCCAATGTAATCTAATTGTTATTGTAACAATTGGATTACCATTATATCACATGTTACTAGTAGTTAGAAAATAAGTGACCAGTGCAAGTAAACAAACTTAGGGAAAGAAAAGGTAAAGGCACAAAGGAACATATGTGACTGATTCTCTGTTTGCAAAAGACAAGACAATTGAATTTAGAGTGTGATGTTACGTAAAAGAAATATTATTTTAAGATTTGCAGAACTTGGTATGAGATAATTATTCTTTTTATTAACAAAGAACAATCATGACAATGTGACATTACACTCAAGGTACACACTTATTTTGTAATGCAAAAATCAAATGGAACTAGAGAAGTAACATTTGCAAAGCCAATGCATATGTTTACCTTCATACATGTACATGGTCTGCTCTGTTAATTCTTACTCATTGATGACAAACACATTCACATACATGTACTACGTAACACAAGTAGTATACATGTATGCATGGTGACAGGAGCAGAGCAGACCATGAAATTGCAACATTATGTAACCCAACACCAGTCACCATGGTGACAGATGTCAACAAATCATGTCATTGGTCAGGTCAGAGGTCACTGTTTGGAGAAGAAGAAGAAGAAGAGGAAGAAACAGAGCAAAAACAATATGTTTTCCTTCGGTAAACATAATAATAATTCCTATTTCGCTGTCCCCGTAGGTTTCCTGTGCCCTTGCTGAGATTTTGCAGGTTCCAGAGACAGAGGAAGTTGTCCTCAGTAACTACCACAGGCTGTTTTCTGCCATCATGGTCAGGGTCGGGGCCACTACGGGCGTCAAACGACCTCCTAAGGAAACACAGGTATGAGATACAGCAGGTATACTGCAGATTAGGCCATGTTGATTTGATTATATGGATGACATCCTCTGGGAATCCCACAACTGATGCGAGCGTGCGAATAAAAAAAAGTTTTGCCCCCAAAAAAGTTGCTTTCATGAAGAAATCTACATGGTCATGAAGGTTGGACAAATGACATGACAGTATGGCATGGCGAAAAATCTACTCTTCAAATTCATTTCTTTACATTTTCGTCTTGATTTTGACATTATATGACATTGGTAGCATTTTCCAATATATAGTATATATTTTTTTTGCAACTTACGGTACTATATATTTTCTCATTTTGCAACTGTTTTGTACAATTTACAGTATGGATGAAAACTTTTTTTTTTGAAACGGCCGAAAATTTATGCACGTGCGGATGTCATCGATCCATTTTATCAAATCAACATTGCCTTAGAAGTCAGAAAGAAATACAGACACTGTAGTAGGAGATAAAAATAAACTATGAGACACTGCAGGACTGGTATAGTGTAAGTTTACTGTAACAGTGGGGGGGTTTATAGGCGCTACCAACTGACCCGGCCAATGGGTCTAGACCTTTTTGGCCGAGCAGTTAGAGCGTCTGGTTATGAAGCTCTGGTGCCCTGGGGGCCATGGGTTCGAACCCCGGCCCGGGACCAGAATGGTTTTTACTGGCTCCTCCGGTTTCTTACAATAGGTTAGTAGCTAGAAAAGTATAGATTTGAAACACTGACTGTACCATAGTCAAGTCGGAGAGAAGCAAAGGCATGAGACACTGCACTGATTTGTTTTTTACAGGCCGGCTCAGAACAGAAACCAGCCCCTAAACCAAAGAAGAAAGATGCCGGCACTATGTCTCAGAAGAAAGAGCTAGATCCTTGTGACCAAGCCATTGAAACATTGCAGGTAAGTTGAGCTACATTTGATCTTCGTTGTGCGAAAGCAACGTCGAATCAGAGGTCAAAGTGGTCTCAGTTTGTCTGTATTACAGTCGTCACAACTTTAGGCACAACAATTAAATTTGTTGTTTCTCGGATTCCAGAAAAAAATATGAAGCGACAGGGCAAAAAAACAGGGATAGGCATCCTGTTATAGCCCAAAATGTAACGATAGGAGCCATGGAGTCAACACAAAAGGCTGGGTTAATATGTAAAGAATGAATGTTGAACTTTTAACCAAACCACTGCATTGATGGAAAAACTGTTACTGTTTCCTTAACTGTTGGGGTCGAAATATGAGCATTTTTGAGTTGATTAAAATTTTTTGTTTTCAAATCAGAAAAAAATTAAGAGGCGAATCCGAGAACCAACAAATTAAATTGGTGTGGCCTTAAGGCAGTGTAACCACACTTTTGTGCAGGGCTTCCTGACCAGGAGTAAGAGTGAAGGAATCCTTGAGCTGATGGAAGAGGAAGGAGGCTGGGAACTCCTGAAGGATGTGGACAAGTTTCAGGATGGAATCATGCTGCTAGCCAGGTATGGATACAGCACACACCTGTTAATGTACCAACTACAAAGTATATATCACACATACCAGCTCAGAAAAGTCATGGCTACAGTACAATGTGTAATGGAGGAAAGGTCTTCTGTTGTCTCTATGGTGCTTAGAGTCTCACGTTTTTGCTTCCAGGATGGAAGTATTGTTTTGGATGATGCTAGATTATGCAAGGTTTGTATGTTTGGGTTCCAAAGTGAGTGGGCAAAGATTGAGTTTCCTTTGATTGACATGGTTTTAATCAGTATGCCATGGCCTCAAGGATGTGGTCACCAGGAATGTATGAAACATGCAGTGAGGATAAGTCGTGAATGGTCCAGGGGCCTGCCCCCTGCTCCAGTGTTTCCCATTATAGGCCACAGCAAGTAATTTCTATGGATGACATCAGCGCGCGCATTAATTTTTGCCTGATTTTGGAAAAAAAAAAGAAATTTTGTTGTACTTTGAAAGTGGTCAACATTCTGAAAATAGGCAAAGATGTCTGTTGCCATTGGCAAAACAGAAATGGCAGATAATGAAGAGAGAAGAAAGACAAAACAAGGCTCTGATTTAATGTTTTGTCTTGTACATTATTATTTTTATTTTTTAAGTGACAAATGGCTGTTGTGATAGTTGGCAGTAAACTTAGCATAGGTATCATTTCTTGTTTAACAAAGTTTTTTTAATTCTGTTTTCTTTTATAGCCATGGTCGCCCACTCAGTGGCTACGCACTGCTTTGCAGTGGGGCCCTGGACAAGGTTTATGATGTTAAAATTTGAAAATGTAGGAACCTTGTTTTTTGGTTTGCCTTGTTGTTTTTTTTCCAATCGTATTAGATTTGGAGTCTGCAGAGGATGTCATCCATAAAATTTACTTGCCGTGGCCTTATTATATAATTAGCATGTATATGTATCATGGCTCTGATCATCTACATGTAAGACCATGTGGGGTCTAATCAAAAGACAAACATTTATTTTTACATTAAAATCCCTTTTTTACAGGGGTCTGGCCACCTCCAATGTCCAGCATGTGGCCCAAGTGGTGGCCTGTCTAAACTCATTCCTGTCCAGCCTTCTCGAGCCACAGAGGGTTGTAGTCGTTGCCTTCTTTGCAGAGGTAAACACATCACTAAGTCTTTGATATCTAATACATGTACTTAGGCCACACCAATTTAATTTCTTGGTTAACAGATTCGCCCGCTTCATTTTTTTCTGATTTGCAAATATAAATAAAAATTCAGAATCAACTGCAAAATGCTCACATTTTGCCCTGAACAGTTGAAAACAGTCCTTTTCTTCCTAGTTGTTACAGTTATTTCATCTTTCTTTGAATGCAATGGTATCATTAAAAGTTCAAAATTCATTGTTTAAATTTTGAATTAGCCTGGTGTGTTGACTTCATGGCTCCTATCTTACCATTTTGGGCCATAATAGGATGCCTAGGCCTGTTTTTTTTTTGTTTTTTTTCGCCCGCCCGCTCCATTATTTTTCTAGAAAAATCCGTTAACCAAGAAATTAAATTGGTGTGGCCTTAGTAATATCATTGTACCTTTGGATAAAGCCAATGTCACACATAGCTGACCATAGACCCCAGACATTTTTTTCTACAGTTTTTGGTCACTATTCAAGCAAAGGTTGGTGGGAAAGATTGTGACCTTTCTAACATGCCCTAAAACAGGGCAGTTACAAAAGTCACAAAAAACAAGGCATATTTAAAAGGTTACAATCTTCCCTACCAACCTCTGCTTGGAGACTATTGTTGGTGAGGTTGCACTAGCTGACTACAAATTTGGAAAATCAGTCGAGGAAGTCATATCAAGCTTGGATGCGATCGGAGGAAACTTTTGATCTTATTTATCTATTGATCTTAAAAACAGTTGGGTGGTACATGTATGTTCAGTTTAGGACAACTGATTTCCAAGGTAGCCCAACAGAAGAAATTACAAAGAACATAGACAATCAAATAATTAAACATAGAGATAATACATAATAAGAGTACAAGTAATTAATCATAAGAAACAAGACACGTCAACCAAAACAAATATTAAAAAGCATAAGGCATAATCATAGTCCGTGTCATTCCAGTCAAAAGATAAGTCAGTCCATGAGGTCAGGGGTCATGTGTTTAGTGCTCTCTTAAAAGCATTCAATGTGGTTACTTGTTTAGTTTTATTATCAATATATGTAACAAGTTACAGGGCTCGAAATTCATTTTTTGGGATCTAAAATGAGAGCTAACTTCAAAATCTTAAACAAGTACTAACATCCGTGTCCATAATATCACCAGGGTCCATAATATCACCACCTTGAGAAACAGTGTGCTTAAAGATATTTTTACTGCAACATACTTTTGGTATGCACTCCTGCACACCTCAAATGTACATATCTAGGGTACGTTGCAGTAAAAAATATCTTTAAGCACACTATTTCTCAAGGTGGCGATATTATGGACCCTGGTGATATTATGGACACAGATGTTACAACAAACTAAGGTTGTTGTTTTTTTTTTCTGAAACTTAGAGACCAAGAACTTCTGGTATACTATTATACATTTCTTATGTTATAAATTCCTACAAAAATAGTTGGGTGCACGCACAGAAAAAAATTACAAAATGTAGGTGCACAGCTCCAATTTTGGGTGCACTAAGGTGCACATGCACCCAGTATTTCGAGCCCTTAAGTTATAAGATGCTGCTGCCCTATACTTAAATGCCTTATATCTTATCAATGTTGATTTCCAGCTGATTAACCAGAAGTGCGTGAATGACCTGATGTTGGTGGAGCTGCTGGTGAACAGCATGCTGGGAAGGCTGGTGGACGAGAGCCACATCGTGCGCATGTTGTGCATCCGAGGGCTGGGAAACATCGCCAGTGTGGGGGACGGACAGGTAGTTACTGTTCATTTGCTGTCATCTGTAGTTTTAACATCCTTTCCGCACTCCCTGTTTCAGAGTATAACATGCCCGTAGCCAGCGGGGTTCGGGGGGTTCAGAAGAACCCCCACTTACACACACAAGGCTCAAAGGTCCACTTTTTGGTCCACTTTTTAAGTAAAGGTCCAAGATTTTTCTTGAAAAGATGGACTGGAATAGTAGAAAAACTGCTCCCTTTGTCATTGAATAAAAATTTATCTCTGATTTTTTCTTGGAAATCCTCTCAAAAACGCAGGAAATGCCATTTTAGAAGGTTCATTTTTCAAAATTTTCCGGGGGAGCATGCCCGGACCCCCTAGGAACCTCGCGCCTTCGGCGCTCGCTCGTCCCTCAAGCAGTGGGAAGAACCCCCCATTCAAAATCCTGGCTACGGGTATGTATAAGGTTGTGTGCATCTGTGTGTCAGGGCTTGGAATTCATTTTTGGGAATAGGTGCACTGGTGCACCCAACCTAAAAAATTAGGTGCACAAAAAATTTTTGGGGTGCACCATATATAAAACAAAACCTAACTACAAATCTTACTGCTCCTCTTCTGAGCTTGAATCTGAAATGGGAGCTACCAGTCAGAATTGCCATGAGGAAGGTGACAGACGGTCACTGAAACGTTATCTGAATAAAAGACTTGGTTGTGTAAAAAGAGTGTCTTTACCCAGTGACTAACCAACCTGATGAAACTATTCTCGGATGTTTTTCAGGTTCATAAGTACTCCACGACGGTTCTGTCCGCCATGATGGCGGGGATGGACGACAAGGAAGACCCGGAGGATGACATCACACTGGAGGCCATGGCCGGTCTGTCCAAGATCCTGGCAGAAATCGACGAGGGAAACGTGCGCGCCATTCTCATCAACATCACACTCAGGATACGGCCTTGTTTCGAAAAGGTGGGAGGACAAAAGTGTCTCAAGGTTAAGCTTTCAGCAATACGGTGGCTCGTGTATAATGGAGGTTATGGCAAGAAACTTCTGCATGAAAAAGAATGCAACACATTTATATGAGAAGAGTAGAGGTGACTAGCAAAAGTGCATTGCCCTTCTAGCCCTGATTTGTCATTGCTAAGAGGTTATTTGCTTTCTCTTTCAATATATATCCCTTGTGCTACTGCAGAAATCATCAGTGTAACCTGTCCTGGTTTGCTTGGCTATAAACGTGAGCAATAATAAAACTGCTACTAGCTCACAAAAAGCATGATCTTGTTTCGACCTCAGTAAGCAGTCCTCAATCTGAGGCCTCCTGCTTTATCTCTTTCATTGCTTTCTCTGCAGGAGAAATCCTCGGTGCGAGCAGAGGCGTTCAAGCTGTTTGGGAACCTGTCTCGGTTTGGGGACGGCCCGTCCAAGGCTCCGTTCCTGGAGCAGATCCACACCAACTTCATCTCACTACTACTTCATCTGAACGATGAGGACGATGAAGTCAAGAAGGTAGATAGGGAAGGTCTACTAACAAGACTGGCAATGAAAACATACATTGCCATGGCGACGGTGGTTGCTGTTAGGATTATTGTTTGCATGGCACTGCCATCATTTCATGATTTTGAGGAAGACTTGGTACCTGTTAAGTCTAGACAGATACAGTGCTCTCCTCCCCTGAGTGTATAGTGAACGAGCCTCGGGGTCACAGAAAGTAGGGCCATCCAGGGCAGAGAGGTCTTCCCAAGGGTTTCCAGGAATGTGGGCATAGATGTGGGTCAGAGACATGCCTGTGGACAAAATGCCTGTACCATTCCTGGAATTCTTGCAAACTGCACACAATACTGTACCATTAGGCTCCTCCCTGAGACGTCACCAAAAATTCAAGTCAAGCCAAATGGGGGCATAGGGTAGTTTCAATAGCTCTTGGGCTACACAAATTTATGCAATTACTACTGTAAGAGGCTAGTCCACTGGTAGAGGTGCACATGTGTGTATGTGTTAACTACTATACGAGTGTTTAAACTTGATTAAGTTCGTCCTCTTGTTTAGTTGTACATGCTGATTACAGCCAGTGTTTAGACATGCCTAGTAGGTATGAATAGTCTTTCCTAACTACTGAGTGCTAATCAGAGAAAACAGCAAGTGCCATTTTTAAAGTCTTTGATCTGAAATTTGAAATCTCCTTGATTTTTTTCACAATATTGTGTTTTGCCTGGCCCGAAGTCACAGTGCCCAGTTACGCACGTTGTAACTTTGTACCGGCGGTACATACATTCTTATCCCGTTCATACCAAACTTTTAAAAACCGGTTGAAACCACTAAATAATTAGCGGAGGAAAACCCGGCTAAAACCCTTAGTTTTCATACCAGACTTTTCATAACCGGTTTTGTAAAATCGGAAAATCGGATTTAAACCCCTAAAAAAATGGTTAATTTGCATTCACACCAGGTTAAATAAAAAAATGTTTTTTTCAAAAACCGGTTGAAACCGCTAAATATAAGTCTGGTTTGAACAGGGTCTTAGTGTTTGCTTGGAACATTAAACCATTTCAGGAGCCACGAAAGTCCGGGTTGCCGATGCCTTCATCTAGTCCTTTTTCGATGCCAGGCCAGCTTTTTTTAAGAGCTTTTCTTGTTTCTTCTGCCTCAGGGTTGTAAGTCGGCACTGCGTCAGCTGGGGCCTCTGATTGGTTCAGACGTGATAAACGACATGTTTCAGAAGCACCTATTGGAGGAGGCAAACCTGCACTACGGAGAGTTCATGAACAACCTCGCCAAGGCTCTGGTACTTAACCTACTTTCTGTCAGCTTGAAAGTCCATCTGTGTTGGTAGATCAGTCATTCTGAAACAGGTTTCAACTGTAACTTCTTACACAAAAATTTTTGACAATTCAACTCCAGACTTTGTCAAGGAATGAGCAATCTAGCCTATTATCTTAGCAAAGACCATAAAAATTACCATATACCATTACTGTAACAGTGACCGAATGTTATCACTTATTTTCAGTACCTTCTATGTTCGGAATGTAATGATTTTGTGCTGTTTTATTTAATTCTTTTCTGTCCTAGCTTTAAAAGACAATCGTACAACTTCAAAAGTACACTGCTATATGCAAATAAGACATGCAATACAGTATTTTCTCAAAAGGAAGCGAAATTGATTTCTGTTCTGTTCTGAAGTCTTTTTCCCTTGCTGAATCTTGACTCCTATGATCAGAGAGATTTTGTTACTTTGATTTCTGTGTGAGCTATAGTTTGATCCATCTTCAAATCACAAACCCTCTGCTGCTGATTCTGTGTTCTAGCTACAGAAAAATTCACGCCGAGATGATGATGATCCTACTGTAAGTATGATAATGCAAACTGCGGCACATCTGGCTCCTTTTTCTGTCCCTAATTTCCCTTTTCAAAAATAGACAGAACGTGGTAACCTGGAACCCATCCTATGGACCTATACCATTATTACGTCACAGTTTGTTTACCGCAATGAATGCCGGTCAATCGACGTTTATATTGTACAGGGGTGCAGTGTGTGTTTGTGTAGCGTTAGCCTAATATAAGGCTTTTAATACAGTTCTACTTTCGTCTAATGTCACAACTAAATCACCCATGTGGCATGTAATGCTGTGTCAACACAACTAGACGCAGCAAAAATCAGACATACCTTACTTTGAAAACTTTGAAATGATCTTTATTCTTTAACTGACCATTCTAGAATGTTCTTTAGAACAGGTAAACAAACTGTGATGTAATAATGGTATAGGTCCATTCTAGCTCCAGTTCACTCCTCCAATCGTTTCACTTCAGTTCAAATAGAGAAAAATAATTTTATTACTTGTTGATATGTTGCAAGTTGACTACTCTTTTAACCTTTTCCCTGCTAACTAAATAAAACCCTGTAACCAATACAAATTTGGTGCCAAAAACCTAACTCAGCAGGGAGAAGGTTACGCTTTTCATGAATATGTGCATATTTATTAAGCTTTGCATATTTTCTATGCTTTTGTAAAAATTGCCCTTTCCAAATGTAAATCTATGAAAAAAAACTAGTAGTAGAGCACTGGGCATTCATACGCGTCAAGTGTTGAGATACAATGAAGAAAGCCTGTGCTGTCCCGATACAGATTACTGACTTCTCTGACAAGATCAACTTCTATGTGATGGGCTGTGTGTCCTTCTTCAAGAGTACATGGGAAACCATCAAGGGAAATGCTGCCATGTTTATAGGTGAGGATCGCATGACCATAATGTGTATTACTAAGGCCGACTTTAGACTAACGGCGGTATACGATCGCACGACAATCGTTGTGGGCGACGGCTGGCTTTAGACACATGACCAGGAAGCGTGGCGGACACCCGGAGCGCAGGATAGCACGCCGCGCGCCAATTCAAAATGGCGAGAGCACCCCCTTTTTAGGCATCTGCAGCAGATTGTTTTTATTCTGCTTTTAACTCGTTGTCCTGTGGATGAGACGCCGAGTTTGTGCCCAGCAAAGAAGGGGTATGAGGCACATGTACCGAACGGGGTTACCATGTACCAATACTCCGGGTTTGAACCCGGCGTTCAGTGCTGCCGTCAGCCTGGCTATATTGGCCGGAAAATGTGGATCGGTGGATTGGTTCGTACCGGAGAAGTAGCGATTGATGGCAGGGAATTGTACTAGACACATATGACGATATATAAAGTCTTTGGTTTGACGACATTTAATGATACAGGCGATGTTCTTGGACATGAAATAATGTTTGCAGGCTTATTTGCATAAGGCCAATGACCTCTCACTTCCTTCGCCGGCGACGGTTCACTTTAGACGGTGGGAAATCCTCCTCGGACCCCCCGCTGAAGGATCGCACGATAGGTCCGAGGTGGTAGTGACGACGATTCGAGGATTACCGTCGTGCGACTATTTTGATCGTCTTTAGACGGTGGTAAAATACCGTCGCCGGCAACATCTTGACGATAAACATTCGTACGACTATTGAACCGTTGTCAGTCTTAAGTCGGCCTAACTGATTTGAATAGGCCTTAGGGCACAGTAACATTCATCAAAGCTGATTTTGATGTGACATACAGTAAGGCAACACCAATTTAATTTGTTGGTTCTCGGATTCTCCTCTTCATTTTTTTTCTGATTTGCAAAAAAAAAAAGGATTCTGGTTCGGAATCAACTCAAAAATGCTCATATTTTGCCCCCAACAGTTGAGGAAAGTTCTTTTCTTTCTAGTTTAAAATTACATTTTTCCATCTATCAATGCAGTGGTTTGATCAAAATTCATTGTTTAAATTTTAACCCAGCCTTTTGTGTTGACTTCATGGCTCGTATCAAATCATTTGGGGATGCCTAGACCTGTTTTTTTTCCGCCCTGTATGTTGCTTCAGATTTTTTCTGAAAAAAATCCAACCAACAAATTAAATTGGTGTGGCCTAATAGAAGTTTCGATCAGGCTGAGACAGAAGCAACCACCAACATTCGAGAATATAAGACACCCTTTTCCATAGCAAGACACCTGAATTTTGCAGGACACATGTACAAGTATCACAAGAATGTCCTCAGCTTTCGATTGTACAACGATCATACAATGTGCATCTATGTGACCGGACCTTTTAGTACATGTATCTCCCTTGTAAAAACTCTCAATGATGTTTATTTAAGGTATATGCACACCTGTGTTTCAGCCATTGCTTTTGTTCAACTCTTTACAAATCAAAATCATGCCCATAGCCAGGACTTTGAATGGGGGGTTCTTCCCACTGCTTGAGGGCGGCGCGAGGTTCCTAGGGGGTCCGGGGGCATGCTCCCCGGAAAATTTTGGAAAATGAACCTTCTAAAATGGCATTTCGTGCATCTTGAAAGATAAATTTTGATTCAATGACAAAGGGAGCAGTTTTTCTCAGATTCCAGTCCATCTTTTCAAGAAAAATCTTGGACCTTTACATAAAAAGTGGACCTTTACATAAAGAGTGGACCAAAAAGTGGACCTTTGAGCCTTGTGGGGGGTTTGGAAGGCTCAAAGGTCCAAACCCCCCCTGGCTACGGGCATGAAAACTATGATAATGAACTGTTTTTGTCTGCAGGTTTCTTGCTAGGAAACCTTCCCCAGGATAAGCACATGGCGATCAGTAAGGAGCACGTGTGTGGAGGTATGGAACTGGTCTTTGATTATCAGTGTAATGATGTTAAAGTGCTCATGACACCAAAATATGACCTTAGCTGATTGTAATGGACATAACTAGTATTACCTGGCTAATAGACACATTTACATGGTTCTCCTGTTACATTCAAAATTCTAATGCCCTACCCTGGAAAAGTCAGTACAAGCCAGTCCTGGTAGGCGATTTGCATCTCTACATTCACCCAGTGATGTCAGCGCAGGAAAAAGCACAGAAATGCAAAAATAAAACATAGAGATGCAAATAGAGATGCCCGAAGTGAGCGATTGGGAAGCTTGCTAGAGTCTCCAAAAATTCACTTTTAGAAGGTCGTACAAGCTCAATTTCTCAGTCATCATGATTGGAACAAACTTCCATATACCATATGACTATATGTACACTTCCGATATTTGTGTGTATTTTACAGACTTTTTTTTGTGTCATTTGGTCTTCAACATCAAAAAGATTCTCACTTTTGTATTTATATCAAACAATTATGATAGCAAGTGAAGTTTGTATCTCTCTTGGCATCATCTTTTGAAGCAGGCTTGTGCTGAATGAAAAAAGAATATTATTTAAGTGGCTTTCAGAAAGTCTTCAGACTTATACATGTAGTCTCCACTGCTGTGTGGATAAGCAAGATGGAAAAAAGAAATTGTGGGTGAAATGTAACCTCAACATCTCCAACCTATCCTTTAAGTTTTGAACTAGCTTACTTTAAAAGATGTGTTGTTTACCACTCCAGCCCTGATGCAGCTATTGAAGGACCCCTCTGCCCATGTGAGGATACGAGCAGCTGAGGCTATGAGTCTGCTGCACGAGTACTGATGTCATCATCATTATCGTCCAATGGCTGCAGAGTACAGAGGAGTCAACCATACATCTCATCAAGGCTTGTCAATCAATAGCCATGCACTGATGTCATCACCATCATTGTCCAATGGCTGCAGAGGAGTCAACCATACATCTCATCGAGGCTTGTCAATCAAATTAGCCATGCACTGATGTCATCAGCATCATTGTCCAATGGCTGCAGAGGAGTCAACCATACATCAAGTCAAGGCTTGTCAATCAAAAATCATGTACTGATGTACACAGGTGCAATACCATATGACATGCCTTATAACATACACTTGGAAAACAGCTGAGTCCATCTTCTTTTTTGCAGTATTTTCTAGACTTTCTTCTCTGCTTTGTCCAGCAAATTTTGATTCTGCAATGACAGAATGGAATACAGGTTTGGCAGTCTAATACAGGGTGATGAAGTAGTCCTGCTGTTTCTGTTGAATTCTGGCTTGACTGGTGTTAAACTTTCAGCATGCTAAGGCACCAAATTAATTTTGTAACAGTTATGTGGTTAGGCAAAAGGGACAAGGTTATTACACTTTTTAAATGACTATACATGTACTAGGAACTTCATGAATGATGTAAAGTAAGGGAAGCAGTATGATTTTCATTGTTTGATGGAATTCATATTTCTCGCTGCATGACATGATACTTGATCTTGTTTTGTTATAAATTGATGATTAAGAGTATGGTATAAGTAAGGTACTTTGGAATAGGAAATGGTTGCCTGAGTTAATCCTTGGTTGTTGTTCTGAGCCAGTGGCCAGAATTGCTATGGTGAGAGAAATTACTAAAAATGGTATGAATATTTTTATTACTGGACAAGAATATATAAATTAAATTGTTTACATGTATACAGATACATGTATTTATGTACTATTTCTGTTGATTTAAGAACCTGCTGTAATGATATTTGTTATCAATATTTTTGTGATCTTTAAGATTTACAGCTAAGCGTATAAAATACCTAAATTAATACGCTGCAGTCAGTTTAGTGGAGATGAAGTATAATATTTTATTTATCATAATGGGTATAGTCAGTGATATATTCCATATAAATCAATGATATTGGAGTAGGATCTTAATCTTTGTTACTTGACAGAATAGAGCAATCTAATTGTGATAGGCATGCAGGATTGATCTATATAATGCCACACCGACTTAATTTTATGGATGACATCCTCTGCAGACCCCCGAACTAGTGCGCGCGGGCGAATAAAAAAAAATTTCGGCCAAAAATAAAAATGCTACAAAACCACAGGAATACAAAGCTGGTATTGTGAATTTGAGGCAGTACATACATGCATAGCGACGTATACGACAAGCCGGCACATGCTGGCTTTTTGCGGAATTTATGAATCGGCACTGTACGTACATGTATGTACTGAATTCTTGAGTCGTGGAGCTTCTGTAGCCTGGATCCCATCCTCCAGAGTTACCACCGGCTCCGTGTTGTCGCTAACTACCATGGACTACCGAGGCCTAGAACCAGGCCATAGCATCGAGGACGTGATCTTTTTTTTTATCGAGAACAGGCCAAAATCAATGTGCGCGCAGATGTCATCCATAAAATTAAGTTGGTGTGGCCTTACGATACACTAACATTATGTTTTATAAACACAATCATGATCAATCTGATGCGATAAAAAATTGTAGTTACATTTTATGTTAAGGTGAGATTTTTCTATGATGAGCTCATGAGGAATTAAGATTCTGTGCTGGTGCACACATTACAAATGTATGTAACCTTACATGCAGTAAAATGCCTTGTATGATTACCATCATAGATGTCAATTTGTCTTGTTAGAATCTTGTTGAAAAATTACATTTTTCGTTCATTGTTCCATACAGCTTATGTATAGTCATTTTAGTTTTCCATTGATTACAACATTTTTGGAAATAAAAAAATAATCATATGGATACTTGATGGTCACATCTTTGAAATATGACCTTAACTTTTTCAACTTTGAACTTCCACTAAAGTATATACACATGTAAATGATGACCTGTGTGTGCGTGTGTGTCTGTGCGTGTGTGTGTGTGTGTGTGTGTGTCTGTGTGTGTGTGCGTGTGTGTGTCTGTGTCTGTGTGCGTGTGTGTGTGTGTCTGTGCGTGTGTCTGTGTGCGTGTGTGTGTGTGTGTGTGTGTGTGCGTGTGTGGTCCCTTTCTGTACTTCAGCAGTAAGAAGTGAACTAAAATAGGTAACTACATGTAAGGAAATGAAGCAATGAAACTTTCCAACATAATTCATATGCATGTCTTTCATCCAATAACATTTGCATCAGAACCACAGCATAAAATAGTTAGTTTTGAAGTCCAGATGTCCATAGCTCTTGTTAGCCAGCTGCCTCCATAGCATGCCAAAAATTGGGGGGTTGGGAGGTCTTTGGGATCTTTTATGTGCTATTTGCTGATAGCATATAGACAATATAGCAGGCCTGGTTTAATTACCCCCGTTTTTTAACTGGGCTAATACCGCATCCAAGCACGGTCAGTATTTGAATGATACCGAATTCGAAGCCGTAAACAACCCTGTTGCTGAGTGTTGTCGCGCATTCAAATTTAACGGTTTTCTAGCGCAGTATACAAATGTACAGGGAGACATCAGGAACGATCGATATGAAAACAATCCCGCAAAACATGAAAAAAAAGAAAGAAAACCCTACCTCTTACTACCTATTTTAGGCCTACAGGTTCCCCTGGTCGTGAAAGAAACTCATTTGTCTTAAATTTGTGGCTTTATTTGCTATTAAAAAGGGTTTGTTCATTTCCTTCAGACCGTTCCTGAAAGAAAGAAAGAAAATCCTACCTCTTTACGCTTGATCGTGCTTGAGGACCTGAAAGAAACTATTTATGTTAACGTGTGCCTTTATTTGCATGCTGGAGAAAATTGTTTTGTTGTTCGTTTTCTTGGGAGTCTGTCTGTTGTGTGACCGCCTCCTAACACGGCAAGTCTTCGAATGATGCCGAATTCGAACATAAACAACCTTGCTGCTTAGCAACCACGGTTGTCGCACATTCGAACCTGTAAACAACCCTGTTGCTTAGCAATTGTTTGTTGTCACGGATTCAAATTTAACGGTCTTCTAGCGCAGCACGGAGACATCATAAACCATCGATGAAAACAAATATGCAAAATATGGGGGAAAAAGAAAAAAAAATCCTGCCTCTTTTACACATGAAGGTACCCATGACATGAAAGAAACTATTTATATCAAATGTGTGCCTTTATTGTTACTGTTAATTAACAATTGTTAAATGTTTTCTTGAGGGAGATCCTGTTGTGTTGCCACCCGTTTAAAATGTTACCGAATTCGAATCTGTAAACAACCCTGCTGCTTGTTGTCTTACACTATCGCAGTACACACAGAGATCAAACCAAGCGATGAAAAGAAACGCACAAAACACGCGAAAAGTAAAGAAAATCCTACATATTTGGGCCTAAAGTTGTCTAAGGACCTGGAATCAATGATTTGCCTTTGATATGATATGCCTTTATTTACTATTGAAAATTTAACGATCTTCTAGACTATCTCAGTACACACAGAGAGCAAAACCGATCTCGAGCGATGAAAACAAGCGCGTAAAACACGAGTAAAGGAAAGAAAATCCTACCTCTTTTTAGTCCTACAGGTTCCCAAGGTCTTGGAAGAAATGATTTAAGTTAAATGTGTGCCTTTATTTCCTGTTGAAATGTGTTTTTTGTTTGTTTGTTGCTCGTTTTCTTGAGAGAGGTCCCGTTTTGTGGCCGCCCTCTAGCACGGCCAGTCTTCGAATGATACCGAATTCGAACATAAACAACCCCTGTTGCTTAGCAACTGTATGTAACCTCAGATGACCCCATCTGCTCTAGAACGTCGCATCGTGAATCAAGAAGCTGATACAGGCGATAACTTTGTTAGGTGTTAACCGGAAAATACGAACTTATACGAGAAACAGTTTGTTCCACAGAGTAAGGCCAACAAAACCAGAAGAGTACCTGCAGGTCAGTTCAGGTGGTTTATTCTCGCAACATCGGTAGGAGCGTCGGACTGTAAGTTGGCGCCCGGGGGCCGTGGGTTCCGGCCCGGGATCAGAAGGGTTTTTATCTGTTTCTACTGCTCGCCCCTTTTTCATACAATGCTACAGCAAGTGATTTTTATGGATGACATCAGCGCGCGCATTGATTTTCGCCTGATTTTGGAAGAAAAAAAGAAATGTTGTTTCCCTCTGACAGTGGTCAATATACCAAAAATGGGCAAAGATGCCTGTTGCCATACCAGAAGGTGGATGGCAGATAACTAAAAAGAGAGGAGACAAGAAAAGGCTCTGATTTTTTTTTTTTACTTTGATGCTGTGATATGTAAATTTGTAATGGTGGCTGTATATATGTGATGTTCCCACTGAATCAAAACCATTTGTACAATGATTGAGTCAAAATCTTTAAAATGTCTTGTTTTTTTCGGCCCGCCTTGATTTTTTTTTTCGCCTGCTCGCATTAGATTTGGAGTCCGCGGAGGGTGTCATCCATAAAATTTACTTGCTGTGGCCATATGTAAACAAACGCACGTTGTGAACTGCTATCATGGTAGCCGCGGCGACTGTTGCAGGACTTCTCTTGCTTGCAGTCTTTTACACTAGCCCTAACAACAACAATGTTGTTAGGGCTAGTGTAAAAGACTGCAAGCAAGAGAAGCCCTGCAACAGTCGCCGCGGCTACTATCATGGAGTCAAATAGAAGGGAGTGGAGACCATGGCCATGTTTGCTATTCTCCCAGGAGCGACTCTGATTGGCCAGTCCGTGTGCCACGCCCACTTTCTCGTGACTTCCGGGATTTCGTCATGTGCCCGTCACATGATCCACAAGATGGCCGGACAGAAAGTCTCGCTGCTCTTCCTCTCCGTGTTTCTGGTCGCCAGCCAGGCGCACAGCCTGCACGGCAAACCCTGTCTCGTGCGGTCCAACAACAGGCATCTCCTGGGAGTGAAGTAAGTCCTAGTTTCGCTTAGGAAGCTTAATTTAGGAAGGTATTAATCGTAGCTCTCGGTGTCCGGTTTTTAAAAAAATGCCCCCCTCCCACCCAAAACGTTATGAAACTTGCTTTGTTCAAGGCACCAAGAGTTAAATACTAGTACTTAGAGACTTTTTGACTCTGAACTGAACCATGTGAAAACGAGAGACCACGTCTAGCGATATATTAGACGTTAAGCAAGGACAACAAAAAACCATGAGAACACTACACTTGAGTCTGTTGTTCTTCGATGCATCCTTGTTGCAACAGTACAAGCGAAAGTAGCGTCTATTTCCGCTTCTAACTTACAGTATTTATACACGTAATCTGAGCCATGAACCGTCAAATTATTCTCATAAATGACATGATAGGATGGGCAGGCTACGCGTCCTTCCAAATTTATTGACACTTACTGACAAGTAACAAATTGGTCATTGCGCAACTAGTAGCAGTCCAAGTTACTAGTATATTGCAAGCTTTAAGCAGTACCAACCGCATTGGCACTGGCAGTACTAAATAAGAATTAATCTCAAGAACAGCTGGATATCTGAAGTGTACAAAACCATGAAGATTACTGACACTGTATAATTCTATCTAAGTAACGTCTTTGCGAGGTGTGAAAGTCTAATGGATAATTGACACTGCATTAAGTAGATCTGTTTCCTGTTTTGATAAACTTGCAGTAAAGGAATACACATACTCTCCAAGCAGACGTTTGGGTTTTGGGTTATTTTTGGTGTGTTTTTAGACTTTTTTTCTTTTTTCGCACTGGAATTTTTCTTTCACCCATTAACCTCTGCCGGCACTCGCCCCGGGGCGGGGCAAACCTATTCAAGAAACGTGACAGTGCTCCTCCCCGGGAACCATAAAATTATCATTAGGGATATCCATTTTACTGTGGTAGATTATCACATATCTAGCCAGTCAGAATGACATTCATTCATCCACACGCCTCCTGCTGACTGTGCCTATTCATGCGTCTGGTTCACACCTACTTGCAGAACGACTGAAATGTGTTGAAGTGATTAGGTTTATAGCCCATTGAAGCTTTCCACTGCCGGCAGAGGTTGGGTTTGGTGGGGAAAAAATTCAGTGCAAAAAAGCCTAAAAATACCCCCAAAACCCAAACCTCTGCTTGGAGAGTAAGCAGTACCAACCTCATTGGCTCTGGCAGTATTAAATAAGAATTTTGTTATTTAGGCTTAATCTCAAGAACAGCCGGATATCTGAAGTGTACAAAACCTTGAAGATTACCGAGACTGTATAATTCTGTCTAAGTAACGTCTTTGCGAGGTGTGAAAGTCTAATGGATAATTGACACTGCATTAAGTAGATCTGTTTCCTGTTTTGATAAACTTGCAGTAAAGGAATACACATACTCTCCAAGCAGACGTTGGGGTTTTGGGTTATTTTTAGCGTGTTTTTAGGCTTTTTTTATTGGGGTTTCTCTTTTGCACTGAATTTTTTCCCAACCTCTGCCGGCACTCACCCCGGGTTGGGGCAAACCTACATGTATTCAAGAAACGTGACAGTGCTCCTCTCCGGAAACCATAAAATTATCATTAGGGATATCCATTTTACTGTGGTAGATTATCACATATCTAGCCAGTCAGAATGACATTCATTCATCCACACGCCTCCTGCTGACTGTACCTATTCATGTGTCTGGTTCACACCTCCTTGTAGAACGACCGTAATGTGTTGAAGTGATTAGGTTTATAGCGTATTGAAGCTTTCCACTGCCGGCAGAGGTTGGGTTTGGTGGAAAAAAAAAATTCAGTGCAAAAGAGAAACCCCAATAAAAAAGCCTAAAAACATGCTAAAAATACCCCCAAAACCCAAACCTCTGCTTGGAGAGTAAGCAATACCAACCTCATTGGCTCTGGCAGTATTAAATAAGAATTTAGACCGGTGTTATTGAGGCTTAATCTCAAGAACAGCCAGATATCTGAGGTGTACAAAACCATGAAGATTACTGACGCTGTATAATTCTATCTAAGTAACGTCTTTGCAAGGTGTGAAAGTCTAACGGATAATTGACACTGCATAAGTAGATCTGTTTCCTGTTTTGATAATCTTGCAGTATAAGGTATACACAGTGGTGATAGGCCTGTGATATTCAGCCTAAGACCATGTTAATTATTTGATTATATGGATGACATCCACGCGCGCGTGGCCGTTTCCAAAGAAAAAAAAAATTCAACCATACTGTAAATTGTACAAAACAGTTGCAAAACAAGAAAATATATACCGTAAGTTAAAAAAAATAAAAATAAGAATAGCAGAAAATGATACCAATGTCGTAGAATGCCAAAATCAAACGAAAATGTAAAGAAATAGATTTGAAGAGTAGATTATTTGTCATGCCATACTCTGTCAGTTTTTCAACCTTCACGAACACATAGATTTCATGTTTGAAGCAACTTATTTTTTTGCCAAACTTTTTTTTTATTTGCACGCTCGCATCAGTTTTGGGGTTCCCAGAGGATGTCATCAATGTAATCAAATCAACATGGCCTAACCACTAGACTACACTTCCTTTCACAGCAGTGACATGACTGTCACATGATAATGCCTGTCAGAGTGACTAAGCTATATGCCACAAAAGGCTAGAGACAAAGCAATGGCTGAAATGCCTGAGCCCTGAGGCCAATATCATCATGTAACCAGCATTTCCAAGTTTTACAATTAAATGTCGAGTCAATGTATAATGTTTTGGGGTTATTTTACAGTTAGAATCTAATTCTCAAACAGAAATAGAAAGAAATAATTGAGCAAGGTGATTGCTCTTGTATGCATTGTTGTGTTGTGTTGTGTTGTGTTGTGTTGTGTTGTGTTGTGTTGTGTTGTGTTGTGTTGTGTTGTGTTGTGTTGTGTTGTGTTGTATTGTACTGTGGGAAGCTTTTAAAAATTTGAGCTAAAAGTAAAAAAGAGGCCATTTGAGGGATACCCAAAAGGAAAAAATGTTATTTCTAAGGTATGTATAATGTATCCTTGATTGGTAATTTTTCACATTTGATCTGGCATTCTTGAACAAAGAAATACAGTCACAATGCCCCTATGCTGTATTGAAAATTAGCGGGGGGGATTTAGCGTAGGGGGTCAAAATTATAGCGTAGGGGGCTCCTACGCTACTTCGCACTAGCTAGAACCCTGAATCGTTAGTTACTGGTAGAATGTGTCACCCTTTATTAATTACATGGCCTGCATGTGCCAATCAACAACCAAACAATTAATGTACAAAGTCCATGTTTCTTTTGTTGTGTAAAATTGGACCATTTTTTTTCTGCCAGGACCTATCCGCGACCATGGGAGTACCTGAAGGTGTCGGACATGCCCAAACAGTGGGACTGGAGGAACGTGAACGGGACTAACTTCGCCAGCACCACCCGTAACCAGCACATCCCGCAGTACTGTGGGTCCTGCTGGGCCATGGGCTCCACTAGTGCCATGGCAGGTCCGCGATTTTCTATGTTGTGTTTACCTCTTACCTAGCCTGACTAAATTGCCTGATGGTACATTACCCCCTGCAGCGAGAGCTTGTGTAAACGGTTAGATTTAATATCAGTGTATACGAACCAAAAGTTGTCATTTGTTTCTCATAAAAGAGAAAAAAAATTTACACTTTTTTACATTTTACAAAATTGTATTTAGTGGTGTATGCCTAAAATATGAATGTTCTGTGGGCATGTGTCCAAAGCACTCCTATACCAAATTTCAGGTCATTTCATATTAATACATGTAAAATTACTATATCAGGGCACAAATATCAAATCAATCATACAGAAATCAAATAAATGATAAGTAAAAGGATGAAAATTGCATATCAATGTACAATTGGCAGGCAATCATGTTTGTATATTTGTTTGAAGTGTAAAAGTGTACTGGCCGATTTCAGATGAGATGGTAAGTTATTCCAAAGAATCACCCCAGAATACGAGAAAGCTTGCTTTCTGTACTCCAGTTGAACTTTTGGCTACTGTAGTCTATCATTGGCAAAGCCTGACATCAGTGATTTTCTTCTCTATTCCTGTTCAGATCGGATCAACATCCTGCGTAAGGGTGCCTGGCCGTCGGCGTACCTGTCCGTACAGAACGTGCTGGACTGTGGCGACGCCGGGACCTGCCACGGAGGGGACGACCTTCCCGTGTACGAGTACGCGCACAAGAAGGGCATCCCCGACGAAACCTGCAACAACTACCAGGCCAAGGACCAGAGTAAGCTTGCAGTTATGCTTGTAGTTTATTTATGCAAGATGCCCAAGTTGTTATGTTTACCGAAGGAAAGCATCTTGTTATTACTCAGTTTCTTCCTCTTCTTCTTCTTCTCCAAACAGTGACCTATGACCTGAGCAATGACATGATTTGTTGACACCTGTCACCATGGTGACGTGTTGGGTTACATAATGTTGCAATTTCATGGTCTGCTCTGCTCCTGTCACCATATACTAGTAGTACATGTATGTGAATTTGTTTGAGTAAGAATTAACAGAACAGACCATGTCCAAAGGTGAACATTATGCATTACTTCTCTAGTTTATCAACATTTTGCAGTGTTCTTTTTTTGTTTATTCAAGGGGAGAATAAACTATGTTGTGTGTGTTTTTTAGTGCCTAAAGTCAGCTGCCATTTTTTTTTGCATTATTTCTATTTCAACAAATATGTTGCATTTTGTAATTGTTTTTTTTTTTTGTGTGTGTGTGCAGGTTGCAATCAGTTTGACCAGTGCGGTACCTGCACCACTTTTGGAGAGTGTGCCTCTATTCAGAACTACACAGTTTGGAAGGTCGGTGACTTTGGGTCGGTGAGGGGCAGGGACAAGATCATGGCAGAGGTGTACAAGAACGGACCAGTCAGGTGGGCTGTGCTTTATGTATTTTACAAGGTTTGTTTAGGCTAGTGGATCAAGAGGTCATTGGTTTGATTCCTGTCAGTGAGTGTCACGATAGAAATTGAAGACAGGAATTTCAAAGGAGATGACCTTTTCTGGGACCTGACGTACTGTGACTAGCATGTTCCAATACATGTAACTATGGAAACACATTCAAGCAAACTCACAGACAAACTGAAAACAAAACATATACAGAGGTATCTTAATTAATAATAACCTTTATTGTACATTCATGCCCTATCGGGCTAAGTACAGGTGAACAGATGAAAAGGTAATATACATGTTTGTAGTACAAACAGCTCTTAAACTACACTAATACAGAGGTTCAGCTTCTTCTCGTTTTTTTGTGATGTTAGAAATATAATTTGAAATAGGTTTGTTTAGTACAGGATGATCAAAGCGCATAAGAAAGGTAAATTTTTCAATATTAGTCAAGTATTGGAAGTATGGAAACGTACTTGAAATATGTCTAAAAAGATCATTTCTATCGATCGTTGCTATATAAACTACAATCAACGCCAAAGTGGACTTCATCTTCTACTTTGTTTGAGCTACAAAATTGGCAAATCCTTTGTTCCAGAGGTGTGCGGTTGTGCCTTCCTGTTTCAATGCTGAGACAGCTGATTCGTAGTTTGGTGATGGTGGTTCTTTGACTTTCGTTTAATCAATGACTGATGATTGTGTTATTACTCATGATTTGATTTGCTTGCAGTTGTGGCATTATGGTGACCGATGGTTTTGAGAAGTACCATTCTGGGGTGTTTGCAGAGCACCATATCTTCTCTTCGGTGAGTGCGGAGTTTGATTTCTCACACTAACCAGTTTCTCTTCTTGTATCATTGTCCACAGCTGTGGCATCATGGCCACCAGTGGGCTTGAGAAATACACAGGAGGAGTGTACTCTGAGTTTCATGTGCATTCCAGCGTGAGTACAGACTTCCACAACAATGCCCAATCACCTTCAATCCGACAATCAACTGTTGATTACTAATTTCAATCCGAAACCAATTGAAAATCTAATTTGAAATCAATTTTGCTTTGATTGCCAAGCTGCAGAATTCCAAATCAAAAGTCTAGCTCTAAGCTATTCAAAATCCCATATAAGAAATAAACTATAATAAATAAACAATAATAAATAAATAAATAATCAATTTGCTTTTCTAAATCATTGAATGTCAAGCTGCAGAATTCCAAATCAAAAGTCTAACTCTAAGCTGTTCAAAACCCTATATAAGTAAATAAATTATAATAAATAAACAAACAAACAAACAAATCCCAACAATCAATCAATCAATGGCCACAGACTGATAGGTCACAAAATTTCATAATCCTCAAATGGAAAGTGCTGCATCATGATTGCTCCTGTTTGAGAATGATCCATTTTAAGAATTTGCAGTTTCCTGTTCTTAATGGACCAAAGGGGAAAGAAAATGATATAATTTCTAATGTCACAGCAATGTGTTGAATATGTAGCCCTCTACCCTTATGGTTAGGGTTAGAGTTAGAGTTCTAGTCCTGCTCTTGTTGAATGAAAAGTCCCCCTTCCCTCCCATCAGCACGGCGGTCGGTTGCTAGGCTAAAGTCGCATTACTAGGGAGGTATCGGGTTACAGAACGTGTTCGAACGTGGCCGCGCGGGAGTCCCAGGCCGGCCCGGGGGCAACGGGTAAAATTTGAAAATAAACAAAAGTAATTGGAGAGTAAATACTCGTCAAAAATAAAAATGTAATAAGTGATTTTGTTTACCTCAAATGTTATTCTTGCACTGCCTTTGCTCCACTTTGTGTACATTTGCTTCCAAATGAGATCAATTTCGGATTTCAAAAAGGGTTCACGAGAACCAAACAACTGATTTTAAGAGGCCCCGAAAATTAAAAATAAGGTTAGATTTTTGGATTTTTAGAAATATTACAGTAAATTTAAACTTTCTGTCTTAGGATTTTTTTATTTTTTAACTAAAACTCGACTTACAGTCAAAAGAAGAGCTAAAAACGCAGTGTTTTAACTTTAAATACCGATAATTCATAATCGCGGCCATATTTAAAAAATCCCTAAGACAGAAATCTGCGGAAATCGTTCCTCTATCAAACAAGCCCTCAATGAGGTAATTTGAGCGTTTTTTAGGAATGGTTAAAATACCATGTTTGCACGCATGCTGTGCCACTTGGATATGGGGACCTGGATTTTATAACAGCGTCAACAAGAATTCTGACCTTCAAGGTCACCCACGATGACGGCAGTAGCTTCGTTATATGTTACATATGCACAATAAAATCACGGCATAGATGTAATATTTTGAAAACGGTTCATATTTGTGGAAAGGTGGATTTTTCCTGTTCCGTGGCTCCCAAGTAAAAAAGGGCTTGAAGTAGCCGGTTGTAGCGGCTTTACTGTAAATGACCGCGGGTAACCCCAGATCGAACGCCCGCTCTATTCGAATGACGTCATATCGAACAAGATTTGCGGGTTCGGGGGGTTTTGATCTCCATAGTAGCGGAGTGGGACTTTTGGGCCCAAATCTGACCATCGTGCAGGAGAACCATGTGCTGTCCATTGCAGGCTGGGGTTAGGGTTAGGGTTAGGGTTTGAGTTCTAGTCCTGCTCTTGTTGACTGAAAAGTCCCCCTTCCTTCCCACCAGGAGAACCACGTGCTGTCCATCGCAGGCTAAGGGTTAGGGTTAGGGTTAGGGTTAGGGTTAGGGTTAGGGTTAGGGTTAGGGTTAGAGTTAGAGTTCTAGTCCTGCTCTTGTTGACTGAAAAGTCCCCCTTCCCTCCCACCAGGAGAACCATGTGCTGTCCATCGCAGGCTGGGGTGTGGACACGGACGGGACGGAGTACTGGATCGGCAGGAACTCTTGGGGAACTCCATGGGTAAGACAGTCGCCATCGCCATTTGCCACCGCCATTTTTTTTACATTCTACTGTTCCTAAATATGAAAATGCAAGACTTAGTTTAGTTTTCATTTTCAGTACTCGATTTACTCCATGGTTTAGGTTCAGAATAGACAAGTTTAATGTCAGGAAGTGATACTGCTTCTGTAATAATGGTACACTGAATTTTAGGCTACAAATTATGTGCTACAATATGATCACGTCATATGATTGGTGTATGCTCTTGTGCTCCTTCAGGGCGAGGGCGGTTGGTTCAAGATCGTCACCAGTCTGTACAAGAACGGAGAGGGCAACAAGTACAACCTGGGGATCGAGGAAAACTGCGCTTATGGCGACATCGTAGGAATGACCACCGTGTCTTAGGATAGTTTAAGACATGCCTCACACTTAAAGTCATGTCTCACACTTAAAGACGTATCTCACACATGGATGATACATATTCTTTGTTGCACAATCCAAGAGATTGAGCTGCCAGCCATTCTTTGCGTAGTCTTTTCTGCTATCTTCCTCAGTGGTGCAATACTGACTGCAGTTCTGCTTTCCAGTGCTAGGTGGCACTGCAGTGAAATGAATGCAGTCCTGAATGTTGTTGATTGTGCATGAAAGAAAATTGTATCATCCATTTATTTCACCGACGTAATGAAACTATTCAGGGGTTTGTGGCACATTCAGAACTTTCATAAATCAATTTTACTGCATATTATTGAATGATACCTTTTAGGTAGTATAACAGATAAGTTTTGGTCAAATTCATGAAGGTAGCTAGATTTTAACACCTCTTTATGATAAGCAAATGCTGCTCTGATTTGATTATGACGTGTATATCAGATTTTTGAGGAATGTAGTCAAATGATTAGGTAGATTGCTGTGCAATCGTACTGATGGTTATTGGAGTCTGACATGAATATATGTTGAAGAAAATTTTTTGAATGCAGCTAAAATGTGATATTGATAACAAATGTAACAATTCATCAATCAATAGGAAATTGAAATACAATTACACAAGAGTGCAAAAAACATCAATTATTATGTATCGATATTCACAAGTTAACCGTACATTTATTCGGTACCCAGTATATCAGTTGATATTATCTTGATTACATTGATACATGAAAACTTTTATTGATGTACTTTGTGGGTTTGCGTATTTGTTTTACAAACTTTTCTTTTCAAGAAATGTCAGTTATCCTGAATATAGTACATCCTTACCATATATCATTTACAACCGCCCTGTATCAAACCAAATTAGTTAGAAAAATCTTCAAACAGTATGCCCTCAGAAAATATACTTTTGGTATAGTAGCTCTTTTCTAAGACCTTGGTCTTTATGACCCATTCCTTTGACCTGCCACCGAAGTCCGTCAGGGTAAATAATGTAATAACAAAGTAATAACAAATCGTACATTTCAAATTTCACATGTTTTTTATGTCAACATGTATTATGTCAACTTATATTAATGCCGCCACCAACACGGGACAAATACATGACAGGACAATACTCACTTACACCTAAGCTAAGTGAGGAAAGTCGTGTTAAGTGCCTTTTCCAAGGGCACAAGATCGGTGGCATGTCAGGATTCGAACCCGGGACCTCTCGGTTTCGAGTCGCGCACTCTGCCGCTACGCCACGCGACCCCACCTCACGTATGTTAAGGTATGGTTTATGTTAACGTCATCTGGCTATTAAAATACTAGCACCCTTCTGACAAACGGCCCTCCCCGTCAGTAAACCATTTAACTACAAATTTTAAAGCATTCATCCCTTCACTACATTCAACACATTTCTCCTTTGTACCTTCTTTCTGTATTCCTGACTCAATACTGAATCCCTACTCTCTAGTGATACTGTATGACCGTATTTAAACATGTGTTACATGATAAATTGATATTTCCAAAATGCGTTTGAAGCTACAAGTCACTTTAGATTTTGCCTCATGTTCTGCAGCCTCCTTTTTGCAGCTGTATCTCATATTTATTGCCTTCGACAGAAGGCTATGAAATCGTTTTGGCACTGTTTGGTAGATTATTTTTAAACAGGTGTGATTTAGGAACAATCCATTTGCGCGGGAGGGGGATAGGTCCATTTTTGGTACTGGGGATGTGGTGAAGCCATGCTGCATTTACTCCTGAGCAAATGTTGGCCTTTCTAGGGGAAATTTGGAATGGGGAGGAAAAATAGGTGAAATGTGCTGTATTTGCTCTTGAGCAAATGTCGGCCTTTCTAGTTGAAGGCTAGTAAATAGTATGTTGCTTCGTTCACAAAAAGATTCTCTGACCACTATAACTACGGTTACCGTAATCATCTTCAAAAAAACCTACACTATACACACACACAACACCGACCAAAACAATATCACACTGTCGAAGGCATGAGACCTCCGAACTCTAGTTAGCTTTGAAGTACAGTGGCCCCGAGCCTTGTTTTTTACCAGATCGCGTGTGTCCTGTTACAGCATCGCCGGCGCCTTCTGCTTTTAGGTATCACGAAAAGCGTACAGTAATTACAGGATGGTGGAGTTGCTGTGAGCAGTATTTGCAGTGATGTTTTTAATACCATTTGTAGGCATCATATTCTCTATGGGCCTCATGAAGCAACTAAACAGTGAATGGCTTTTTATAGCCAGGTACGGTGGCCCGTAAGTACAGGCATGCGTGTCTGCACGAATACCTTCCACGTCTGCGTGAATACCTTCCACGTCTGCACGAATACCTTCCATGTATGCACAGAAAAAACTTCCTCGTCTCCACGAATACCTTCCACGTCTGCGCGTATACCTTCCACGTCTGCGCGTGTACCTTCCTCGTCTGCGCAAATGCCTTCCTCGTCTGCGCGAATACCTTCCTCATCTGCACAGAAAAGGGTATCTGGAAAAGATGGGCTAGGCCAGGGCTAGGGGTACCTTGATGGGCTACCCTTTCTGGGCCCCAAAGGGTGTGCATGGGGTTTCGGCCTCTAACAAATTTACTTGCCTTTACAGCTGTAAAGACGTGGAAGGTACTCGCGCAGACGTGGAAGGTACTTGCACAGACGTGGAAGGTACTCGAGCAGACACGCATGCCTGTACTTACGGGCCACCGTAGTACAGTTTCAATTACCTCACCGTTGCTCTAAGTCTTGAATGCAACACGCATCAGGCTTAATTTAAAGGGGAACAAGAGGTTCGTTAAAACCTGTCATTATATCATGGATGGTATGTCTGAAAAGTGATTTCGCTAGTCCATCTAGTTTAGAGCGCGGCCGGCCGTTTGAAGTTGCGGCTAGCACCTAGCATCGACAAATGGACCAATCATATTATTACGTCACAGTTTGTTTACCGCAATGAATGCCGGTTAATCGACGTTTATATTGTACATGGGTGCGTAGCGCGGTGTGTGTTTGTGTAGCGTTAGCCTTAATATAAGGCCTTTAATACAGTACTACTTTCGTCCAATGTCACAACTAAATCATCCATTATGGCATGTAATGCTGTGTCAACAAAACGCAGCAAAAATCAAACATACCTGACTTTGAAAACTTTGAAATGATCTTTATTCTTTAACTGACAGTTCTAGAATGTTCTTTAGAACAGGTAAACAAACTGTGACGTAATAATGTGATAGGTCCATTGACCGCGATGACGAATCCGCAAAGTTCTAAAGCGTTTGGACGTTCGATGCAATTCGATCTTGATGCTTTCTCAGTGTCTGAAGCTTCTTGCAAACTCCTAGTTAAGTGTAGGAAATCACTTTTCAGACATACCGTCCAATATATGATATAATGGCAGGTTTTATTGAACATCTTCTTCTCTTGTGGGAGTCAGAGATCACAGGCGTCGTTCTGTTGAAACATGGGAAACACGTTGACGAACAGGAAGGTGACGATGACGCCGACACAGGAGCCGGCCTGCATGACTGCTCCACAGTACAGCAGCGCCCTCTGTCCCTCCTCGCGGAAAATGGACCCAATGGTCACCTTCACGTAGGAGAAAAGCCCCACTACTGAGATCCATGCAAGAATCTGAGCGGGGAAAATAAAGGCAAAGTCCCATTAGCAGCGCAGATAGTGTCAGTAAATAATTAAGGGTTAATGTCCCGCCCCGAGGTGAATATGGTGTGATAAAGCCTTGTCAGTTGCTATAACCACCGAATAAAGCCACCAAGTGAGCGCAGCGAACGAGGTGGCTTTATGAGGTGGTTATAGCAACTGACAAGGCTTTATCACACCATATTCACCGAGAAAGGGCGGGCCATTAACACTATTATCATATAGCCTATCCAAACTGATGCAGTGAAGAGTCACACAATGTACCCCTTGCACATGCTGAATAGAACACAGAATATCTGTTCCGTCTGAAGTCACCTGAGGTCACTGGGGGGTTCATGTTCTATGTCTTCTATCTGGGTCACAGGCAGGGAACAGGTGTTCTTATGGGAGTCATTGGAACACAACTCAAGTTATTTTTGGATTTTTTAGAAGTAGAGCCGTGTTCTATTGGGTCACCTGAGGTCATATGCGGGTGATTATTCATTTTGTTTAATGTATGGATTGGGATGAATAAATACCCGATTTTGACTCTATTTGTGACATTACGGCGACATAAAGAATGTGGAATGGAGCCTTCTGATTGGTCAACGTCACCCGGCTATATGATAATTATAATTATAATTAAGTATTTAAAAATACTTCTAGGGGTGTTAATCACCCGGACGCCGCCCACACCCACACTGTCTGAACCTTTAAAGGCCAGTCACTCCACTTTCAGTCCTACAAAGATGTAACACAAAATAATGTAATGACCAACATTCTCAAAACATGAAAACAAAGTTACTGCGAGTCTCCAGTACGACGTCGATAACACCTATTTATGACTTCACCACCTAGTGGTGATGTCATATTGTTTTTGCTGACGTTTCTTTTTCTCCTCCTCCTGCCATTTCTTTAAATTGATTCAACTCCTTCATTTTTGGGCCAAATAACATGAAATTTGGCATGAAGGTACAGTGGCCAAATACCCCCAGTTTTTTTTTTTTTTAATTTTCTTGGTACAGGCTTTTAGAATGGTTTTATTGTGACTTTTTGTTTGTGTTATAGGTAATGTACTGTAGCAGTGTGTGTTGCCAAGATTGGAGTGTGACCATATTTGGGCATAGGGCCAATGCCCAAATATGGGCAGCAGGTGCACCCTGTTGGGAGATCTGGTCGCTGATTGGCTGTTCCCTTAATTACTTTACTGCTAAATGAACACCTGTCACTGTGTAGGTGTCACGAAGTGACAGTTATACATTAACTTAAGCACTTGTACTTTACCTTATACATTGTAGTAGCTATAGTTAGAACCCTTCCTTCGGGCGGGGGTTCGCTGCCTGTTCGAACACACCTTGTGCACGTGATCACCACGTGCGCACGCGGTGTTGAGCAGGTGTTCGAACAGGTAGCAACGACACCTGTTCGAAGGAAGGGGTTCTAGAAAGGTAACGTTGGGGGAGAGGAGACTTGAAAAGATTAAAGAAACGACAGGACGACATCTCTGAGTCTCCGTGTCTTCTCTACGCCACCGTGACATTTGGTAGTACGGCTGGGGTGCCGATCGTTACATCTTACAAGGAGGAGGAAGGCGACGAAGGCAGGCAGGTGGGTGGGCACAGTCAAACTTATAACCTATTGACAACCGCACTTAGTTATAGGTAT